AGGAGAGAGGGGAGGGGAGAATGAGAGAAGAATAGGAATGGGGATGAAGGGAGAACGATGAGATGGGGATGATGAAATAGGGGTGGGGATGAGAGGAGTGGAGAGAGAAATGGAGAGAGAGAGAGAGATGGATAGATGAACAAATATAAAAGAGTGAGTAGAGGTGCAGGTATATAGGGTATATGTATATGGTATGTATATGTATAGGGAGGGTATAAGGGATAAAAGTGGATAAAGATAGACTCGGAGGGTATGGATCGGGGTGGGAAATGAGGGATAAATGGAAAAGAGTAGATAGTATAGGTATAGGGTGAGATGAGATGAGAGATGAGATGTGATAACTGGTTTGTGATTTATGATTTAATGTTTATCATGATGTATTATATTTATATTTCGAAAATGTCTATATGATAAAAAAAATGCTAGGTGCTAGATACTAGATGCAATATGCTAAATGCTAAATATCCAAAGTTGTTAATTTTTATTATTGTATTTTTAATTCTTAAATCTTTAATCGTGAACTACAGCTCCCCCCTATACCAAATGTGAACCACTTATCCCTGCCCAAATCTTATCCCTATCCAAATCTTATCCTCACTCTCTATCCCCCATTCCCTAACCCCTACCCCCTACCCCCTAGCCGTAACCGTAACCGTCTCCCTCGCCGTCTCCCTCGCCGTCTCCGTCTCCGTCTCCGTAACAGTAAACCCCCCACCAAAATCCACACAACGACTAATACTCACAGCCTTCCCATCTTCACCTATGCCTACACAAATTCCTTTTTCTGTATTTGTATTTATACTCGTTACACTTGCTTTTGTCCCTGTACTCGTACTCGTCTCTTGCGGTTTGGGTGCAAGTATACTGATTACTGTTGTTTCTAATCCTGATCCATTATTGCTAGTTGATGTTGAGCTAGGAGGAGAAATTGAGGTTGTTGCTGCTAATCCATTTCCTGTGGCTATTGTTGCTGCTGCGGTGGCAGTGGATATGGGAATGGAAGTGGGAGTGGAGATGGGAGTGGGAGTGGAAAGAGTGATGGAAGTAAATGTAACAGGAATAATGGTCAAAGCAGTTATAGCGCCATTATTTGCATCAAGGGTATTGGTACTGGTAAATGCTGTGAGTTGTTGGATTGTGGTTGTGGATTGTTGGAGTGTGGATTGTTGGATTATAGTTGTGGTTGTGGATGGTTGGATGGTGGGTTCTGGGGTTGAGGTTGAGGAGGTTGAGGAGGTTGAGGAGGATGAGGATGAAAATGGTGCGTTTGTACTGCTGGAGAACGATAATGTTTTTGTTGTTGTTTTGGTTCTGGTCGATTCGCTAGATGTTGTTGGACTCGGGGTGGTGATTTGCGTGCTGCTTAGAGACAGAGGTTGTGTGGTGGGTAGAGGGGGGAATATGGTGGTTTGTGGGGGTGAGGATGAGGATGAAGATGGTGATGAGGAAGATGAAGATGAAGAGGTAGAGGTAGATGAAGACAAAAATTTCGAAGATGTTCGAACTGTAATCGATGAAGCTAAAGGCAAGGTCAAAGCCGAAGACAACGAAAAAGAAGATGGAATAAGCCCAAGAGTAGAGGAAGGAACCACGGTAGTAATATATAAAGTCGTAATCTTAAGAGTATTACTTGAGATCGACTGAGATGAAAACTGGGTGAGTGAGGCTTGAGTAGTAATACTCTGCGCAAAGCTTCCTGTAAGTTTTCCAGACTCCTTTGTAGCACTCGTACTAGATTCCGCGAAACTAGTACTTTGCGCTACAATTGTAATTTTCGAGTTTTCTTTCGTTGATGAAATCCCTGCCGAACTCGACACCCCAGTACTCTGTGGCACCGCACTGGGAGTCAAAGTATCTCTCACAGAACTCTGTGTAGTGATTCCAGAAGCTTCAGTTGTAATATCGATTGTTGGTTTGAAACTTGGACCCGAATCCCCGGAACTTTGTGCGGTTCCTACGGCTGTACTTGAGTTCCCTGTACCAAATGGTCCGACTGATATACGTGATGTTGATGCTGATAATCCTGATACAGACCCTTGTGAAGATTGTTCCGAGGAACTTTGCAGCGTTACACTAGGTTTAGATGCGGTTGTGGGAAGTGGAGGGAAGATTGTGGTTTGTATGGAATTTAGACTTGATGGTGAGGAAATATCTGATGTCGATGAACTCTTTGTCGTGAGACTACTTTTTGGTAAACTAGTAGGAAGTGGCTCGAATGTGGTAGTCTGCACTGAAGCTACACTGGAAAACGAAGTAGTTTGCGACTCGGATGGATTCTGACTCGATGGCTCACTTTTCGTGGATGATGATTTTCCAGTAGGCGCCGTGTTCAGCGGAGGCGTGATGGTAAAAGTTAATTCTGTTATTGATGCATCTGCATTTCCAGCTTTCGTTCCAGTGATCGAGACTTGGGAAGTAAATGCACTTGATCGTGCCGGAGCTGTACCACCTGTACTAAGGATTATCGACGATAACGGCGTGGGTTGTGACGATGATGTCGAGAAAGACGACACTGATGTCTCGGATCCGCTCTGTCCACTCGAGGTACTAGAAACACTCGTCGTTCCTTGTGATGCAGTCGATTGACCTCCTTCATTTGATTGTACCACCGACGTTGCTGAAGTACTGCTCAATGATGACAAAGCAGCCCTCGTGCTGGGATTTAAAGTCGTACTTTCTTCTATCGATGAGGAGGATCCGATTTGTGTGGTGGAGCTGATACGAGAAGTTACTGTCCCAGGTAAAATCGTAATGGCGATGATACTACTGCTATCCCCCTTTCCCTCATAGCCATCTCGTATAAAACTACCACGAAATCAAATCAGCATCATCAGATTTACAAATATCCCCCAAAAGGCGTACAGAAAAGGAAGAGAAGAGGACTTACTTCCTACTAGTCCCATTCCACCACAACGGACCAGCCGCACCAAGATGAGAAAGGAAAAGTGTGTTGAATAGAAAGAGTGGATGTGAGATCTTCATTTTTGTTACTTTAACTGAAAGATTATCTTGCTGACTGCAGCTTTTGTGATTTGTAAAGAGATAATAATTATGCCAACCAAAAAAATAGGAAATATGGTAAATTTTCAATATCAAGAATTAATGATTATTGATCCAGAATTCAAAATCCAGCAAAGAACGTGTTGTGAATGAAAAGAAGAAAAAAAGAATGAAATGATCAACAAAAGACCAAACAAGATACCATGAATCAGATTGATAAGAAGAAAACAAATAATGAGTAAGAAATGGAAATCAAACCATATTACCCAAAGACTCGATCAGTCTATATATCAATACCCATACTCCAAGTCTCATGTAGAAAAAACCACGACCGCAAACGCGACCCAAGCCAGACCATTCATTCATTCATTCACTCATTGCACATTGCACATTGCACATTGCACATTGCAACACAAACCTGACTGGCGCTTTCCCCAATACTGTACCACCAAATCGACAGGTGAATCAACAACTCGACAACCTACCTAGGTACCTACCTACCTGCTGTACACCATAGGATACACCAACATGAACCCACTCAAAAAAAACATCGCACTTCTCCATCCAAATCCAAATCCAAATCCAGATCCAAATCCAGATCCAGATCCAATAAACCACAAAAATTCCCATTCCACAACCTAGACATCAAACCAGAAATTAGCGCTTAGCCAAACCATCCGTCTGAAAGACTCTTGTTGTGAATCATTTGATTGGCCAACAATGCTGTGTTTACTGTATGTATTGTAAATTTCAGGGGATAGATGAACTTGAACTTGGACTTTATTTTGCAGTTACCGGTAATCTTAACCTTAACCTTAGCGAAAAGCGGAAAATAAGTGGATGAAACAATACGCGCGAATGAAATTGAAAAGGCTAGATTTAGATTTAGATTTAGATGCAGATGTAATTAATCGATGCATGAATGACTGCTGCATTGTATCATGTCGTGATAGGTGAAGATTACCTACTACCCTACTACCCAAATAAATAGCCACACTTAGCACGCACAGGGCGGCTGCGCGGCTCGGTCTCCGAGATATCAATCTACTGCGGCGATCTAAATCATCTTCTATCCATGGCCAATGATATGATCATGCCTATTCCTATTCCTATTCGCATATATGCAGATAATATAATTTTGTAGTGAGTGAAGGTCTAGATTCCTTTCTGGTTGATATAATATATATATATAACTCGTATAAGCTACTTACTATTCGAGTAACGAAACGAAGAAAAGGTAAATCGGAATCATCTAGATTACTCGAAATAACAAATCGTGCATATGCCTCTCATATCCGATATCCGATATCCGAACTCACATCCATCCATCCATTCATTCATTTATCCATTGACATAACCTTACCGGTACCTCAAAGTTTAAGTACAAGTAGTATATTTATTGGCTGCAACCTCTTACTATCATATATCATATTTCTTACTGGCAGATCATATCCAACTTCAAGTCCATGTAATCCGTCGAATCGTTTTGCAAAAGGCTGTCTGATATAAATAGACTCTTCATTGGTTTATGCTTATGTTTATGATATGCTATGGTATGATATGCTATTCCACCCTATGCTATGCTATGCCAGCCATCCTATGCTATTCTACCCTATGCTATTCCACCCCATGCTATTCCATGCTATCCTATGCGTATCAACAATCCCATAATTCGTATACCGGTATCCACAATATATACACCAAGAAAGGAAAGGAAAGGACGATGAGAGCAACCCAACTCATCCCATCCCATCTCATCTCATCTCATCCTAAATTCAATCCTTAATCCTCAATCCTCAATCCCCAATCATCATCCATCTACCTACTCTACCCCCATCTCCCCTTCCCCCAAACACTCTTCACTTCACTCTCCACTCAATCCCCCGACACCCTACGATTCTCCTCCAAATCCACCACAATCTTACTCAAAACCTTCAACGGCACCGGTTTACTCATAAAGAGATTAATCCCACTATTATACGCTTCCATCTGACTCTCATCACTCGCCAACCCGGTCACCGCCACAATAACACTGGCATTTAGATTTTCTTCCTTCTCGAATCTTCTTATACGTTGACTTGCCTCGAAACCATTCATGACTGGCATACTGATATCCATAAAAATGACTTCCGGTTTCTTTTTCGCTTTCTTGTAGTGAGAGACTGCCTCTTGACCGTTGACCGCACAGTAGTATTGCATACCCAGTTTTTTTATGCAGGCTACGAGGAGTTTCATATTGATGGGGTTGTCTTCGACGAGAAGTGCGATGGGTTTGTCGGATACGACTGCGTCAGTATTCAAAAGCCGTGGGGGCGAAGAGTCCCTTGCTGATATAGCGGGATAGGTGGTTCTCCGTAGATTTAGTGGCATTGCAAGAGAACGATTACCGTCGTCGCCACCAGACCTGTCGAATATAGAGAGGAAACAATCTGCCATCTTTTTGGGTCCAATACTGGAATATGATTAGTTATTTAAAGAGATTTCGCGTTGGTCAGAAGCAAGGAGAAAGGCGAAATTAGAAGGTAGTGAGGGGTACATACGGATTGCTAAGAAAATGTATGTTCTGATAACTATCATACAAGGTTCTCCTCTCAGATTTTGCAGACTCTGTCAGAACAATGACATGTCTCTTTCGAGAGCTGCTCGTTGTTTCTGTATAGAGGGTTTTCCAACTCTCTTCCATTTCATAAAATCTCTCGGAAGTTACCAAAAAAATATCTCCTGTCGCTGCATCAAATCCAGTAGCTTCAGAAGTCTTCATTCCAAACCAATTACGGGACATTCTAGAAATTGCAGGGCCTACAGATCCATAATGTTTTGATTTCGCATTTGCTATTTTATCGGATTCAGGCGTGGAGGTTTCCATTCCTATCAATACCAACTCTAAACTATTGGTAAATGTTTTAGCTTGTAAAATATTGGCTGACATGAGAGGTTTTTCGCCGATTTGGGATTGAGACTTCTCAAGTTTGAGAACAACTTTGACAACAGTGCCAGTACCTTGAATACTAAAAACTTCAATCTTTCCATCGAGTGCTCCCACGATTTGGCGAACAATACTAAGACCCAAGCCAGCACCGGGGGTTAAACTATTCTCCTGAGCGAATGGGGTATATATTTGACGCTTCAAAAAATCTTCCGCGATGCCTTGTCCTGTATCACTAATAGTCAAAGTAACAAAAGCCTGGTTCATTCTAGAATTCGACGACGTGGCGGCTTTATAACTGAGACCGACTTTGACCAATCCTGACGTTGTGTATTTCAATGCGTTCCCAAATATATTCATCAGAATGCGCTTCCATGCCCCAGGCTGAGTCAAAAATGTCCAGTTTGATTTGTGGTCAACGTCAAGGATGACAGACAGCGAAGCTGTTCCCACCATCCCTTGTATGTCAGATTTAGTTGGAGAGATGGGATGATCAATATCAGTACTGACAGTGGATGTCGATTGGAGAACGTAAACATGCCCAGCATATATACCGTTAATGACATCCTCTGTGATAGAGGCAATATCGAGATCTGTAGTTAAGCTGATAGTTCCATAAATTTGAAACTTCTCTGCAGGAACAGCCTTTCGTATTCTGGAAGATTTGCGTATAGCTCTTTGTTCGCTCTTTTGTGATGTGGTAAAATTATTTATCTTTGCATAGTCAAGTACGTTATTCAATGTATCAAGTAATGTGGTAGAACAGTGTCCAATAGTATCTACCACATCCTTTTGATATTTGCTCATTTGTGTATCTTGTAGAAGTTCGATGCTCCCTGCTACCGCGTGTAAAGGGCTTCTAATTTCGTGACTGATGGATGATATCAGAGCAGTCTTGGTCTGATCAGATGCAACTATATCGAGTCGGGAGGCTTCTGCCATGATGCTATTTCCAAAAGCGGCCACGTAATTCAGATCATTGTCCAGACTGAGCACTCGAGTTGGATCTGAAGTCCAGAGCATGGTGCTAGCAAACCATCGTTCACGCTGAGAGTCCCATAACGGTAAAATCATCACAAATCTGGCGCCGGGGAAGATTTTCAGTATAGTTTGACCTTCGCATGATTTGGGGGGTGCCTTTTTCATCGATGGACTTTGGGAACCATCCGTAACGAAAGATATTTCTCCGTCGATAGCAGCTCCATTTATGTCCTCTTCACTTGACGACATATGGCCGTCTGCATCAAATGCATAAATCTTGCCATGGGGATGGCGCTTAAATAGACGGCGAACAAAGTTTTCCGTGACGCTTAAGTGCCCCTGCAAATTTGGGTCACCATGCAATGTACATGATGAGGCTGTAGAATATGCCAGTACCTCACACATGCGAGTTTGTGAACCCTGCACTTCCTTTTTTGACTCCTTCTCGAGACCCTTTCCAGAACTACTATCCGAAGTACTGTTACGCGAGGAAGTTCTTTGATCGTCTTCACTGCTGGATACTCGCGCGGAACCATGCAAGCGGGCGTTTCGATCTGGTTTGATCAAGGAAGATTGGTGTCCTTGAGAGCCGAAACCACCTTCTTCAGTATCGAAAAATATTACACCTTCCACATCTGTCGACTCGCGTATGAGATTACTAGCACGGGACAGCATCCGTCTCAATATTCCTGCTTTATCAGAAAGATTTCGAGTCGTAGGTTCATTAGTCGGTATGCCCTGGCCCGTTGTTGACAAGTGAGCTTCATCAGGGCACTTTAGCGATGGAGTTTTGGAGGTCTCATTCAGTGCTAGGGCAGGAGATATATTGGAAGAGCTATTAAGCGAATTGAGAGCGGTTGGTTGATCGAGTTTTTCCTTCAAGCGAAGTGAACCCTCTCTGGCACGAATGGAAGAATTGTCAAGCGGTTGATCATTTTCGCCTTGAAGTCTGATTGATATGTCATTGCGAAGGATCGTCGAAGGTAAGGTTGAGGTCGGCAATGGAGACATCGGCACGTCTAGCCCTCGCGATAGGTCAACAAATGATAGGTTGGCTTCAGTACTGAACTTCTCTGACTTCGTGTTACTAGCCTCCGCGGGAACCGTAAAATTTCCTACACCTACTGTAGTATACGAATCTTTGCCTCTAACAGATGTTTCACGGTCAGTTCGAGTGCGCAGCCACCAAGATTTAATGCTAGAATGTCCTTCTACAAACAATCCCAATCCTTTCACCATCTTCTCCCCTCTCTGGTGGTCTCTCTTGACAGCAATATTCTCAAGATGTTCCATCACGGTATCAGTGATGTCTGTCAAAAACTCCAGTTCTTCTGGCTCCAAGCCGTTCCGTGGAATGTCATCAAATACACTATATGCCCCTATGTCGAATCCTTGGCGAGATCGTATAGGTACGGTAGCAACAAACCGAATTTTTGGACCTCCAATGATATTCGGATCGTACTTCAAGGTTTCGTCGTTGGCCAAATCGTTGATGACTTTTGGTATAACTTTGGGACGAAACTCTGTACTTTTGCGCTTGCCTTTTGATGGCAATGTATTTATAATCGCATCGCATAGTGATTCTTGGCGAGGAATTGTTCGTACGCCCATCCATAAGGAATCCCCAGCTTCGTGCACATCATCATCCTGCGACGATAATGTTCTTGTTGACTCGGCGAGGATATATTCATGTGTGCGATCAACGAGTGAAATCATAACCCGCCTTGCCCTTAACCGTAGAGCACCAAGTTGCGCGAAGGCATTGAGTGCCCTATCCGACGAGGAGAATGCCTTTGGAGAGACCTTTGGGCTTTCTGAGTGTTCGCCATTTTGTTTGGGTTGGGGAATGAGGGACGCCGCGAACGGGGGGAGATATCTAGATGGTATGGAATTAATAATGAGATGATAAGAATGGTTAAGCAAGATCAAGTTGACTGACCTATAGACTTCTCGTACCCGTTGAACTTCAGACACCTTAATAGGCGTGTCTAAACCGGGCTTTGTTAGCATCGCAGTTGATGACGGATCAATGTGATATTTGCACAATCGCCATGCTCAAACAATCCAAAGACCAATGCCAGAGGACTGTAGACAAATTTATGTACAGAAATTATCTATACTGAAATCGGTAGTGATGTGATGTGTGCAGTGAGGTGGGGTGGAGTGGAGTGGGGTGGAATGAAGAGATATAATAGAACAAGTACTCGAGTAAACACTCATTGTAAATTTACAAGTAAAATTATTTACCATGAGGGGTTCAATGAAAAATCTACATCAATAAAGCGATGCAGATTCGAAAAATTGATTGGTACAATCGATAAACGGATGCATACAAAGTGAATCGTAAATCCGATTTTGATATCGGGTATATCGCCAAGCCGAAATGATTATCATTGGTTGAATTTTGAATAGAAACTTCGAAATGGAGATTGATAAGACAATTGTTTCATAAAAGACGTTATGTATACATAATTAATTGGAATACATATGTATATCAAGTGTGGCGTGAGGTTATGGCATGTGGTGGGTATGAGATGTGGCTTGTGTATGTCATGTGTATATCCTCAATGTCATCTTTCAAGTAGAGATACCTATATATCTACAAAATTCCAGAAACAAAGAATACACGAATACGCAATCCAATACCGGCACACATCCCTATATACATCCCGATCATTTTCAAGTACACAGCCATAGGTATTTTCAATACCGCAGTATCAAGTATCAAGTATCAAAAACTGTAATATCAAATATCAAATATCAACTACCGGTATCGATCTTCCGAGTTCAAAACACCACTCTTTCTCGGACCCCTCCTGGCCTGTACTACCCGAAAAAACAGCCTCTATTCTGTCCGATTCATTGACCTCACGAACCCGAACCCAAGCCAGCTATATTTACTAAGGATACCAGACAATAAAATCTCACGATTCTGCTATATAGTTTAGTTCAGTTGATACTTTATAAATCTCTGTCTAACATCGACTGTAGTGTTATCCAACCAATAAATTCTATCTAACCTTCTAATCAATTTGTCCCCATTTGTTCAAGTTGAAAACAATTAGAGACTTGACTTGCCTGGTATCGTTAAACTCACAATTATACCATCGATCGACCGATGAATCAATTTTAATTTTAATTGCCTCTTTCTCCTCTCATCTTCCCTGCTCTTCCCTTCTCTCCTCTCCTTTCCTCTCCTCTTTCAAAGAGACACATTGAATTGAACAAATCTTTTAGGTCTTAACATTCCTTACCTTAGCTCTTAGCGGGATAATACCGTACACATATTCAGTACTCAAATGGCTAAATACAATGGCTAGATACAAATTAAAGTACTAGTATATTAATAATAAGCAATGCTTGCAAATCAGGTTCCTGGGACCTGAGTGGCAATTGATGATCTACAGGCAGAAAACGTTTGCGTTTGTGTTTATTGATAGATAACGTTGAAGGTGTATCTACTGTATACTTTAATAGGAATACGAAAGTTAGGCCTGTCAGAATAACCTTAAGTTTTAGCTTATCCGAATTTTTCAAAAGTATACGTACGGTAGAGTGATTCTTATCCAGTATATCTAGTACCGATACTATCAAACCATCAAACCTTAACTTCTCAGCTAATTAAGAACAGATCCAGTTGCATTGGATAAAGTTATAGTAGAATAACGAATAATCCATTTTGCTAATCTTTTCAACTATTTGATCTATTTAGCTTTCCGGTTCACTGTTTTTAGAATAATTGCCAAGTCAACGATGGAGAGAGAGCCAGGACCAAGGCTATCTATCGATAACCTTTATATTGAGAGTTCCCTGCTTTCAATAATCATTATCATACCGACAATAACAGTAGCAGCAGCAGCAAAGCAAAACAGCTCTGTAATCCGCATGCACTAACATATAATAGGCCTCACTCTATACGAGTAATTATTAATCTTCCTCAAGTTCCGATACTAGTACCAGTATTTTACAAGAGAGAATCCTCTACTTATACTCTCTTATATATAATATAAGCGGCGATGTGTATATATACATATAGGTATCTTCTAGTGAATCTTAGAGAGAGTAGATATCTAGTAATAGTAGCTAGGTCTTTAAGCTCTCTATTATAATAATAATACGGTAGATATCGACTCGAGTAGTTTAGTAGGATATACCGGTACCCCGAAACGACGCAAACAATAATAATAAGCGCTACTACAACCAGTGTATTTAAATATAGTGAATGAATGGAAACTAGTAAGTAGATAGTAGGAAGTAGAATGTTAATGAATCGAGTTATTAGCTAGCCGAATCAAGCCATCAATCCCTCCATCCATCCATCAATCAACCCCTCCATCACCAACTCCATAATATAATATGCCAATATAATATAAAAACATCAAAATATATAATCTACTAATACGAGTATATAACCTTCTTACATTCATACATCAGGCGCATCTCAAGAATAAAGATCCCAAGAGTTTAGAACAATGAAAAAATAATATGTACCTAATCTATGTAACTCGAGTATGAGGTGAGATCAAACTACAGTATCAGACCATCAAAGAAATATATACCTACCAAGGTACAGTATATATTCCAGGTACCAGGAACAAAGATGAACGAACGAACCTATCTAGCCTATCAAAGATATTGCTAAAAACAGGAGCCAAGCGTAATACTCGAGTATGTGGCGGGAAATATAATATGGATGAAATGGATGACATTGATGGGATGGATGGGATGTATGAAATTGATGTTGTGTGACCCAAGGTTTTGGGATTGAGGAGTTGGATGGTTGGATTTGGGTCAGTTGATTGAGGTGAGGGACTGATGTATCCGATAGGTGGATGGGGGGGGTGCTATTGAGAGAAAACCAAAACTCTAGTTGCATCATCCTTTTATTATTTATATATAGGTTAATATTCAGCTCCATGAGTATATTTTGTATAATTCCAAGGTGACAGTGAATACCTACCTACCTAAGCAGATAGATCTATTAGTGTCTGGGTTAGGTTAGGTATAGTAGGTATAGCTGTCAATGGACCTGCATTTATCATCAGGCTATTTAAAACCCATAACCACAACCACAACCATAACCATCAAATACCATTTATTTGCCTTGCGAATGTGCATCCATCTTGGTGGGTAAGGCTAGGTAGACAGAGACAGATGAAGGTGCCGGTATAATCACTAATGGTCATCTATTAAAGTTGGAATATAAAAGTTTGGAGTAAGGTAAGCAAGCGTAGGTACGCTTACGCTCCCTAACCTGGTTATTTAGCTAGGGCTAGATGTTAATTAATGGAGACCTGGTTGAGCTTCGTATGATATACCGGTATGTGTCCTTTAAAATTCTTTTGCTGGTGCTGGTATTGGTATTAGTATATCTCATTGAACTATTTCGCCTCTTCTAGACAAATCGTCAATCATCAATCAAGGAAGGAGAAAGAGTAGAAGGGGAAAACACAATTGAAGGGTTTCCTTTTGGCGGTGAGAGTTGATAATATAATTATTTAGTGCCACATGCCCCGCCGCCGCCGCCACCCCTCGATTTGCTTATCGCAGCACAGAGGTCAAGAGGCGCACAAGGCGCATCGGATTAAAAATGTCAAGTTATATCAATGGGAATTATAGTACGAAATAAGATCCGATATAATACCGACATAATACCCGTTAACAACACTGTTATACCAATATTGAATTGTTACCTAGGTAGGTTTTATAAGGCGTGAGGCGGGCTCTAAATATGCTATTTCAGCTTAACACTACTACTGTGGTCTATAATGTTATAGATATAATGAGAAGAAGATATTACGTATAATATGATATGATATGATCCATTTACTTGTATTATCTCCCCTTCTATCATATCCTATCCTACGAGAGAGAGAGAGAGGGGTAAAAGATACTTACCTAGGTACTATTTATCATAGATCCACCTCTGATGAAAATTAATCGTCTCATATTATCACTTCCACTTAAAGTAGGTAGGTACGTACCTAATGAGAGGGGTTCTGGTTTTTTTTTTCGTTCCTGTAACTTGTAAGCCTGTAAGTAAGAAAAGTGGTACTTATATTGGTTTGGTTCCTGTAAAACTTGGGGTTTCCCGCTGTCATCGATAAATCGATTGGGATGTGCTGTACAGAGTATGGTAGGTAACTCGAGTAATTCTTACGGACCCCTACAATCTTGCTTTCTTCAATGATGGAGGTAAGTTACTCGAATGTACTGAATCGCTTTCCCTTTACCTTTGATCAAGAATAGTATCGAAAGTAGTATTTATATAATTTATATAACTACTCGAGTAGTATTAAAAACAAACTCTACAGTATCTTTGTTCCTATTATCAACAAACTAGACATCGAATTCATACCTTGGTAAAGAGAATAAACTTTACACTACTCGAATATAATGTACTAAAATCATAGTGTATAGTAAAGACTCTTCCTCTGAAGTTGTAAGCTTTCTTAGTATATATCTAGTAGTATTTAGTATATGATAATCACTACTTAACCTTATTCTCACTCTTACTCTTATATTAATACTCTTCCTTACCTCCTTCATTCATATTTTTATTATATAGCAACCTCAACCACAACCAAAACCATAATCATAACCACAAAACAATCTTTATAACATCTATTTAGAGTAATAGAAATTAAGATAATATTCTTATAATCATTATCATACCACATTCAATTCTTTGAATCATTCAATCTCTCGAGATATAATAATCATTTATACTCTTCCTTGCTCTTTCATTCATTTTTACTTGAGTACTCAAGTACTTACCTAGCAAACTCAACTACAGCCAAAACCAAAACCAAAACCATAATCATAACCATCACCACAGAACAATCTTTACAACATCTGTTCACAATAATAGAAATTAACATTCTTATAACCATAATTATCATACCCCCTTTCAATCTCTCGAAATATAATCTTCAAACCTACCTACCTACAGATTTATTAAATCTCGTCTAAAGCTTATTATTATTAAAGGAACCCTTGCAAAATATTTCGCAATAATTTCATCTCACAGACGAAACGAACGAAAGAAGATCAAGGCAATTATTCATTTTCCCGGTCGCATATCGTTAACCACCATTTCCTTGTCCTCCCCGCCATCCTCTTATCGACAACAATTATTCTAATTATCGCCCGTCACTCTGATAACCCTCAACATCAGTATTGAGGTCTTTTCAAGAATAAGAAGTCCTCATCTCTTAATTTATCGTCGCAAAACCTTTTCGAACTCTATCGCAGGTCAAGTCAAGGCTGCGGCTTTTCCATATCCAGGCTGAAAAGAATTATCGGAGCTGGATTCTTCTGAAACCGAGCCTCTACTTGGTACAGTACTTTACTTTACCCTGCTTACGAATTTCATAAAACCCTCTCAAGCGTCTGGATGCGGTGATCGAGTCACTATCTATATCACCTTATCCTTCTCCGAGTCACCCCTCGCACGACCTTCGAAAGCGATTACCCCTCTCGTCGAGTCCGCAGTGATCATATCACTGTCATCCACCATAATGTATACACCTCCGCCAACTCGGGAGCCAGCATCAGGTCCGAATCACGGCCCCTCCTTCCGCCCAATAAATCCCACCATTGCACATGATGCCAGACGTGCCGAAGTTGAAGCTGCATTCAATCTCTTCGCCATGCCTCAGAACACGACTCCTACGACGCATCGACCCAATACCGCACCAAATATTCAACTACAGCCGATGCATGGAATCGAAGATGCAATAACTCCTATCACAGCGACAATTGAAGCGATCTCGAGTGCGCTTGCGAATCAAAGACCTCTTCCATTTTCTCCTATCAATGTCGCTGCGGCCGTTGCTAGAACCGCGAACGCTTTGGCACCGTCCCTCGATAGAGGCAATTCGACAGAGTCAAAGAAGACTGATGGTGCCAATGATGTTGATATGGATGGTTCCGGTGATGGCAGTGACAATGACGATGGTTCGAGGCCTAATAAGAAGAAGAAGGTACCAAAATTCTTCTGCGTGGATTTCCCACCATGTAATCTCAGTTTTACCAGAAGTGAACATTTGGCACGACACATAAGGTAGACTATATTCCGAACGACTCCACAATTCCCTACTACTTGCTGACTTCTGATTTGATCTAGAAAGCATACCGGAGAACGTCCTTTTACGTGCCATTGCAAACGCACATTTTCTCGGTTGGACAATTTACGGCAGCATGCAAGTACGGTTCATCAACATCAGCCAATTCCAGAGGATTCTCCGGCAGCCAGTAGCGCGAAGACTTCCAGACAAGCTCGCGGTAATCAAGCTAGGCCGACACAGAACAGACCGAGAGCTGCTACAGCTAGCGGACAGCTACCTACACATCGAGGTCATCAACGAAACTCTTTGTCCACATCGAGCATAGGCCTAGTTTCATCTGGCTCTATTCAACCAAACGTCTTCAGACCATGCCCACCCCCTCTGCAGGACCCTATCTGGGGAGCAAATAAAACCTTATCATGGCGTCCAAGGTCACCAGAAGATTACACCACGCCTAACTCTGCTACATTTTCAAATGGCCAGAACAGCCCACGATGGACATCCGGCTACCAATCACCTTCAATGCGCACATATTCACGAACGGCTAGCGTTTACGATGGACATGACACACCGGATCGAAAATTATCCACAGCTTCGGCCGTAAACCCATTTTCCTCGTCAAGTCTTGCTTCTAACAATTTTGGTACTCCACCAATCTTCTCTGCACCGGCGCCTTATTCCCCTGGTATGGTCCCAAGTCCTAGTACCCCGATGGCGGGTACGGGTCATTCGTGGGGAGACGCGATAGCCAGCAATCATGCAGACAGGGAGAGGAGAAGGAGAACATGGGGCCCAGATACTGCTGCCACCATCACAAGCAGACTGCAGAATGTCATGACCCCCAATCACTATGCGAATGGCCCTGTTCCTCAACCCTCTGTGATTCTTCTCAGCAATGCTCCCCCGATGGAACCCATCAAACTCCCTGGCATAGAAAGCTTTGATCCCATAAGAAGAGAATTATCGCCACCTCGTCGTGCTCTAAGTCCAATGATGGCTGATAGACCACACTCCTACCATCAGCCAAGTACTACCATGGCTGGGACCTCCTACCACCAGCCAAGACCCACGCAGGCCAGAGATCGACCAAATTCTTACCATCAGCCAAGTACTACCATGATTGAACCCCCCTTTTACCACCAGCCAAGTACTACCATAGCTGAACCACCCTCCTACCACCGGCCAAGACCCACGCAAGCCAGAGACCGACCTTTGAGCTCCCATCTTGATCGACAATTTAACCACCTATATATTCATGGCACATCACAAGGAGATGCGTCGATGTGGGCTTCCGAGACAGCTCGTGCAGTTGATGCCACTGCAGAGCAATCGCAAGTAAATCAACCAAGAGTGATGTTTGAACCATCAACATATAGTCCTCGATCGGGCCAATCTTCATCTTACCACCAACATACCGCTAGTGCACCTTACGGGTCACCCGGATTTAGGCGCGGTGGGTGGCACCATGAACCAGCAGCATATCGTCAAATACATGATAACAGAGTTCAAGGAACCTCCCCAGAAGGTTCAAGCAGTTCCGACGGCGCTGCTCCTGTCACCCCACAGGCTGCCACCGTAACAGATGACAACCCTACCATTCTACGATCAAACGGCTACACCGAGGAAACTGTCCGTGTCAATCGTCCTCAACAACCAATCATTCATCACTACCATACGCAATCAAATGGAAGTGAACCTTTCTATACATATGGACATCCTTCATCGAATCAATCTATGTATCAATCCCAACAAACTCCCAAGTTATCTGAACAGACTTACAGTAATCCCCTAGACGCTTTGGTGGCCGCCGCAACAAGTGATCAGGTCACTGTGCACAAACCCTATTAAGATTTTATTTCGTTGGTTCATTGCTTTTGTGTATATATTACACCTCAATCTCTTCGAAAATACCCGGCTCGCATTCTTTCTATAAGAATCTCACCAAGTACAAAATTATGAATCAAGACAGATACACGTTTTACTCCCACGATTCCCCCCTTTTCTACTCTACTGGGAAAGGTACATAGTTATTAGGCAGCGTTGGTGTTAGGATTTTGACATTATTATCTCTTCTGTTTTTACCTCTTCCTTGCCTCTCGAGGCTCATTCATGTCTCTATACCGTTATATTTCGTGGTGTATACAGCGTCTCTCTCGCTCCAGGTCTTGGGAACCATTTCCTGTATCTAGAACACTTTCGTTCTGGCCTATGGCACGGTTTACCGCTTCCCTCTCCTCAGCCGCAGAGTCTTCTGCATTGATTATATGGATCATTATTACGATTCTCATTTACCTAGCAGGAAGAAGTCTGGAATTTTATCCTCAATATCATACTTCTTTTGCTTGGGTTTGCACTTTGTGTCTTGATTTTCGGGGCCAGCGTTTTGTTTGGATTGCTTTGGGTTGATGAATCTGAATTAGCGTCACTTGGGATGGGAGGCTTTAGTTCTTTAGTGGTTATTTGTAGCGTCATTTACAGGTCAGGCGGTACTCTACTCGGGATTTCTTGGTGGTCGGCATGCTTGGCTACGGCTATGGCTATGAAATCTTTCACTTTTGATACCGAGATACCCAAATGCTATATTCAATTGCTTCTTCCTATTTTTTGCTCTTTCCTCGTTTCTAAAATTCTCTAGATGCATGTGCTGGACAATGCCAGGGTTAGGGATGGGATGGGAAGGGTGTTGTTTTTATCCTTTTGTTTTGTGCATGTGTGGCATGTGTGCGATTGGTTGGTTATTTGTATGTGCGTATGTAGTGGGCTGACTCATTTGGTGGTTTGGTGGGTTGGATTGTTGTGACATAGATTAGTTGATAGGTTGATAGGTTGATATAATCAAACAATGATTTGATTTGATTTGATTTGATTTGATTTAATATGAATTATATTTGGTTTGATATTGATGGAGTTCGTTAAAAAAAGCCCAATCAAGTTGAACTAACTATTGAACATAAATTATAACATCCATGATTGAAAGAAAGACGTCCATCTCTGCAGTCCATGGCAAAATATCTAACTATCGGTGTCATACTATCTAAGTTCTTCTTTCCCTTCAACCTCATCATCCTTTCCATCGTCACCAATCTCACCAGTGACTACTTGTCCTTTATCTGCCTTCTCATTCTGGGACATCCATTTAGCTTGCCACTCTACATTCTTCAAGTTCCCTTTCTTTGGATCATTATTTCCTTCTTTGAAACTAATCTCTTTCTGGATCTTGGGGGGAATTACCTCACCATACTCTTCATCTTCATCTTCATTTTTTCCCTCCTTAATTACCGTACCCCTCTCACCCCCCACACCCCCATCCCACCACCTCGCCTCACCCCACCACCTACACCTCTCTCTCGTCCCCCCATCCACCCACTTATCCCTCCTCTCCACCCTCACCTCCACCCTCACCTCCCCCACCTTTCCATATCCATCATCCCCCGCCCCCAAAACCACAACCCCATCCCTATACACCGGAAACTCGGGTCCCCCCACCCCTCCTCGATTAGGATCTCCTTCTTTCACAAATCCGATGATGTAGCTTTGGAGTGTTTGGGCGATGAACACCGTGGAGGGGAGTACTTTTCCTGTGTTGTATATGTTTGTTGGGTTGGAGGGGGGGGGTTCGTAGAACTGGGTTAGGTTAGTATGTTCAATTTGTTTTGTTTTGATAGATTTTTATGTATTTGAGTGGAGAAGAGAAAAGAAAGGAAAAGAAAAGAAAAGAAAAGAAAAGAAAGCACAAACCGAAAACCCAACATCCTGCCCATGAACCCCCGGATCCACTCCAAAAACATATTTATAAATCCCCTCCTCCCCCCACGCCTCACTCAAAAATAGCGTATTACAAATCGTGCCCAATTCCGCCGTCGCATTCGCAACCCTCATTATCTTCTCCACAATCCCAATGCCTATTTCCTCTACTGGCAATGGATACAGCTCCTTAACCACATACTCCACATCCTCACCACTCAAACCCGGTAAACTCTTATGTATAAATTCCGCAAACGCATCATCATTTTCCACAGCCGATATATCTGTGAACAATAGCCCTTCGTTGGAATTATGTGATACCATTATCCCGTCGATGTCTTGCCAGAAATCGCCATCGCGCAGTAGAATGGATATGGGTTTGGGGATAAATGACCTGTCGATTGTGGGTCCAAATGTAAATTGTGCATAAGGGGATTTGGACACTAGGAATTTATTCGCATCGATTAATTCTGGTGAGGATTTGGTTTTTAATTCTGAGAATGTGTGCGCGTTGGCTATGGATAGAAATTCTTCGTATACATGTTTTTCGGTCTTGGCATTAGCGGCTGGGAAAAAAGCAGGGGATTGGAGGATGGCGCGTTGAAATGGAGCTCGAGGTAGGGACTGGGAATTTAAGGAGGAGTAGGAGGAGGATTCTCCTCCGTATGAAGTTATGTGGTGTAAGATTGATGCTGCACCTGCGGATTCTCCAATCACGGTTACGCGATCGGGGTCTCCGCCGAATTTGGAGATGTGTTCGGAGACCCAGGTTAGTGCTAGGGCTTGGTCGTAGAGGCCGGCGTTGGCGGTTGGTTGAGTTTCTGAGTCTGAGGGGTTGGAGGGGGTGGAGGGGGTAGTAGATAGGAAGCCGAAGGCGCCGAGCCGGTAGTTGATTGTTACCTGGGGTGGGTTAGGGGTTAGTTGTGGGTTGGGTATGGTATGGTATGGTATGGTAAGGGAAGTGAGGTAAGGGAAGTGAGACGAACGAAGATGATGCTATCGTGAATAGGTACGCTGTCTTGTGGGAATGTCGAGGCGTTGAAAAATCCATATGGACTTCCATCTTGATTTTTATGGCCGAATGTAAAGCCTCCTCCGTGTATCCATACCATTACTGGTACTAATATTAATCAGCAATTTAACTCATCAACTCATCAACTAATCAACTCAGAAACAAGAGATAAATAGATAGACAACACAACCCACAAGGAACAAAATCCCCATCTTCCTCCACCGCCTCAATAACCCCTTCTGGCACCACTACATCCAACAACAAACAATCCTCACTCTCCCAATCTCTAGGCCCCTCTTTAAAAGGATCAGGTGTCAAGTTCGTCAGATCGACATTAGTAATGAGTCCCAAAGTCCATAGTGCGACGAGCAGAGCTGCGTCTTGTGTCCAGTCTGGATGCGCTTGCGGACATATATGGCCGATGGATCCGTTGTTTATGAGGGATGAAGAAGATGTACCGGTACTAGTACTACTCGTATTTATAGGGAGGGGTTTGGCGAAGCGAAGATTGGCGAGGGGGGGTGTGGCGTAGGGGATGTTGCTGAAGTTTTGGTAGTGGCCTGTGGACTGGTGGGGGTTTTTTCTTTTTAGTGGATGAATAGGGATGGAATGAGGGGGAACTGACGTTAAAATTGGCTTGGTGTCGTTCGTAGCCTAGATCTACTATAGGTCCGGGGATAGAAGGGGGTTTTGGGGTGGACTGAGGTGGAGGAGAGAAGGAGGAGGAGGAGATGTGGTGATATTGGAATGCCTCTACTGATGAAACTGAAGCATGTATAGATGCAAAAATTGTTAAGAGTGCAAGTTTCATTGTGAGATATAGTCAGATAGGAACCATTTTTCGAGGGAATAGGAAAGAAATGGGAAGGAGTGGGTGTCAAGATATCTTGTATCTAAAATTTGACACATTGTCTTATTCATGTCTGAGTTCAGCTTGTACTCGACTAATTATTGCGATGCAACGCAGACTGGAAATCGTGAAAGTGGTGATAAGGTGATGAAGCGACAACGTGGTACGAAAATTCGTGTCACGGTTTTTGACTCAAAAATCGGTGATTCCTAGATCTTCTCTTCTCTTCTCTTCTTTCGGTCTCACTGGCTTCTTTGCAGAAAAAAGTATGTATGTATACTTCTCTCGATATTGACGATCGTGATTATGCTATAGATAAAAAGTTTATCTTCATGGACTATGGTTCTTTTGAAATTGACTTCCTTTCAATACAGACACAGTATAGCATTATAGGAAGACATATATCATCACTTTGCGAATACCTGTATCTACTATGATACAAACTCGGCAAGAGCAAGACATGGATGGTACCGTAACGCAAATCTACGCACTTTTTCTGAAAGATGGTGGTGAATAAAATAAAGTCTTGGTTTGCAGTTCTACGATAACTCGTACTGAGCATTTGAGGACTTGGGATGCATAACACGATTTGTATTATATCTCTTAAAACTCTATAGAGTACAGTAGAGCGCTATTGGTTACTAGCTAGTGGGGCCATCTACGATTACAACTTACTAATCCACAGCTCATATGTTCATTGGCTCAAATCCGAAATTCTTCCTTGAATCCCATCAACCTTCACCAATTACCATTTTCTCCTCTTCATACCTCCACCACCCCGTCCCACCCTCATAATCTCATCCAACGCAATCCAAAACCAGAATCTCTTCAAATATGCCCACCCCTCCCTCTTCGTACTCTCCGGCGTAACACTCCAACCCACCATCCACAAAGCCGCAATAACCACACTAACCACCCCCCTCCTAACACGCTCTACACCCGCCCATTCCGCAACCAGCAATCCCAGCCCTTCCACCATCACATATCTCCAATATTTCAACGGCTCGTATATCCAAATCACATCCCCATTCATCTGAACAATATTTCCATTCGATATCATAGTTCGACTTCCAGTGGGAAGAATGATGGCAACGGGATAGCTTTGCACCGCAACTCGCCATTGGAAATACATGGCTGCGAAAAGAAGTGCGCCGGCAAGTAGTCGATCGAGGAATAACGAACCTTCGATGTCGGAGATGAGCCATGCGATCGGACTAAATGGAGTCGCGGTGGTATAAAGAAGAATAATCATCAGCATGGCCGAGAATTTTCGAAAGCTGCTCGATTTGAGGAATTGGTTGGAGGGGTCTGTAGACATGCTAGGCATGGGGCTACTCTGTGGTTCTGCTTGTTTGACCATCTTGCAATTGTTGTGAATTTAACGATTGTCACTTTGTATACTTGAAGTACTTTGTGAGACTATTACTACTCACTTGTTTGCACACCAGCGTGCGCAACTCTTTCTTTTATTCTCGCATTTTGAAAATTATATCGTGGATTCGTGGTGGGTCTCGCGATCGTTGCCTTGAGAAAGATGTATTCGGTCAACAATGCGGCATGACTGCCTATAGGAATACTCATTACGGTGTACTTCCCGATGATAACCTCATTAACGATATTAATTCATCGTGAAAATTGATATTATTCGGCCAATGCGCTGCTTGTCACAAGGCAGAAATGGTATTTATGGAATAGATACTGTAAGACCAAGTAAAAATACCTTCGTTATTACGAAATTGGACGACTACCTCATATATCAATCAACGATTCGCAATGCTTTCCACAAATGGTTGTAATTATTAACGAATACAATTGTAGGCAGGTATGCAAAATGTTCAACGTTCGAGGGTCAAATATTGTCTTCGGGGATTGGGGTGGATACGTACTCAAGGTGCAATTAGGCGTTCTCCACGGCAATATGGTTCTGTGAGCTACATATCTAATTTGCACACCAGTCGCCAATATCTGCCCATATGGAATAAATCCAACATGTTCTAGTAGACCATATCAATTTTCCTTTTTCCTTCATATGCACTATCCAGAGGAAACTGAATCTATATCGATACTCAATTTCAACATTCCATCCTGAAGGACTCGCTTTCGATCGCTTGTCCATCTCTACAACAGTATCTTTCCTATACTACCTCTCATATCTCTAGTCCTCCTCACATTTCCTCATCCCCAAACATATGACTAGAAAAGACACCCCGCAGTACTCTTCTGCCATCTTCAATAGCTCTTCCGATTCACCAAGTATAAACTTCTCGGGGTATTCTTATTCTTATTCTTTATCACATTAGTCATGATCAAGCATAGATGGAATTTCACACCGCAAAATCTTTACATAAGAAACGACTTGCGTAGACTGGCGTAGACCAATTCAAATTAGCTATTCGCTCACAATATCGCTCGCTGACAAAGATGCATTTTCTAGAAGGATGAGCAAGAATGTATATAAAATTACTTGACGTGGGCTTTTGATAGGTTGTGTTTAGAAAAGAGGTATCGCTAGACCACTCGAGTAAGTATTTGAGGACATCTTATATTTGCACTTGCACTTACAACACCAGCGAGATATTCCTCTTCAGTATTATAGCTCAATAGCTAGCTAGCTCAGAAGCCCAGCCCAGCCCCCAGCAAAAGCAAATCCGGCGCGAGATTCTACACTTTAGTCTTTAATAGGTGTTTTCAATATTATTTTTATCCAGTGATGGACCATCACCATCACCATCGCCAAACTTGAATTATTTGGCTGACGAAATGGTTGTGTAGTCTACGGGCGTAATCGTAATTACGCATGAACCCATCGAGCGAGGATGCGCCTGAGCTTTACATATTATCTGTTTTGTTCTGTTTTGATTGACGGCCATACATACATACATACATACATACATACATACATATAATGATATCACACCGATCGATGCAAGTCACAGGATTCTCTCACTATTTGTCTAACTAAGTCTGATATTTTGATTAGCTAATTAATGCGTCGACAACGAAACAATATACATGAAGCTATTTATTCAAGTATATGCAATTCAACGATTGATTTTCGATTTTCGATTTTCTAAAGACTAGACTGCACTGGACTGGACTGGACTGAAATAATACAATATAAGATGAGCCAGTGCCTTCTCCTTTTAGTGTTTGCACATCCATCTCAGATGTATGGATATGGAATATGTGGAATCACTGATCGATATCGATATCTATTACTTTTCTAGAGTACTGAGTATTGAGTAATAGAAGAGTTATATATGGTTATTGAAGACCATACATTTCACCACTACAGTACAATACCCCTACATTCGTATTTATTATCGAGGTGCCTGGTACTAGGATAAGCAAGAATATCTTACGTAGCTGACATGTAGACAAGTAGATAAGTAGACAAGTAGGACAGTGAACAAGGCGAATGAATGTCACAATCTATTCTTTATATCATATCATGTCACAACACATTACATCACATTATATTATCTCCCCACCCCCAATTTTATAAATTGCTTTAAAAGTTAAATTAACCTAACCTTATTATGTTATAATATAGTATACCTTACCTTACCTACTTTACTTTACCTTATTGGGGGAGGGGAATCTTACCTTACCTGTATACTATATCTTTATATCTTACCTATTTGGCTTCATCGGGTATTCGGATGTCTTCCTTTACCTTGCCTTACCTTGATCTTGAACTTACTTACCTTACCTTATTATAAGACTTACTATATTTCCTTCTATTTCTTTCGTATATATATATACTTACCTGTATATATATTGATATCCTATCAATTACACCCTTCCTTTCCTTTATTTATATATTTTTTTTCCTTCTTTTCTTTTTGAAGTGGAATAAATCTACCTCATCCTCTTCCTCTCCCAACTATATCCCCACCTACACCTCTCCTCTAAAGCCGGACTCCACCCCTATAGCCCCCCTCCAGCCCTACATCCTCCCAACCCCCTCTCTCCCTCTGATTCTCCCTCATCCTCCCCGCCATCTCAACCACCTCCATCTCCCTCACCATCCTCTTCCTCTCCTTTTCCAACTTCTCCTCTACTTTCCTCTCCTTCCTCTTCCTCAACCTCTTACACACACAACATCTCACCACACAATAAACCATTACCAACACAAAAATTATGACGCAAATAACTGTAAAGATTGTGCCGCCAGATGACGATGACTGTGTGGAGAGGGGTTTATTTGTTGCTGTTGTATTGGATGTGGATTTGCAGTACCAGTATGTGAAATACCAGAAGTAGATGTAGATGTAGGGATAGCTTTAGATGAAGTTGAAGATGTAGATGTAGATGAAGAAATCGAAGGCAAAACTTCTATAGAGACGATTTGTGAAGTGGTAGGGAGAGGTTTACTTTGACTCTCGCTCTGGATCTGGCTCTCGCTTGCGGGTAATACAATGGCGTTGATGCGTGTACTGATTGGTTTTGCAATTGCTTTTACCGTCGCGGTTGCGGATGCGGTTGGAATTTGTGCTAGGAATGGTGTGGATGTAATAGAAGCGGGTGTGGCGCTGGTTTGTTGGAGTGCTGGCGCCATGTTATTGTATTGTGTCTTATTTTTTGCTCTTTGGGGGGTTTGAGTTGATGGATGGATGTTTTTGTGTGTTTTTGTTTTTGTATATCTTTTGAGTTTGATTTTGATTGGTATAGTATAGTTCTATATCGTGTGATATGATATGATATGATATCGCGTTGTATTGTATGATTAGAGTTGACTTTTTCTTTTGTGTAAATATAATTCTTGTTTATCTTTTTTTTTCTTTCTGTTCTGTTCTGTTCTGTTCTGTTCTGTTCTGTTCTGTTCTGTTCTGTACCAAGAGTCAAGAATAAAATAGTAAGAGGGGAGTGGGATGGGGAGTATATATAACAAGAAGATTGTATTAGCTACTAGTAGGCAAAGAACAAGGAACACAATGCAAGAGACAAAAGACAAAAGACGACAGACAATAGGAATAAAAGATCTTTGTCATACTAATATCTTCCCTTTCAGAAAGATATAAATCATACAATGTAAGAAAGAGAAGAACATGGCTTTGATAGAAAGCTTTGTATGAAAACACAAGGGAGGAGAATCTTCAAAGAAATCCTTGTGCTCGATTCGAGTACGAGGTGAATATAGAAAAGAAAAGAAAAGAAAAGAATGTTTAGATAATACTGAAAATACTTTGTGAGGAATGGAGAGGTTAGTTAAGAAGGTTCTTTATGAAGTTGCATGCTAAATAAATGAATAAGATTAGAATAGTTAGAGACAAAGATATCCATCCATCTACTCGAGTATTTACCCATCTATCTATTAACATATACTCAAGTACTTACTTACCTTACCGAGTCTAGAGTATGAATCTCCTAAATTATAGCTTACTCGAGTATAATACACAAATAAGTATACAAAGAACAATCAATATTCACTTCACTTAAACCGTAAACTTATTTTTAGATATATATGATATATGATATAGTATTTCTAATTAAATTAAATCTCTGTATATACATATATATATATGTATGTAGTAAGCAGTGCACCATCGCGTTCTCGCTCTTCTCTACTAAGTATCAACTAAGTATCAAATAAGTATCAAGCAAGCTATCTAGACTACTAGGTATCTAGCATAGTACTGTACTCACTCTACGGTATCATATCCCCCAAAACGCCACGCTCGAAATGATATGTTCAGGTTTTGCGCATGTGACTTAACTTGGAATGGAAATGATATTGCCAGCCAGCCAATCATTTCCATTTCCATTTCCATCTCCATCCCCTAGCCAATTTATACCACTTCTCGAATCTCGATCTATGAGTACCTACTCTGGTATATATATATATATACACCGGTACTCAAGAATACATATCTTTAATTTCTCTTCCCTCCAAATAAGCCGATTCACCTCTTTCCCTCCCCATATAACTAGTTCCGTTGACTTCGATCCTGCGCCATGCATTTTCCGAATTTCCATTTCCATCACCTGTCATATCTCGAGCCACCTCCATTTTTTCCTCATCCCTAGAAGAATGATAACTTGGTGGACGACTCAGACTGTCCATATTCATATCCCTGCCCCTCGTCATCCCCAATTCCTTCTCCAATCCCCAGACTCCCTCTTCCTCTCCATAACCAGCTCTCTTAAACTCTCCCTCCTCATTTACACTACCCTTCTGCGCAGCAAATGGCCGACTAATCTCACTTTTCCTCACCGTCCCATTTCTACCCACACCCCCCTCATTCCCCACAACCCTATCCATCATCTCCACCTTCTCCCTCTCCTCCTTCTCCCTCTCCTTTTCCTTCTCCCTCGCAATCTTCTTCTGCATCCTCTTTCCCCTACATACCAAACACCAAGTAAGGAGTCCCGTAATAATCCCGAGCGCCACCACAAAAGCGAGAATCGTGCCCCAGAAATTAAACTGTACTTGCCAGAAACCTTCCTTGTTGACTGAGGTTGGGGCCGATTCTGCTCTTCTGAGTAGTATAATCTCTTGTGGGCTGAGGGTCAGGGTACCCAGGGTGCGTGTGATGTGTGGGATGTACATTGTGTTTGCACTGTGCTTTATGTGTGTGTCTGGTATGAACTCGTGATGAGGAAGGTAGTTGTACTGGAAGTACGATATATATGTATGTGTGGTCCGTATGCAAAGGTCGATCTGATTGATTGACTGACCGACTCGAGTTGAAGGGGTAAAAATACAATGACGTGCTATAAAGCAATACGCGTGTAATGTCCTCGTGCTCTTAGTGTAATCTCAATGTAATGTATTATATCTCTCGAAAATTTGGTGTTGATCCAGCAACAATAAATGAATGAAATCAAGAAAGTATCCAAAATAATAATAAGGTTCCAGGCCTTCGGTCTCTGGATACCAATGACTTTAAGTTCCTTGTATAATTCTTTGCGCGAATTGAGTCAAAGAAATCTCCTTGGTGTATAGTTGAATCTTAATACAAAGGCTTTGTATCTTCTTCCTTGTCCTCGATAATGAATGATTGGGTTGATGTATTTTTGTATCCTCTTTTCAAAGATCTTGTTAAGGAAGTTGAAAGGATCAAAGAAAGAAGGTGGTGTTGTGATGGTGGTTGAACGAATGGATAAAAAGATATCTCTCTTTTCTTTGTCTTTTCATAAATCTCGAACCCCGTCGAGTCGATGAAGAAATGTATTGTGTTGTACAAGAGTATCGAGGAAGAAAATTCCTATTCCTGAAAGTCCAATCTCCTCAAGAGATTATAGTAATGATATCCGCTACCACAGTCACAATAGCTGAAAATAAGAATGAATAAATCTCCCAGAGCGGCCAGATCGAAATTTCCCACTCATAAAAAACAATATTCCCTTAAAACATTTTCCACAATTCATACAGTAACGACAGTATATTCAATCAAGCACGAGAGACAACAGGACAAGATGATCAGACGAACAAACCAAACGAAATTGAAACGAAACCGGAAATCCAATCAACATGGCACTCGCCGTTAAGCATAAACATAAAACTCTCTCCTCCGTCCGTACCGCTCCCCTTGGAATATGTTATTATATATAGCGGGTCGCCCCATATAAACCCTTTGAGTTTAGAGTAAGATTTATAACTGGATACGTACTTCGTACCGCTTTTGCTGTAAATCGTGACTGAAAACTTGTTACGTGTTTTCTGATGCCGGGTGGTGGGAGGGAGTTCTATTGATTAATTATACAGTAGCACTGTGACATATTCTCAGGGGGGAAGGGTGAAGGGGGGGGAAAACAATACCATCGAATATATGCAGTACCTCTATTCTGTATTTAATCATCAAACGATTTGTACCGGTACTTGTCTTTGTATCTGTTTATCCCAAATAGCAGACAATATACCGATATCCATCCTCATCTCCATCCTCATCTCCATCATCATCCTCACTATATTCCACAGAAGAAAGGAGGTTCTAACTTCCGCCTTCCAAGCCCGGCGTTCATTATCCGTAATGGGTATACTCCGGGACGTGCATGTATTTCCACTACGAGTAGTATTAATACGTACCCGGACCAAACCCCCTTCCCGTCAATCCAAGCCACAATCCCCTTCCCATCCCATCTCCCATATCCATCTCCATCTCTATCACCATCTCCATATCCATCTTCATATCAGCCATCCACTCATCCACTCATCCTCCCAAAATCCTAAACCTCCAAATACGAACCCTACCTCCCACACCCCTCCCGGACCTCACCCCATTTCCCACTTCCCAATTGAGCCCTCAGCATCTCCATCCCAAATCCAATTAGCCCATCCCATCCCATCCCATCCCATCCCATCCCACTCACGATTCGATTCGATTCCGCATACCTCTATACATACTCCGTACTCTGTAAACTATCAGACAATTTACGGTACCCCCTCCCCCCCTTATCTCATCCAGATCTACTGTTATACAAAACCAGAAAAACCAAGAAGCCAACAACCGACGTTAGTAACTTTCCTGAATATAGATATGTATAAACCTTAGGTAGTTAGTAATACATCTCTTTAGACTTTATTCGTGCTCTCTACTATATACTCGAGTATAAACTAACTCACTTATCCATTCTCCTAAACTCAAACAAACTAAAAACGATTACAGCACAGCATAAAATTTATACCTCAAAAAATACATAACCATCAAATCAAATCATATCAAATATATGATACAATCACAATCACGATAACTCATAATATAACTACATAAAATAACATTCGTTTCGCCCTGCGCAATTCCTAGTCCCAACCATCCCATCCATGTTTCTCACGAACTAACCCAAACCCATCTAATAATAATCCCTATCGATATCATTTCCATCATTCCCATCTCTTCAATGCTGTATTCTACCCCCGTCCTATCCTTTTCTTCCCTCCACTTCCTTTCCTACAACACACGACGAATAGCCCGCCCACAAAGGAAATAATATATGAAGGAAGGGTATGATATCAAAAAATAAAAAGATGCATGTATGTATAGATGTAAGATGTAAGATGGATATCATGTATGAAGTAAGTAATCCGAACCAAAAGCCAAGCTGCTTTATATGGTATGCAGTTGCTTTGAATATCGTATCGTATCCAATGGTATATAAAGTTGTCGAAACGATTAGAAATTTTCTTTGCCCCAGCAGAAATTGAATCCTAATATCATTGTCAGCACAACGTATCAATGAAAGAAGGGAAGGGAAGAACAGAAGAGAAAAAAGAGTACTAACCAGGCTCACTGTACATATTACACTTAATATGCAATTGACTACCCAGTACCTTCGGTCCACAAAAGAACACACCCGCCTCACTCGGACTATGAATCTTCCTCACACTCTTAAAGATCATATCCCAATTAGGTCTTCCAAAGTTGGTTGGAGCTCTCAATCCCGTAATCGCATCACGATCTGCATTTGCATCGTTAATCATGATATTTGTCGCATCGTCTACCTTGATCTTCGCTGTCAAGTATGTATGGATTTCGATACGGTTATCCATATCTTGAGCTTCGATCGCAAGTAAGAGAGAACGGAACCATTCGAAGGATCCGAAATCACGACAGATCCAAAAGAAGTATACCTTGCCGAGACGAGTCTTCTTTTGAGGATAGTTCATGCGGTACCAGATGGATTTGAGAATGGACGCAAAAGGAGTGACACCGATACCTGCACCACAAAGCATGGCGACTTCGAATTTGAAGACATCCTCAGAGGCGGAACCGAATGGACCATCGACGTAGACACGGGGTAAGATACGACGAATAGCAGGATCAACTCCATCAGATCCTGGTCCACCTTGATTTACACCGACGACCTGAGATCCTCCCTTTGCATCCTTTGGCTTATCAAATTCGCATCCAAGGGCTATTCCAACAGCTCGCGTGAAATCTCCTACCATTCTAATATGAATGGAGATGTAATCCTCTTCAGGAGCCGATGTGAGCGTGAAAGGATGATATTGATAGATCGAGACCTCGGGACAACAGAAGAAGATATATTGCCCTGCTCTCGTCTTTGTATTCTCTTTCTTGATTTGAATTTCGCAGACGTTGGAAGGATGTTGAACCACTTTGGAAACATAGGTCTTGTGCTTTCCACGAATTTCACGTGCAATACGTTCAGCCAGGTAAATATATCCACCATACATCCAGTACTGCCAGAAGACACCAATAGCAGATGTACCAACACTAACACAGAAGGGTGCGGTGTCTGGTTGAATCATACAGAAAGCACCGTGGACGGACCAGAAAACGAAGAAAACGACGAAGAAGTGATGAGTGTACCAGAAACGTTCGAAGTTTGATCGGCGATACTTTTCATACGAAGTAATAGCCATCGCCATAAGTGAGATCAACATAACGTATCCAGTCCATCCAGGACCACTGACAAAGTTCGCGAGGAGGAAACCAGCAAAACCAAGATTGTTCTTTGCCGAGATTTGGGCGAAGTTATTCCAATGCGCAATAATGTGTACCCAGGAGAAGAAAACGATAGACCAAGCCGTAGTCATATGGAAAGTGATGTTCTTATCGAATTGTACAATGCCGTTCAGAGGAGTTTGACGTGCCAAAGAAATCAAAGTACGACAAACTGGGAACAAGATCATAGCAACATCGAAATGTAATGTCAAAGCAGCGGCTCTGGCAATCGCATAGGTGACAGTGAATGTACTTCGTGCAAGACCGAAACTATCCTTGAGCTGGTAGTTCATAAAACCGAATATGAAAACCATTAGATGGAGTAGAGCGAAGACGAAGACGAAACTGAACTTGTGTTAGTAAGTTTATACTTCTATGACTCTCATGATAACCCACAATCGTCGGTATCCTTCATTGACCATCCATCTATCGAATCTCTCCCTCATCGTCAATTCCCTCGGCATCTCCGCCGTCATCTCACCAGACATCAACACTCTTGTCAATGGTGGCCATCTTGATCTTTCAGAAGTCCTCGTCGACCCCGTACTCATCCTATCATAAGCCTTTTCAGACATCCTTCTAAACTTTACGACGTCGAGTCGTATTTTTTAAATGCCTCTTTATATCTTTCCTTCTCGTCTTGATTCTCTTTCCAAATTATACGTGGGTATCGTTGTAGTATTAAAGGGTAATATGATTCAGGACCTGCTGAACGGACAGAAGTTCCCAAACGAGAGTAATCGTACAGAGAAATAAAATTATTGAATGAATATAAAACGGATGGAAGCCTATTGAGTAACGATAGGAAAGATGTCAGCCAAAGTTCATTCTGATCGGCGACATATATTCGCAAAAGAAGTAGCACAACACACAGAGAGAGATTGAGAATAGAAATCCAAGTCTCGAAGGAATCCAAACATACCTGTACTCAATGCCTGCACCGACGGCTGTCCCAAAATCAGCAAATAGTAGAGAGAGTTGTGTGACGTGCAGAGTAAAAGAAAAAGAGGAAGAGAAAAGATGGTACAACAAGCAGAAGAGAGGAAGAAACGAGAAACTTTCTGCCAAGGAGAAAGAGGAAGGGGGGGTAATATCACAATGATTCAAGAGTGTCACGTTGATGCATAGGGAAGAGTATGCGATGGCCTGACAATAGATTCGTATGTAACTAAGTGTCTGAGCATAATGTATAGAACAATACCGGTCTCATGGGTTCTCGTGCACAGAAACCAGCGTCTCTTTCGTTGCAGCGTGTGGTCAGAGAGAGAAGCTTCGAAACAATTGATGGGATCGCGATACTTGACTAGGGTTTATAAGGTCTAGCCTTGTCAGCATTTTGGTGTGGTTGAGAGAAGGAAAATCCTCCTATGGGAGAGATGGGTCGAGGACTCGAGGGGGATTGATGGTAGTTGGAGTTGCAAGGTTTGAGAGGGGGCCGCCGTCTGAGAGGGGAACTATGAAAATAGATATGGATAACCCTGATAAACGCGAGTATGTGCGACAGATTCAAGGATAGATACGGTTAGATGTTGTTTAAGTTGACCAATTAACCCACGCACAACTGTTCTGATATTTAAATAGTTGATGGATAAGTCGACAATGCACCCAAATAAGATAAAACTCTCCAAGAAATTCAACCCCTAACAATCCGCCCGTCATCGAACATCAATCAGAATATAAAGTTATAAGTTATACAAGCAGTTTGAGATCCCCCAAATTCGATACAACACCTTTTCACACCTCCGTATCATATCCAACTCAACTCGTTTGAAAGAACCCAGTCCGAAACCTGCCCAGAGCGCGCAAAGTGGATAACAACTGAAACTAGAATTTATCCGAGCCACTTTGTGCTAATCTGGAAACTACCTGGATTTAGTTAACTAATATACCGGTAACCTTGATCACGAGAATTAGAAAATCGAGTTGGTGATAAACCTTATTATTTGGGTTGATAATCCCATCACACCACACCACACCTCAAATCATAATCAATATACCTACCCACCTACCCATATCCATTCAATTCTTACTCTAAGTCCAATCGACTCTAAGTCCAATCGACTCTAAGTCCAATCGACTCTAAGTCCAATCGACTCTAAGTCCGTCCAATCATCACTCTATTAATACAGTAACATCTATACAACAACATCACTCTATGTAACATCTACCCATCTACTCATCTATACAACAAGTATATATATAATATATAACACAAAACAATGAAACCTCAGAATAACCTATACCTTTAAACATCATCAATACCAGATATATAATAGTATATATACAGAATATATATATATATAAAATAAATCCCCATCTATCCTATCTATTCGTATACTGATCAGTGATCTCAATACCCCCCAAAATCAAAATCCCTATAAACATATTTCTAGAATCTAGATCGCTAGAGTAATCTCTCCTCTCCTTCCTCGTCTCCTTCCCCTCCTCTTCTCCTTCCTCCTATATACACAATTCCCCAATTTCCCAACTCCCCAATTGCCCAACTCCCCAACTCCCAAATCCCCGGCTTCCCATTTGCTTCTACTCCCCAAGAACAAATTCCATATCATCCCCTCCCCTCCTCCTCTCCTCCCCCCAATTCATTTCTAAACCCTCCATCCATCCAGATTCCAGATTCCAGATTCCAGCACAACCATCCCACACAACCATCCCACACAATCTAGCCCCTTCTCCCTTCTCCCTTCTCCCTTCTCCCAGAACCCCCTAGACACCCCCATACACCCACTTCTAGCTATCCCTATCTCTATCTATCCCCTCACTTTCTTCACCCCACCTTTCTTCACCTCACCTTTCTTCACCCCACCCTTCTTCACCTCACCTCACCATTATTCACCTCACCTCACCATTATCCGATTTACTCTCTCTCTCTCGCTCACCTCACCCTCTCTTCTCATAATCTAGAACCTATAAATCTCAATCTATAGATTATAAACCCTAAACTATAAACACTCCTCGACAACTCAAATATATATATACAATATATACATACACCTCATATAACATAACATAACATAACATATAATTAGCTTTATCCCTCCCCTCCCCTCCCCCTCCTCTTTCTCCCCTCCCTCCTCCACCCTTCTTCCCTTCCCTCTCCCTCCTTCCCTTCTTCCCTCCTTCCCTTCTTCCCTTCTCTCCCCTCTCCCCTCTCCTTTCTCTTACCTCTACCCACCATTTCCCCTCCCTATCCCCTATCCCCTATCCCCTACCCACCATCCCCATCCCCATCTCTCCTCTTCATCCCTCCCCTCCCCTCCCTCTTCCTCCAACTCTCACATATCCTCTTCCTCCACCCTCTTTCCCTTCTTCCCTCCTTCCCTTCTCTCCCCTCTCTCCTCTCTCCACCCCTCTCCTATCCCCCTCCCCCCGTCTCTTTCTCCCTCCCTCTTTCCACCATCTCCCCTTCATCTCCCTTCCCTCCCTCCAACCCTCAACCCCCAACCCCCTCCAAAACAAGACAAGACAATCATAATAATAAGAAAAAAAAATCGAAAACAAAAAAGTACTTGCAGTAATATCAAATACCACCTACCACCACCCACTCACCCACTCACCCACTCACTCACCCATCATAAAGATCATAATATTCCTCTCTCTCACCCTTACCAAGGTAGACAGACATATCGAAGCATATCGTTTCATTCCATACTCATTCATACTCAGTATAGTATGGTATTGCCGAGAGAATTAAATATATAAATGTACATCCATGCTTCTTATAACATTCCTCTTCCCCTTCCATCCCCTCTTCACCAACATCGAACTTCCTTTCATCTCACCTCATACTTTCACATCACATCACATTACATTATATATCACATCACATCACCACCAAAAATCACCAAAAACCATAAATCACAAAGTGAGAAAAGCTCCGAGTAATGCTATGAACCTGAATATCAACGAATAGGAGAAACGTAAGAAAAGAAGAAGGCGACGGCGACGACGACAACCCGTCCATTCATGCAACATGATCATCTATTTCCCCACGCTCATCCTTTATTCATCATCCATCAATCCACCCCATTCATCCATCCATATCACATTGCATTCTCCCGATATCTATCCTCCACCAATCTTCTCATCCCCTCCACAATTTCCACCCCAATCCATCGCAAATATCCCCCAACAGCAGCCTTTACATTCCTGCCATGTATTGTGTGTCGTGTAAAAAGTGTTAAGTGCCTAAGTAGACCCAGACCAAAAAGTTGTTCATTCATCGAGTTTCATTGACGCCAGCAGATCCTTTACGCAATAGGATAGAATAGAAGAGAGAACACAGAGGAAATTCATCAACCCATTCATTATTCCGATCCGTCATGCCTTGTCATATGTAATTTAGGTTATGGGAGGTGATTTAGACGGCGTATTTTCGAGTCCATTCTCTGGCTGTGGCCTCATATCTAGATCGGTCGGTCTTATAAACGTGTGCGATCTCTGGGACAAGTGGGTCATCCGGGTTGGGGTCGGTAAGCATAGAGCAGATAGACAAAAGAACTAGAAATTAAAGATTAGCTAAGATCTGTGCAGGATTCAGATTAACAACATACCTTTAGAGATAGTCAAAGCTGGGGACCATTGATCTCTTAAGATGTCTAAACAGATGCTTCCGTTCGAGTTGATGTTTGGGTGGTAGATTCTAGTTGTGAAGCTAACCTTGGGGGGCTTGAATGGGTAGTCGGTAGGGAAATGGATAGCGAGGAAGAAGACACCTCCGGTGTATGGGGAGTCGGACTAGAAAATATATTAGTAAGTTGCTACATACGTAGTGGTCATATACCATCGGAAATCGAGAGTATATGGATCGGTGGCGGAAGGCCCCTCAAATCAAAGAGAGTTGAAGATAAGATCAAACTTACAGGTCCCATGATAGTAGCTTGCCAGTGAAACTAAATGAAACAAATAGTATCAGTATCCTTCCTTTGATATGCCTTGCTTGCCATGATATCCATCTTGAGCGCATTCAAAGATATTTGTGCCTCGAGCAGCAACAGATTTCGATCGAAGAATAACATACCAAATCATCTCCTATAGGCCCAGCAGAGCATGACGAGGGAGGATCACTATTCCAAAATCAAATCAGTATACTATTCTCCAGACCATCCATACAATATATCATCGCCGTCATGAAGTTTTTGATAATCCTGCACACAAGACCCCGCTCAACGATGTAGCCCCACCAGGATCTTTGAGACTTCGTGGCGGTGACAAAACAGACACAAAAGAATAACATACCGGCCCAAGTCTGTGAGTTCCTTATTGATTCTCTTCAAAGCCATATTGAAGTATGTATTATGTGTGTGACGAGTGGTGTATGATAGAAAGGTTGTCGAGTACGTTGATGGATTTCGATTTTCTCGAGGTCGCAGTAGTAAATGGACTGTTGAGTTAGGTAAGTAAGTGGGCTGGGATTTCTGTGTAGACACGATTTGTTAGCGACAGCTAAAAAAAAACACGCGAAGATGACGGAAGAGGATAGAGAATGTGGGTACAAAATGGTAAAGAAGAGAACGAACGGTAAAAGCTTATTATAACTTTTTGAAGTTATACAAACAAGTACAATAGAACAAACAACTATATACACATGAAGAGTTGTAGAGATTTTTTAATGGAATAAATACATACCCAAAGGTTGATCAACGTTGTAGTTGGTTGTTGAATAAGTATTCGTGAATACTTGAGTACTGATAGATGGGAAGAAGAAGAAGTAGGAGGGGAAGAAGAAGAAGTAGGAGAGGAAGAAGAAGAGGAAGTTGTAAGAGATTACCTAGGTATTTCGCAGGTATGATATTTTTTATTGATAATCTTAGAAGAAGTCGCAACGCAAGGTAAGTCTCAATCTATTATCGTTTCTTATTTTTGGGCAAGCCGTTTTTGTTTTGTGTTGCTTTGATTTGTCTTGAGCCTTGGCTTTTTGTTTGATTTGATTTGGGGTTGCAAAGAAGCGGCGAAGTACTGTATGGAGATTAGGCGATTCCAGTCGAATGAACCTAACTATGTGGTTACGGCTATTAAATGTATTCACTTCTATCAGCAAACAAATGAGAGTTCATTTATTCATTTATGTTTATATTCATGTTGTACCTACCTACTACCTAATAGAACTAGAAGAAAATCGATTCACTTCGAATCTACATCTACTTGAAGATTACCTACCGGTATTAATTACTGATTTCTTATCCAACTCTTTACTCGTACAATTATAAGCAATCAGACCGGAATAAGTGGTTATGGCAATCGGCAGAATAGGCCATCAAAAGTCTGCTACTGCTACTGTATCTTTTTTCACTTCATTAAACGCCATGTAAACTTTACGATTCGGATATCTGCATGAGATATAAATCTATTTCTTTCACTAGGTACCCGAAGATGTCCAAATGGTGGTAATATCAAAGCTTTCTCTCCTCGAAGAGTCACATATCACATATTTATTCGACCATTTCATGTTAGACAAGACATCAAGATATACGAGATCGGTTTCACCAAAAGGTTAAGACATGTTTGACATTTATTTTTATTTCAATTCGATTCCTTTATTCAAGAAAGGTACACGGTGATGGTACAATATGTTTATTCTTCCTATTCACCCTCTTCCACAAAGAAAGCTTCATACCCAAGGGTTTGGAACCGACACCTTGATGAACGTTTTACTTCTACGCCCACTTCTATTCTTTATGGCTCAGTAATATCCATTCCCCATTCACTCACTTACTGACTCACTGACTAAACTAAACTCAACTCATCTCTTCACTCAATCAACAAAATGCTTGAATACCAGTGATTGCTCTTCCGAGAATCAGACCTAATGGATTGGTCAGCATCGCATCGAATCGAATCGAATCGAATCACGCCATGTACCAAGAACAAAAGGTCGAGGCAAACTTACAGTGAATATCACTTTGTCCCTCATAAGTTTGTGTGACAAACAAATTCGAAACATGCCTTCCAATACCATACTCATCACTCGCAGCATTACCACCAAAAATCTCTTGTAATGTTCTCGCATTTCGAAGTGCAGCATCACAATTCTGTCTCTTTATCATACTGATCATCTCTGGTGCTGCTTCTCCCTTGTCCTTGAGTCTTCCAACTTGAACACAGGCGAGTGTACCAAAAGCCGCATCCGAGACGGCATCTGCTAGCTTCTTCTGCACGAGTTGATACTTGGCGAGCGGATTACCTTTGAATTGTTTTCGCTCAAGCGCATATGTTCTAGCTCGATCGATACAATCCTCGAGTGCACCTGTCATTCCCCAAGCAATACCATATCTTGCACTATTCAAACAAGTAAATGGACCTCGAAGACCCTCGACTTTTTGGAACATATTTGCCTCGGGTACTGGGCACTCATCGAGATGGATCATGCCGGTGAGGGAAGCTCGAAGTCCGTTCTTATCCTTCAAAGCAGGTGTCTCCAAGGTCCCCGCTGGACAATCTGCTCGATCGATGATAAAACCTCTAATCTTACCAGTCTCCTGTAACTTAGCCCACACCAAAAACACATCTGCGATCGGAGAGTTTGTAATCCATGTTTTAGACCCTGATATTGAAAGATATCCCTTCTTTGTAGGATGTGGCTTCGCGGTCGTTTCCATAGACCCAGGATCGCTACCATGGTTCGGCTCTGTTAAACCAAAACAACCCAACAATTTCCCTTTCGCCAACTTTGGCAAGTATTTCTCCTTTTGTTCTTGTGTGCCAAATTCGTCAATGCCACCCATTACCAACGAAGACTGTACTGACATTCCGGATCGATATCCACTGTCGACTCGTTCAACCGCCTTTGTAATAAGTCCCGAAGCAACATTCGATACACCAGCACAATCGTATCCATTAATCGTAGCTCCTAGCAACCCCAATTCTCCCATTTCCTCGAGTATCTTTCTGTCAAAATGTTCGTCTCGATATGCCTCTGTTTCGCCCCTCACTTAGCTTGCGCCCCTAGAATACCATCAAAAGACTTACGCAAAACTCGAGGTAGCATCCGTTCCTGACAATACTGCTCCGCAGTCTCTGAAATAGCTATTTCCTCGTCGGTAAAAAGATGATGTGCACCTAGAGGATCTTTCCAATCAAATGGTTGCGGGGTAGCATGAGCAGCGAAACCTCTCGTAGTAACCGCTACCGGCGTTGCATTTGCCAATTGCCTGCTAGCATTTCGTAACAAAGATCTATACATATTGATATTCTTCAAGTAAATCGTATCATTACCTGGAAATCAACAGAAAGTAAGATGGGTTGTGATGTATAAACACTTCCCCAGATATACAAAAGTTGTGGACTAAGCCGGGCCACCATTCATCTGGATTTGGAGCTCCGAGGTATGCTCGGATACAAACGGTAATCAATCCGCGTTTGCTTGCGAGTATTAGATTCAGCCATATGAATTCACATAAAGATGAGCAATATCAGCCATGAAAGTATAGGAGAAATACATGGATTTGAGTACTATGCAGGTTGACAAATCTCATATCCGATGGCCACAGCGAAGTTTGGTAGTTCATTGCACAAGCGGCCGCGAGAAAGTGTAACGGCTTCCCCCGCAAACGGATTCTCGATGCCTGAAACTGTGGCGGCTGATGCCTAAGGCATATACCACTCAACACGAGAAGATCGCGTTGCGTTCCATGCACGTCACTTCGCGTTAACCCAAAATCTATCTAATCCTGATCCTAATCAAAAGTCCTTCCTCTTCCTCAACTTTTCAACTTTTCCTTTTAACAACCAATCCAAACCAATCCAAAACAAAAACATCAAATTTTTGATACAATACCACCGCAATCATGGGTATCAAACAATTGATGGCCATCATCAAGGATGAAGCTCCTGATGCTGTCAAAGAAGGAGAGATCAAAAATCAATTTGGTAGGAAAGTTGCTATTGTAAGTACCTTATTGTTATTCTACACTTATATTGTGCGCAATTGACTGACTTTTGATCTAGGATGCGTATGTACTTCCGAGGATAATATATACTCATTCCTCATACTAACATACACTAGATCAATGTCTATCTACAGTTTCCTTATCGCCGTCCGCTCTGGAGGTGAAATGCTTACCAACGAAGATGGGGAAACTACCTCCCATTTAATGGGCATGTTTTACCGCACTCTCCGAATCGTCGACAACGGTATCAAACCCGTCTACGTCTTCGATGGCGCACCCCCAAAGTTAAAGTCGGGTGAATTAGCAAAACGTTTTCAACGTAAAGCAACTGCTACAGAAGGACTGGAAGAAGCCAAGGAAACCGGTACTGCAGAGGATATTGAGAAATTTTCAAGGAGGACGGTTAGAGTGACCAGGGAACATAATGCGGAGTGTCAAAAGCTGTTGAAGTTGATGGGTATTCCATATATTATTGCGCCAACAGAGGCAGAGGCACAATGCGCTACGTTGGCTAGGGCGGAGAAGGTTTATGCGGCGGCAAGTGAGGATATGGATACATTATGTTTTGATTCTCCAATCCTCCTTCGACATCTTACATTTAGTGAGCAGCGCAAAGAACCTATTCAAGAAGTTAGTTTGGAGAAAGTCCTCACAGGATTGAATATGGATCGCAAACAAGTAAGAAATCTCTCCCACTTCGTTCCAAAGCACAACAAAATGCTAACACAACCCCTCAGTTCGTAGACCTCTGTATCCTCCTTGGCTGCGATTACCTCGACCCCATTCCCAAAATCGGCCCTCATTCCGCTCTCAAACTCATTCGTGAACACGGCGACCTCGAAACCCTCGTAGAATGGATTAAAGCCGACAAAAAAGAACGCTACACCATCCCCGCCGACTGGCCCTACCAAGATGCCCGCGAACTCTTCTTCAAACCCGACGTTCGCCCCGCCGACCACGAAGACTGCGATTTCAAATGGGAAGCCCCGGATATCGAAGGACTCGTCAAATTTCTCGTCGTAGACAAAGGATTCTCGGAAGATCGTGTTCGCGGCGCTGCTCAAAGACTCACCAAGAACTTAAAGTCCACTCAGCAAGCTAGACTCGAGGGATTCTTCAAACCAATTCCCAAAACAGATGAAGAGAGAGCCAATTTGAAACGCAAAAATGATGAGAAGAATGATGCGAAGAAGAAGAAGGTCAAGGATGAGAAGAAGGAGAAAGCAAAGGCAAAAGCGAAGCCTAGGGGCACTGCTTAAGTGGTTCATGGCTTCAAAGGGCTTTGGATAAGGGAAAACGCATGTTTTTATTATTTTCTGGATTCGGGTTTGCGTTATCAAGGCGTACATGCATCACATGAAAGGGCAAGTTGGATGGAAATGGAGTTCAGACGGCGTCAACATGTTGCATTTCTGCTTTGGATGAATTAGCTACCTAGGTATTCCTGGATAGAGGAGATAGCGGTGGTGGTATATTGGGATATAGCAAATTTCAGGCTACAAATAAATACTACACATTGAATACACCAACCGTACTGTACTCACCTCAAACTCCTCGCATATATATTGACCTTGTAGATCAGCCATACGATCTCTTCAAGTTTCGACCCTATACTTGCTTCGTTTTATTCCCTCGGGGATTAACTATGAATTATTATATCATGTTATATCTATTAATACTTACTCGAGTATAACCTTACAACTTATAACTTATAACTCATATTCACATCCAAAATACCTCTCTTTTCGTTAAAGTTGCAGCGCGAAAATAATTAATGAACTTATATATACTCATCTCATCTCATCTCTTATTGATTGTAGATATTCTATTTATTTATTTATCTAATAATGGAATAACGTACTCGAGTATATTATTATATCGTTTCGTTTCAACTCATCCTATCTCATCTCATCCCAATTACTCAAACTTTATTCATTTCACTCTATCCCTCTCCTTCATCGAAATCTCCATTTACTTCATCCATTCTCAATTCACTAACTAACTAACGAACTTTCACTTCAATCATCCATATATATAGGTCTAACCACCCCATCTTCATCTCCATCTTCCCTCACCCCATTCTCATTCACTCCATCCCCATCCATCTCCATTCACCCTATCCCACTCCACCACACTTCACCCCATCTCTCCATCATAATCCTACAATCATCATTCACTCACTCATTCATTCACTAACTCCTCCGCCTACCTACCTACCTACCTAGTATCTTCAAGCCATCCATCTACCCAGTATATTCACTTATTCACGTATTCACTTAGACTCATCACTTTTATCAGTAGTGCTTCCCCTAGATCCCCTGGGATTTCTATTCAATTGCTCATTTATTCGCTAATTCACTCCCCTCACTCTCACTCTTCTTCGTTTGTTTAACCCAACCAACCGTACGTACACTTTGCACCACTTCACTCTACTCTCCTTCGTTGATTATTAAAGAACCTACCATACACCTCTCTCGCACACTTCTCTCAAACACCCCACACTCAATCATCTCATACACACCCCAAAAAACCATATACCATAATCTCTATTATATTCCATTCTATCCCATCTTATTCCATTCTACCCTAATCTACACAACTCCCCTAACCCATCCCATCCATCCCATCCTTCATAAAATCACCCCCCTCCCTTGAACAAACTAACAAATAATCCATACTCAATCCCCCTTTTCCCTCCTCCTCCCCCTCCCCCTCCCTCTTTTCCCTCTCCCTTTCCATCCCCATTTCTCATACTCGCTTTAAACTTACAAGTAAAATTATATTAATACAATACGAAACCAGACATCCAGGACCAATCATATCCATACTCCATCCATCTCATCCCAAACCCTTTTCTATTTTAATCCTGTCTCCATAAGATCCCACCGCCAACCCAATCCCAAAATCCCTTTTTGTTTGCATTTCCATATGCGTTACCACCTCCACCTCCATATCCATTCTCTTCATCTCTCTCTCCCTCTCCATCTTCTTCCCCACTCTCCCCACTATCCTCACTATCCCCACTATCCTCATCTCCACAAACATCCCTCTTCCTCATATTCGCTACATTGCCCGGTCTCCCACCCCCATTCCCATTCCCACTACCACCCCCACAAACTCCTCCCCCTTCCCCTCCCCACCCCACTCACCCCCATCTTCAAATTCGCAACCTCTCCCCTCAACACCTCCACCTCCCTCCCCAACCTCCTAATCTCCTCCAAATCCCTCCCCCGCTCAATCTCCCACCATTCCTCCATCCTCGCCCTCTCCACCTCCTGTCTACCCAAAACATGTCTCATCAAATACTCCACTTTCTTCTCTTCAGCTTCTTCTACAGCTTTTTCTTTAGCTTTTCCCTTAGCAATTTCATCTTGAAGAGAATCGACTTTCTTTCCCTTTTCCATTTCCCCCTCCATCTCCTTTCCCTTTCCTTTCCCCCCACCAATTTCTCTCGCGGAAATTGCTCCAGTTTCAATCAATTCCCTCATTTCTGCATTACCCGGCTTCCAACTACCAATCTTTTCTCCCCCATTCATATCCACGAGTCCAAGACATCCCTCAATCGGTCTCATACCACGGTTTATGTTTCCCCTGCTTATGTTTGTGCGTTTTGCTTTGCTTAGATACGCCAAGTGCTCAATATATTTGGGCCCCTTATCAGGAATGCACCCCTCGTCAAGTTTTTCAGAAAGCTGTGTTGATTCTTGTTGATCACCAGTTCCCTCCCTGATCTTCCTCTCCTCAAACGAGTCGCCAAAAATTGCTCTCCCCTTTCCACTTCCTCCCTCTTTCGAAACATCCCATCTCATTCTCTCAATTTCTTCCCTCGAGAAATTCCGCTTGATTATATTCCACAATACCATTCTAACAACCGGATCATATCTGCCCAACGAATGATCAGTATCAGGTAATTCTTCAAACCTTTTAATCTTGGCCACATTCTGAACCCATACGTTATGCAGCATCTTCTTGACTTGCTTCTCGACCTCCACGGGAATCTCCTCAGATTCGCCACGGTATGAAATCGATGAATCTTCAGATCTTTGAAGCGTAAGAGGGTGTTGAGGAAACGTTGAAAGATTTCTCTCAATCGCTTGAACTGGATAAGGAGGTAACGGTGAAGATACCATCAAATCAACCACCTCCGCATCATCCAGCATCTCTTTGACCTCCCTCCCAATATCCTTCTGTATCTCCACCGATATCTCCACCGGCGCCTCCTCCACCACCTCAGCAATTTCCTCCAACATCCAATCCTCCCTCCCCTTCTCCCCATCACCCCCATCACTCTCCTCAAACTCACATCCATCAACTTCTACTGCTACTGCCCCATCGGCCCTAGAACCCAAACTCGAACCCAAACCCGAACTCAACCCCAAACCTGCCACATCAAGCTCAATCCCCAACGCCTCCTTAACCATATACCTAAACTTCCTAACATCATTTTCCAAACTCTTCCTTTGATACCGAAGATCCAATTTTTCTTTCTTCCACATGGATAGCTCTTCTTCTGGTTTGAGATTCGAGGAGGCGCTAATGATAGCATCTTCGAATTCCAGATATTGCGACGTGAGCGAATCGTTTGTTTCCAAACCTTTACTCGTTGCCACATACTTACTAACTTCTTCCTCGGGTATCTCCATAGGAGTACTGGTATCCACCCTCATGGGATCTTCATCTTTTTCTTTCTCCTTATTCCTACGTGACTCAGGCTCGGTCGGAATCGGTAACATCAAATCCATCTCGTATGGTTCGATTCCTCTCTCCTTCCAGAATTCATCACTTTCCTTAAACTTCTCCCCCTTCTCATTCATTTCTCTCTTCATTCTCCCCACAACTCTCAACAATCCCGCATCTCTAACCTCTCTCGTACACTCCACCTCATCCCTATCTTTCCAATCCTCTCCTACTTCACCAATTTTCTCTCCATCCCATCCCTTCCCATAAATCGCGCCCCAAACTTCATTCATCCTCCTTTTCATCTTCTCCGCAGCCACACATCCATTCTCCTCAATGCTCTTCACCACCTTCAATTCCCTCTCCAAATTATCAACCATCTTCTTTAATTCCTCAACCTCTGTTCTTAAATCTCTAATCTCCCCCTCCATTCCCTCAACCTTCGAATTCTGAAAAATTCTCCCCAACGAAGAACTCGAGGATTTCTTCATCGAATTCGGTGACTTCGATCGATTAACCTTTTGGAGTTTCTTACGGGGTGATGGCGACCAGATACGTTCAGCTGGACCTGAATCAACTTCCAACAATGGTGGTGAGTTAGGACCATCCATCTGAGGAATCGAGCGACGTATAGTTCTCGGTGCTATATCATTCCATTAACACCATCCCAACCTTACCCAATACGAATACAGTATCACAAAACTCACCTCCATCAAATCTAGCCGGAGAGATTCCCATCAACACTCTCCCATCCTCATCAACCGTCGGTCCAAGTAACCCTGGATTTCTCTTCTTCATATTTCGACCCATCTCCAGAAGATATTGTCGTTCTTCTTCATCAGTCTCAACTTCCGTCTCCGTATCCACCTCCCTCTCGGTTTTACTAATCATCTTTCCCTTACAAGCTTGCATCCAGAAGTCTTGCGGTTCGATATATCCCATTTCCTCTTCACTTTCACCTTCACTGCATCCTTCTGCTCCAATCAAACTTTCTTCCGGCGAATTGCCATCGAAAGTCTCCACATACTCAGGTCTAAGCGAACTGTAGATACTCGCGTGGTAACTCGCTGGAGGTATACGATTGTTTTTGATAGCGTAGGGGACAGAATGTTTAGGTGTCATCGATGACAATACTCCTTGAGTAATAGGTGAAAATCTCTCGGAGGAACTCACAATATCACCATCATCCTCAACTTCGATCGAGTCGATGCTCTCGTCGTAAATTGGGAGAGCCTCATAATTCTCAATACTGGGGAAATCCAGCTCGGTATCTCGAAGTCGACGTTGCGAAGATGAGATGACCTTTACTTGAATTCCATCAAACTGATCCTCAGCCTCAGCCCCCGCCCCCGTCAAACCATCGACACTCACATCTGAACAGGAGCCGACTTCAGAATCTTTGACCATAAAGGGGTCCGCCTTTATGTTTCTCATCACTGACCACGATATGGCACTTCCACAATTACTTGAAACCCCCTCCAGACTGGCAAACATGCATGCATCCTCCATCTGAGCCGAGCCATCCAAGCTCTCCTCCGAGCTCCCCAATGTAACACTCCTACCGACTTCATCTACAACAGTATTCTTAAGTCCACTGGCGCAGAACTCCGTCTCTTTGAGTGAACACACCTCTCCCAGAATCTCTGCACTAGGTGACGGAGCATCGCTTCTGCAAAAACGAGGTGGAGAAATAGAGACACTTACTCCGGCTTTGCGTACTAGATATGGTACTCTGAATGAGAAATCTTGGATGCTTGCGTCGCGTCTATTCTCTTCTGATACGTCTGAGAAGTTGTCAAGGGATCTGATACCAGAGATTTGTTCATCGGCTAAATGTTCATCTAGAGTTTCGGGTTCCGAAATTTGCTCTCGGCTCAGGCTGAAGATTCTTTCCAGCTCGCATTCGCTCTCGGGGCTACTTGTAGCATCCCTTCCAGTAAGATCTGCGGTCTTGAAATTCTCTTGTGTAATACCAATGTGTGAGTATTCATCTGGACTTTCATGTTCGGAACCTTGCTCTCGGCTGAGGAGTCTTTCCAGCTCGTTTTCGCTTCCGGTGCTTGCGAGTTGCTGGCAAGTATCTCGTACAAGCCCGATGGTGTTCAATCGTGGTAAATCCTTTGGACTCATTCGCTTGATACCAACTAGATTATTCGTAACGAATGCATCATCGTTGGAATCCCTGTTTGGGGTTTCAACTTGTCTCTCTTCTTTCCCCTTCCCCACTCGAAAAAGCTTGTTATTACTCGCCATCATACAACCGAGCCCAATTAATGACAGAGAAAAATCATTTGAGCCCTCTCCATTCGCATCATCCGTATCTATGAAGGGAACATCCTCCCCTTTTGACTTTATTGGAGTTAAGAAAGCTTCCAAGCCATGGTCAAGATTCTCATCCATCTTCTTTTCCTGCTCCTTTTCCAAACCACTAACATTTTCAACTTCCCCAATAGTGTCCACATCGGTATCCCCCGAATCACTGCTAAGCGATTCAACATTCAAAGGCTTAACCATGTCTTCCTCAACATCATAAGGTGTGATGGTATGAATCGAGTCTTTAGATGCCAATTCAGATTCTATTCCCGAATCTCTCCTGGGACTTAGACTCGGACTCGATTTCTTCACCTCTTCATTGGAACACGAGCCATCCATACCCCGTCCAAATTTCGCACTACTATTTTTCTTCTTTAGGCTCCTAGCAGCCTTTTTAGGAGACATTGATCTTCGTCTAACAGTCTCTTTCCCGTTGGAGGAAGAGCCTGACCCTGCCCAGATATGCATTTTGATTGTCAAATGTATATCACACACACTTCGATGAGTAATTTATGTTGTCAAGAATGATAGCTGGGATATTTATCTTCCCAGCGGCTTTGTCGATTCCCAGGTTTGCGACGATGATTGCTTTGAGGATGTATTATGGTTGTAGTTGAAAATTAAGGTGTGGAGTAACAGTTGTTAATCTACCTCACCATGAACTTGAAATTTCACAAGCGTGTCCGCACAAGGGCGCGAATGCTTCTAAAAGAAAATCAGTTCTTCAATATCTAAAGTCAGATTCAACAATCGGAAGGTTCAGGTTAAGCACAAATAGGAAGAAGTATTAACCTACCTAAGCCCTTCAATCTGGTTTCTGGATTCCAGAAAGGTATTTCGTTGAGACCCACTGGAGGATCAAAACAAAAAAAGTACTTTATCTTTGATGTAGTTTCGACAAAGCAGTTGACTTCTATCTGAGTTCCTTCAAAAGTAGGCCAGAAACTGTCAGGGATCGTGAAGGTGAAGGGTTCGTTAATTGTCTCGACCGTAACAAATTGATGCTGTCTTTCTTGATGTGGATGAAACCATCCAACAATATCACTATGATCGTTTGACTGTTGAAAGACTTTGTAAACATTCAAACCACCTTGGAGGAGTGTGTAGAACTTCAATTTGCATTCAATATCGATTTGATAGAGTCTGGCTACTTTGTTCTGGTATGCAGGACCGCCGGATGGAAAAATAGGATAAGGGGGACTGTGACATGCGTTCCACGTGTTGCTGAACACTTCCTGTGATTTTTCTGGCCCTTTTGCCGTCAAAAAAACCTCTAATCTTCGGAAGTAGTCCTCAACTTTTGGACCGTCCGTGGATTTAGGGTGGGATCGTTGACTCACACCTTGGTTTTGAAGACGAAGCTTCAGAAGTGAGGCATGATAATCTGGAAGATTGATTTGCTCTATACGTCGTTTTGCAAAGTAGTGACAAAATCGAGCATAGTACCAGTGCCTTTGGTGATTTTGTTGGATGTACTCTTGCTTGATTTGTTCCTCTAGTTCAGCAAGTTGTTTCTCGTCTATATTATTATCTGCCTGAGGATAATGCTGCTGGGAAAATAGCTCGGTATAACTCTGAGTTGATTGCTCAAATGGAAGGTCTTGTAGTTCTCGCCCTGGATATTGAGGCCAGTCTTTTTGTACTTGGATTGGCTGTGACTGTGGCTGTAGCTCCCTGCGTAGTCGTGGTATATTGTGATGCAAGTCTCTTTGGACTTGATGGTCTCGACCTGGCTTTGACTGATTGTGATCGGCTTGTGGATCCATCCAAATCGAGCGATTGCAACAATAAAATTATCTCCGTTTCTGTCAGCGAGGTACGGGCTTGCGAAGTATGAGTTGTGATTTGATGAGTTAATGAGGTCCAAGAAGTTGGTTGAAGGGTTTGCGTCCATCAACAAACAAAAACAGTGTTGCCACAGCAAAGTGAAAAATTAAAGCAAGCTTAAATTACCTCAAACCTCCATAAATAGTAAGAACGATTGACTATTCGGTCGATAACATAGATATGCGCACTTACCTCGAACTAACCACCTCGGACAAAAGTCACGAGTGTCATCCGTATATGGAAGGAAGGATGGCAAACTGGTAGGTGTGAGTGAAGAAGTTCGACACAGAAAAATAATATAATCATCTGCAACAAAAGCCCCAAATCCGACGTCGATAAACCAATCTCCTTGAGGTAAACTCATAGAGATTTCAAAACTCCACTTCATATAATATCTCCTTTCCCCTTCCTCCAATTCTTCCTCACTACAACTCCTCATGATGTAATCTTACATATTCCAAGTACTTTTCAGGTACACACTACAGTTACACTCATACTCATAAGATATCTCTTTCAATTCACAGCTTTATTGGCGCTTTCCGATTCTCGTCTTGGCCGATATGTAGCTCGGCCCGACACTCGATGCAAACTTCGACTTGAATAGACTCGGGCTGATGATAGTGTCGCTCTTGTCGTACTTCTGGAGGTCCTCTTGTTCTTGAGCCTTCTCGTATTTTAGGCACTAGGGACGTCTCGAATTTGACGCCGCCTACCCAAGCAGTCACATCCTCAGCACATTCTCTTTCGTCTCCTAGCTCGACTATGCTTGCCAACACAATTAACTCATGAATATTTCCTTCAGAAGCCATACCCGGGAGGACACATCTGCGTCACTCATCTCTAACATCTAACCTCTAACCTCTCACCTTAACTTTCAATTTCAGACAATGCTATAGATATCTGTATCTAATATTTTCTTTCTTGCATTCACTACCATTCTGAGGATATACTCTCCTGCTTACTCATATCCTCTCTTTTCCGTCCTCCTCTTCCTTACATGTTCCCTATGAGCCCCCCCCTTCATTCTCTCACCCTCCCCTTCACCTCCCATTCATCTCCCATCCTTCTTCCCTACTCATATGCCCTAATAACAACGCCATAAACCACCGAATTCTCAAGTTCCATCAACATCAATATGCTCTCCTACCACCATACAAGCAACCGCCAGCACCAACACTAACACCGCCAAACCAACTGCCCCATAAAACCCAAAATAGCTTCTCCATCTCGATGGCTCAGAACTCTCGTGCTGGTATTCGTCTCCAATTCCTGCCCATAAACGTTCTTCGGCTCCGATTCCCGCCATTGACCCCTGCGTTGATGACGAGGCCTGTGCCAAGCATAAGAAACCAATCATATCGCAACGCGCTTTTACCCCCTGCTACTCTTCTGTTGTGGCTTCCAATAAGAGTATAATGACGATCGAGATCTCATTCTGGTGACAGCCAGAACGCAGGTGCTGTGTATCAATAGGAATATGAGTCTAGTGAGCATCAACTCTACATCCTATAGAAAGGTGACAGAATCTTTTGCGGAAACCAGCACGGGATGCATTCAAGAAATTAGATAGAGATCGTCAATCCAGAAATTCCATCGTGTTGTGTATTTAGAGGTCATCGACCGAAGTTGGGCGAATATTGAAGCCAGAAAGTGATTGGTTTCAATTGATGTCGATGATGATTGAAGCTTAAGCCTGTATGAACTTAGGAACCGTGTATATCAGGTCGCCGCCCTGCCACAATGTACATGACGACTATATATCCAAGAAAGGCACCAATAACTGAATGCTCTCAATGCCAGTCCTCCCTCATAAACGAAAGGATCTGAGCACGGTTTAATCAGGCTCTTTGCTCAAGTGCCGAAGCTTGTTGTTTTTGTTGGTAAAGGATATACAGGGCTGACAATACTTGAAACAATACACGTGGCATTGACACGATAGCTTTCAGACTTCGTATCCGTTTGTAGATGGCTCTGAACTGTTTGGGAGATTCGCAGATTCGCACTACGAATTCGTTTGAGTAGTGGTGTGATCGGAGAAGCTTCGGAATTGGACGATGAGTTGGCTAAACAGTACACATGTGGCACTACACCAGGTCAATCAGCCGCCCGCGAGAAAATTTGTTGAAACTATTGGAATTGATGAAATAACAATAAATGTGTATGTAAACAAAATCTACTCAGAATTACTCGAAGTCATATTATGTTAGACTTTTATTGGACTTTTGTGGCACAATTCTAAATTTGGATGTATGTGCCAGATTGAGTCATTTTGTTGGTGCACTCCCTCGGAACACCCGGAGAAATTTGCACCAGAGGATTCGATATTTTTCAGGTGCTATGATATCTTTTCGAAGAAGAACATCGTGGAAACTGTCACCTCGTCGAGAATTCGTGAGCTTTTGAACTGATGCTGAGAGTGTTCTGTGTCTCATGCTATGTGTCGTGGTTGGCGCCCTGTGCAGGCCTTCCAAACTCGGAAGCATAGGAAAGCAATATAAACAAATAGATTGAATTATTTTTATATAACTTGTAATCTCCAGAAATCATCAATGATCAGGGTGTTTTTACTTAGAAATCAGTGAAAAATTGAGAGTCTTATTGAAGGAAGTAGTTGGCCTCTCGGTCGCAATCCAAAATCATCGGGAGTCAAAAATTACCCAAGTTTCGTTGATACCCATAATCGGAACAGCAACAAATCAAAATAAGATTCTCGACATATACACTTGATAATACGTCAATTACGCATCTCTTCATATAGAATTTGTAGCAATTGAAGTTGATTTGGTTGAGTATTGGGAGTTTATTAAAGATACGTAGAAAACATCGTGATGCTTCAAAAACCAACAATGCCTCGACACAAATTCAATTTGATGCACTCGCAACCACAACACAGAAATTGGAATAAAACTACAATTGATCTGCTCGTTTGATTGATGAAAACACTAATAATAATACTTTTGATACTTTGAGACGTGTCCCATGGATCTAAGAGTAGATATAGCAAGATATGTCAACTTCATCAATCTCGACGATTTGAATTTTATATCAATCATTCATCAAAACCATCGAGTGATATTGCCATCGATTCGCCGAATTGAAAAATTAAAAATAGTATTGATGAAAAAGAAAGGTTCCCAAATACCAAGATGAAATACAAATTAACTCATATCCCCAAGGAAAAGAAGAAGAAAGAGAAGTGTGGCAGAATTCCAAAGTTGAGAGGGAGGGGGGGAAGAGGGAAATGGCGAAAAAAGAACCGAGTAGGTCGGAGAAGTCGAGTTGAGTTGGGGTCGCATGATCAAGGCGAAAGTTTGAGGGGAGTTTAGTCCAACCTGTCTAATGCACATTTTCCTCCTTTTAACCAATTAGATTCTATGAAATTAGATTTAAAATGAAAAAGCCTCTTGCATATTTTTACATTATAGCTTAATTCGGACTAGTTAATACAAATTCCCTCATGGGATGAGCTTGTGGGAAGATCACCAAGACCTTTCCCTCGTATCTACATAAACAATCCCCCCCCGCTTCCCAAACACGAAATTTCGGAACCTCTTTTTGTCTTTCAACATACCAACAACTTTCAACTCGATAAACAAATAAAAATCAATCAATAATTAAATTAATTCTTTTGAACTTCTTGTTCATTAACTTTTACTTTTTAAAACAACAACTTAATTATCTTCATTCCCCTTTTTCCACCAATTCCATCCAAAATGCCTGCAAAGGTCGCCGCCTCTGCTGCCCCGAAACCCAAAGCTGCTGGGCAATCCGATCATGCCAGCTACCAAGGTAAGAAATAGCTTCCGAATCCACAACACCACGTCGCGTACATATCATGTATACATGATGTTGATTATCTGCTTCTGACGTATCGGATGTGGAGCTTCAATTTTCCATATATCATTTACTGACGCGTCACAATAGACATGATCATTGACGCCATCATCAACTTGAAAGAGGTATGTTTTACTTTCTCCTATCCACATCACAGTTTCAAACATATGCTAACACTCTTCTGCAGCGCAATGGATCTAGGTATGATTACCTATTTTATTTATATCTCGCACAATTTCCGCGATTGATGATTCGACGCGTCTTTTATTTATCATTACTCGAATTTCTTACTAATATCCACATAGCCGTATTCAACTCAAGAAGTACCTCAAGGCCAATAACAAGATCAATGCTGGCGACAGCATGTTCGATTCTCTCTTCAACCGCGCCTTGAAGAACGGTGTTACCAAGGAAGTCTTCATTATGCCAAAGGGTGAGCATTCACTTCTCCTTGCATTGAACCAAAACATACATATCTAACCCCTCGCCTCCAGGTTCCTCTGGCACAGTCAAGCTCGCACCCAAGGCCAAGAAGACCCCCGCCGAGAAAGCCCCAAAGAAGGCCGCCACTGACAAGAAGCCCGCTGTCAAAAAGGCCGCCGCCCCAAAGAAAGCAGCTACTACCAAGGAGAAGAAGGCTAGCGATGCTACTGCTACCACCACTGCTGCTAAGCCTAAGGCTGCACCCAAGAAGGCTGCTGCCAAGCCAAAGACCCCTACCACTGCTGCTGCACCAAAGGAGAAGAAGGCTGTCGCCAAGCCAAAGAAGGCCGCTGCTCCCAAAGCCGTACGTATACCATCTAATCAGTTGTATATAGAAATAAACAACTAACACATGAACGATAGGCCGATGCCGTAGTTGACAAGCCCACGGTTCTCAAGAAGACCGCCTCTGGACGTGTCACCAAGACCAAGGCCGAAACACCCAAGAAAGCAGCTGCACCCAAGAAGGCCGCTACGAAGAAAGTTACCCCTAAGAAGGCGGCCGCATAAATGTTTGGTTTCACACATTCATCTATGCATGCATGCACGCATCTTCCTATCTAATGATGTTCCAAGTTTATTCTGTTCATAAGGCGTTTGTGGGAACGGAATATCACGCGTGAGGCACCGCGTCTGTTATTGTTATTTGTGGATTTTTTTTTTGGCAAATGCGAAGCTATGCTATGTTATGGTTCTGGGAGCATGTCGATATAATCGTTAAGACTATTTTGACAAACCGAGTTACTAGGAAACTAACTATGTATTGTAGGTTCAGGTTCATAGGATTTTGTATTCAATGGGACTGGACTGATGCAATGGAATGGATGGGCGGGCGGGCGTTGGGAAAGGTAGGGCTTAGGGTACCGGTAGCGATGGATATCTATCAGATTATGTTGTACTTGTACAGAAGATCAACAACAGCCTGATTTGAGATTGAGCGGAATGAAAAAGATTGTTAAACATAACCATGGTGTTGTGTTGCCTTACTTGCTTGCTGATTTGTGATGTCCCTTTCTTGACTCGGTAGTACCGAGTCGGTACAATGTGAGTTATAAAATCCAAATTGAATATATATATACATACCACCAACACAAACATTCATAAAACCCGCGATCCGCGATGCATCGACTTCAAAACTTTTGTTTTTTCATGACGAATTCGGATCGGGTCAGGTCAGGTGAGGTTCCTGAACAAAAGTATGTTTACTTACTATCTTGTTTACAATGTTTGAATGTTTAAATTGTGTAGGGAGAAACGGGAGAGGGGGGGCGGAGAGGGGAGAAAGGAAAATGTCTCTTTCGGTTTTTGATTATGGGTTTGGTAGGTTTGGTATGATGTTGCGGGTACCGTATGGTGGTTGCATTGGGTGGATGTTGATGTTGTAGAGATAATAATGTAAAGTGGGGGCGGGGGGCGGGAGGGTATATAAATGAAATGAAATGAAATGAGATGGAAGAGGGTGTGAATAAGGAAGTGGGGGAGTGAGGGGATAGTTGGGGGTGAGGGGATAGTTGGGGGAGGGACGTGGGTTATGTCATGTGAAGGAGGTGTGTGAGGGGGTATGTGAAGTGTGAAAGGGTATATGAGGAAAGGGATGGAGGGAGGAGGTGAAGGGGTGTATTTGGAGGAGGGGATGGTTGAGGGAGGAGGGATATCTGATGGGAGATGTGATGGGGGTGGGGATGAGGTATGAGGTGTGAATTGTGAGGTATGAGATGTGAGGTGAAAGATTCAAGAAGAAAGGAGGAAAGAAGAGAGGGAGGGAAAAAGGAAAAGGAAGGGAAGGAAGGAGATTTAGAAGTTGGATGGGAAAAGGGAAGAGGGGAGAGGGGAGAGATGCATAACATGGGAAGGAAAGGGTCATTGCGGTGAATAGATGGATCTATGGATCTATGAAGATTCTGGGGATTCTGGGGATTCTGGGGATCATGTACTCGAGTATATGGCAGATATGAGTAGAGTAGAGGAAATGGATGATTGGATGATTAGATGAATAGATAAATACCTGGATGATGCGAGTGTAGTATGAAGAGGTACCATACGGTATGGTACAGTATAGTTATGTTTCGAAAAAACTGGAATTGAAATTGAAAATTAAGATTATATTGCAAGAACTTGGACTACAGAATACAAGTTTACAGTAAGGTTACTCATTCATACTGTGCACAACAACTTTGATATAAAGTATAGTACTAGTCGCGTACCTAGGTATTTATCGGCAAATTCGGACATCGAATATCGAATATCAAGTATTGAAATTATAGGTACTCACTCGAATAGCAAAATGTTTCAACCTCATACTATCCAGATCTCAACTAATCAATCGTCCAGTCTAGCTTTTGATTGAACATTTCTGAGTATAAAGTACAGTACAGGTACTGTACAGAATAGAATAGATATCATGAGTGAGTGAGTACAATCGAATATGAAGTATCTTATCCTATCCTATCTTATCCTAATCCTATCCTATGCTATCCTGCGAATTCGAAAAGTTCGGGATTGAGAAGTGCAAAGGTATAGTATAGTTGAGAAATCGAGGGTTTGGCTACTACTCGTAGGTAGATGAGATCTCTGGCATAAAGTACGAGTACCGGTAGTTAGGTAGCTGTGCAATTTTCAAGAACTGTTGATGGAAGTGGATAGGGATGAATGAGATGAATAGAATGAGCATTGAGATATTCAATGCAATGCCGAGGACTGATATTGATTGTTTTTGTAAAATACTCGTACTCGAGTAAGTGTGGATGATTGTAGCTACCTAGTATATGGATATGTGGATGTTATGTACTCGTATGGATACAAGTGGTGGCTCGGTAGGTTCATAAACGAGCATTGAGGCTGAGTCTCAGTGTACATTTTGATTGGTCATACAGTACAGTATTAATACCTAGCCTAGCGGCCAGCTGGCATTTTGTATAGCAAGCAAGTGAATTTCCGGGGTGCGCTGGATGGACCCAGTCTTGAGATTATAGTATCGGGAGAAGTTCGATGTGAAGTTATTGAAGACAGAGTATGAAAGATGTGTATCGAAAGAGTCAAGATGAGATATAAGAAGAGAAATAGGAGAAGAAGAAGAGGATGAATGATACGAGATGCTGTATTGGTATGCAAGTACAAAAATGTAAGGATGAGTTTCAGGTGGTGGTGGTTTGGAGGCGGAAGGGCTGATTCATAAAGTGCTGGTGCTATGCTATGCCATGTGGTAAGATATATTTGGTGTATCGTATCTAGGTAGTGGGTTGAATTTGAGCTGCTGTTGATTGATGAATAGACAGGTTGTCGACTTTGTGCTCATCACTGAGTCCTGCCTGTCCTCCTGTAAGTGGTTTTAGATCTCCAACTTGATGATATCTTTACCAAGACTATCAAAGCGATGTTTGTCAGACCTCTCTCAGGTGAATGTTTAAGGAGAAGTCAATGATTGAATTCAATGGTTGGTTATTCCCTCTTCTCATCTGATACTTTGAGGTGATTATACTTCGAAGTAATATATAATAATAATGTCGTTTTTAAAAGATCTCTCCCTTTTTCTCATCTCTTAACTTTTGAGAATATAAATGTATGAATAGTAACAAACTTCATTCGATATAGAAAGAGAGAAACTTTATAAGTTTATAGATTTAAATAAAGATTAGTTATTAATAAAAATGCCTTTTTCTTCTTCTATAGAATCGAATAACTAGAAGATCTAAAAATAGATTTTTCTTAGAGTTTATCTAAACGGATAATAATAATAATAATAATAATAATAATAATAATAATGAAATATTATTTTGAATATAAATCGAAAGATTCTTAAATCTCCGCTAATAGAGAAAGGATAACAATAATTCAATTAGATATTACTTCTTATTTGGAGTATTTTGTATATACTCTATATTCATTGGTAGAATTTCTTTGTCTCTTGGCTTTAAGGTGGCTTAGCTTCTGGTTAACTGATTTTGTAGTTCCATCTATCCCTTCTTAGCACCGGCACCCGCACCCACATCTCAAAATATGATCCCTGGTTACAGTAATAATAGGTAATCCTAATAACTTACTTACCTATCTAATAACCTTGAATTTCTGACCTTTCTTACAAACTTCAATGACTTGAAATTTCTCTTTCATCTTTCACTAAGATATGTTGATACTGATACATCCTATTCTATTCAATTAGACATCCAATTCAATCTTTGATCCTGGTGTCTCTATTTCTTATTTCTTATTTCTTCTAACCTTCATTACGACTGCTGTAGTCAATTAATCACGCACTTATCAATTGGCTCCCACATCCGCAAAATCCGTAATCTCCTTTCATCCGTTCATTACAGCCACCACACCACAACCACAACATCTCGAATTATAACAACAACGAACGCGAGAAAGCGTCGATACCAATCAACAGCTTCACGAATGCCACACTTCGAAGAGATGCCATCGTTCTCAACCGACGACACTGGCCCTATGTATTCGTCGACACGCCCCCCCTTTGATCTTCCTATCCATCTACGAAACTCCCACGAGAAGCTATCCGTCAATGGTGCGAACGGCATAAACGGTAGATCCTCTACACATAATTCAACTGGGAATGGGCTGGAAAATGGAACAGATGTATATATCGACGGTGCTTCAAATGGTAATGGAACGACGAGCAGACATCAAATGAACGGCGATATTCATCACGACGCAGCCTTGAACTCTTTACCGAATGGCAGATCCAGCGCAGGTAGTTGGGATTATAGGTCTCGATCCTCGATGAACAGCAGTACATATTCGGTAAATGATCAACCCAATGGTACGGCCCAAAATGGAAGGAGGAGTCCAGGACCTTCAAATGGTTTTCATAGAGTATCGAATGGTGCTGGAGATAGAAATTCATTCGCGTCGACAAATGGAACCATATCAAACGCTACCATAGACGCATCACGTCCAATCACTACCAGTGATAGTGAACGCCAAAATAGAATCCCGAGTCCTCAGCCAGCACCTAATCCTCATAGTACGGGTCCATTAACTTATCAATCACCTTTACTACCCTCGACTCCTGTACCTACGACTTCATTACCCATACCCGAGACGCCTGCTCGATCTACAAATAATTCTTCAACACAACGATTTTCACCTCTGTCAAATCCGCTACCTGCTTCACCTTCACAAAACTCTCTTCAACACCCCGGTCCTACGCAGCTGAAACATCGGCATACATTAGAAGTACCCAAAGTTGGTCCGGCTAGAAATTCCAGGGATGGTAACGACGCGGTTTTCACAAGTGGAAGATTCTCTCCGACCTCGGTAGCTACGGGTGCTAGACGTGGATCTGCGAGTATCAACAGACGAAATACACAATCGATACATTCCAATATGCCGCACGAGGAGGTCCCTCCAGATGAGGATGCGCTTAGATGGGCAGAAGCTGTACGACAAAAGCGTGCAAGTAAGAGAAGAAAGAAGGATGAGGAAGATGATGATCGAGTCGTTGTTGGGACAAAGGTCGATCAGCACCATGTTAATTGGGTTACGGCATACAATATGTTGACGGGCATTCGGTTTACTGTTTCGAGAACAAACGCGAAGCTCGATAGGCCATTGACTGATGCAGATTTTGAAGCCAAACACAAATTCTCGTTTGATATGTAGGTTACATTTGACATGTGAAGGGACCAAGCTGATAAAATATATAGCACCGGCAATGAGTTGACCCCATCGGCGAAGTACGATTTCAAATTCAAGGACTATGCACCATGGGTATTTCGAAGTCTTCGAGCAAAGTTTAAGTTGGATCCTGCGGATTATCTCATGTCCTTGACGAGTAAATATATTCTTTCTGAACTGGGGTCACCTGGAAAGAGTGGAAGCTTCTTTTACTTCTCCAGAGATTACAAATATATCATCAAAACGATTCATCATTCCGAGCATAAGTTCTTGCGGAAGATTTTGAAGGACTACTATCGCCATGTGGAGGATAATCCCAATACTCTCTTGTCCCAATTCTACGGACTTCATCGCGTAAAGGTTCCTTACGGAAGAAAGATACATTTTGTGGTCATGAATAACCTGTTTCCTCCACACCGCGATGTCCACCAGACCTTTGATTTAAAAGGGTCTACCATTGGACGAGATTTTAAAGAGGAGAATCTAGAACAAAATCCCCGTGCTACACTCAAGGATTTGAATTGGCTTCGACGAAATCTTCACCTCGAATTTGGGCCAGAAAAAAGACGAGTTTTCTTCGAACAGATGGAAAAAGACGTAGCATTATTACAAAAACTGAAGATTATGGATTATAGTATGTTAGTTGGAATCCACGATTTGACCAAAGGAAATGAGGAAAACCTACGAGACAAGACTCTACAAGTCTTTCAACCTGGAGGAGATAGCCCAATGGATGACACTGGACCACCTGGACCTTTGATGAGGACACCGAGTAAGCTGGAGAGTGCTAGGAAAGCCAGAGAATTACGGCACATCATCAAGCAGGAGAAACCAATTCCAATGGGTCAAAGCAGTTCGCGAATGCCGGACGAAATTGAAGAAGAAAACAGGAAAGACTTCACGTTTTACAGTGACGATGGCGGATTCCGAGCTACCCATGAAGATAATAGTCCTGGAGAAGAAATATTCTTCTTGTCAATCATTGATTGCCTTACTCACTATGGCACTCTTAAGAAGCTCGAACATCTATTCAGTAAGCAAACTTGATATCTTAAGATTTAGATATACTAACGAATGAATAGAGGGTCTCAAGCATGATAAGCAAAAGATCTCTCCCATCAATCCCCAACCTTATGGCAGCCGTTTTATAGATTTCATTGAAAGCATTACAAAGTCTCAAGAAGAAGCCGCTCGGGAAGAAGAATGTCCTCTCCCACCCGTACCTCACACAGACTCGAACCATACCACTGCTTCCACACGCCGACGCTCAAATAGTGCACACATGCATCGTACCGTTACGAACAATGCCACCAATCAACGCGCTGAGAATGAAGCCTTTAGAACTGAGCATGATGGAAGACGAGACCATGTTGAACCAAGAACCGTTTCGACACTCAGAAGTCCAAGTGCGGAGAGGACAAACGGGCTACAGGGACAAATTCTTCCGGTTGTGGAGGAGATGGGAGAGGCTAGTAGTACTGGAGGGAGGAGCGGACGGAGTATTAGAAGTACACATGATGAGAGGAGACCAGCCACGCCTGCGAAAGATTACCCGCCGAGCTTAAATGGGAATCAAGGGAGACCGCCGAGTTTGAGAACGACGATTAGTAGGAGTAGCTTGGAGAAACGATTACCGCCGCTGCCGCCGAATGGGAAGGGAGTCGAACAGAAAGATTCGGGGGTCGTGTTGCATTAGGGATGGGTATGAAGTAAGAAGATACAAGAGTTGAGGATGGAGTAATACATAGAGAGAAAGAGCGATGCGGAGTGAAGTAACAATAGGCGCAGTAAGTGAGGATAAGTTAAGATACCATGATACCATCTAGCGAATCTCCTATTTTTCCCTTCTTTTCCTTTGGACATTGGACTTTCCTTTTTTCTTGATTTTAATTTGTTTTGATCGTCATTGTCATTGTTATTGACTGACTTGGTTGGGTGGATGGGTGGGTGTTTCTTTTGTGTTTTTGTTTTGTAGAGTTTGAGTGGAGAGAGGAAAGAGGAGAGGAGAGGGGAGGAGGGGAAGGAGGAAAGATGAAAGGGGAAGGAGGGTTGTAGATAGTGAGGGTTTGAGTTTGAAATCGGAGGGAGCTGGAGATGGATAGCTTGATTGAGAGGATTCAGAGGCGAAGGTGATGGTGATGGATAGGATAGGATAGGATAGATAGGGTCTGATATTGTAGGGTAGGGAGCAATGGGATGGGCTGGGATGGGATGGGGTAGTATGGGAATGGAATGAAAAGGCATGGAGAATCACAAAAAAGTAATACAAATCGTTTAGGATAACTTTGACTCTTGTGAGGTGCTGTGTTACTGTGTTGTTGTGATGGTTGTGATGGTTATTTGAAATGTGGTTTGTGTTTGTGTTTTTGAGTCTTGTTTTTGAATCTTTAAGTATTTGAGTATTTGAGTACTTGAGTATCTGTTTTTGTTTTTATTTTTATTTTACTCGAGTATTGAATAGAGTGGGATATGAGATGAAGGATATAGTAATCCATTCATTCACAGCTACTGTATAAAATGGCAAGTTCTGTAAGTTCTGTTCTGTCTTGAATAAGAGACCTTTAGCTCTGAATATATACAGTAATGGGATTTTGTGGTTTGATGGTTTGATGAGTCTTATAGATGTTCCTTTAACTACTCTTTTAGATGTTCTTCCAGATAACAAATATTTGCATTTACATTTCTCCCTATTGTCTTGTACTCAATCCCTATCCCAATCCCTAAACCTAACCCAAAACAATTCCTAACCCAAAACAAGAACAAGTTACGGGTATAAATGTCGCTATGTATGTATGTATTTATTACCTTTATACCTTCATACTTCATACTTCATACTTCATACTACTCTACTCTACTCTAATCTACTCTACTCTACTCATCTCTACACTCCAGCTCCTACTCCTTTAAACATTGCTTTCAGACTTTCATTTCACAAATTCAGTCAGTCCGCAAATTCAGTCCGCAAAATTTAACATTTCTTTACTACCTAGGTAATTAACCAACTGATACTCAATCAATCACATTTTGATATATTATATCATATCATATCATATCATATCATTCTCCATCCTTTTGATTTAGTTTGGAGAAGTTTAGATTAGAGTAGATTAGAGTAGTTTAGATAAGTTCCCGTTTACAAAGTTACAAATAATGCATTGTATTGTGTTGCTTCTACTCGAGTACCACTAATAATAGTTGACAGTTAACAGTCAACGCCAATCTGGCCCTGCTATTGTATATATACATACAAGACACATACAATACACATACATATAAATGCCATCCCATCCCGCATCCACATCCAATGCACATCTACTGCAAATCACATCCACTGCAAACTACACTGCACCTCCGCCCTCAGGTACACTATACTACCCCAATACCCCAATACCTCACTCCCTCGCTCCCGAGTCCCGACGAACACTGCGGATGGATGGATAAGTCAAATCAAATCAAATCAAATCAAGTCAAGTCAAGTCACCATATATAACTACGCAATTGAAATTTGAAAACCACTGGTCCAAAGAAACAGAGATTTCCGCGGCAGAATGCAAATCTAAATCTCTTGTCGAAACGAGAAACGAGAAACGAGAAATCATGTGCGTCGAAACCGAAGCTGTATGTCGCGACTCCGTATTACACACCTACATGGATGGATGCGAGGTGTTGTGTTTGTAGAACTACTTGTGTTTGTTTTGAAGTTTAGACGAAAATGAAAATGAAAAAAGGTATGCTGGGGATTGTGGACTTGTATGTCTAGCAGACTAGAGTCTAGCAGGGCAGCAGCTAGTACTGTAGATACTTCATACTAGCTAAATATTACTCTTTGGATCTTCTAGGATAGTGGAGCATAAGCACGGGTGGCAACGAGATGTACTCGTAAAAACAAATATAAGGATGAAAGGTTGAAGACAGGAGCTCAGCGGTGATTAATGTTCATCTTCATCATTCTCAGTGTTTTGACTTCGTGAATGTAAAGTATTGTGGGAAATGGATAGTATAAACGCTTTCAAAAGTATTGCTACCATTCGATTCCACTTGGATATCTTGAATATATAGTAATTTCTTCTGTAGTAGATGAGGATTCTCGGGTTGATGTATGTATATCACCTTCGCAATTTGCTACCCTTGACTAGACCAGAAAGTCAGGTTATCTTTCAATGGAAAAAACATCCAAGATCTAATGCGAGACCAGCAAAGATACCTTTATATCATTTCAACAAATAATGGCAAAGTAGTGATCGCCAGTTTGTTCACGAATCTTTCGAGCACTTCCAGAGATTGCAGTAAGAGAATCTCCTTTATAAGTTGATTCTTTCCTAGAGAATGACTCAACAATGCCATCCCAATCGTCGATGGAATCTTGAATGTTAGGACATATCTTTTCGGATACAATTTGCTACATCTCAGAGAACATTTGCCATCATTTCTTCATTTTACCTCCCCAAAAGAATTGAGAAATCCCACAATGTATCTTAAATTCCGAGTAGTGAAACATATAACTCTCACGCGTTTTGCTAAAGGAAAGGTGCTCCCACTTTGAAGAATAGTTCCACAACTAACCTAACACTACATCTTCGTTCCCGCGATTTCGCGAGAGGGAGTTTAGCTCTGTTTGAGGTTAAGTGATGCTTGGATGATCGCCTCATTGATATTGTCCCCTCCAAAGCACATAGATACCCTTCCGTTTCGGCGAGCGAGAATTCATCTTGATGATAATATGATAATAAGATAGAATACGAATCGTGAACGATGTTACAAAAAAAGATATTGGACTGGACTGTGGTTCGTGTATACTTTCGTCGAGCAGAGAGAATTCAGTCACACCCACCAATTACACCACTCATTGTGGCTCTGCAAGTCAGTCAAAGCAGCCGGTTGTTCAATATCAAAACAGCCTTCAAAAAGTTAATGGGAACTTCTACTCGAGTATAAAAGCATCACACATATATCTCTTTACTCAGCACAGCAGCATAATAGTACGAAACACAGCAACAGTTGATAGGATTATAATTGTGAATATTGATCCCATACCAGTGGTCAGGTATTCCTTCATTCTTGATGCCACGATAGAATACTCCGGCTATCAAGCTCAGCTCTGAAAGAGTTCGAATTGTAATGAGAGTCGACGATGATGAGAGAAATGTTGGCAACTAATCCAAGACTAATGGCCAGTAACAATATTTTCTTCATATAATCGATAACGCATATCCATTTTTCCGGCAGCAAAAACAGCGGTGTTCTGTTCCCTCCGACAATAAAGTTTACACACAAGTGTGAGAAAGTCAAAAGAGTAGCGCATATATAAGATGAGGTTTCATCGTATGTAAGTTTGATGAGATATCCTCAATCAAGTATAGTACCGTATTAGACCGACATCGTTGAACGGAATACCTCGCTTGGACTATTGGCATGCATCTGGGAGAGCTACTACATATATATACTTTATACTATTTCCCCGACCTAATTTATTGCTGTAATATAGACTCCTGCGTCATATATATTCACTCATCCATATCCCGGAACATAAAACCTTACAGACCAACCTATTCACTGCCCCCAAACAAAATATCCCAATCCACTAATCACAAACCCAACACTCCCTATTACAATACTATATATATCTATCTATCCAGCTCCAGCGCTCAATATCATCGATTGTACATACATCACATCACCTGCTACGAGTAGCGAAGACGGTGTAGGGGAGCGAGCGTGAGTTCTATTGAATAGATCAATTCGTTTCTCTATATACATGCATGCACAGAACTACTCGAGTACATGTCTGATATCGGAACTCTTGGCAAGTTATTCGGGGTGGTGGTGGCGTTTTTTTATTTTTAGATAATGGTATGGTATGGCACTGTTGTCGAATTATATAGTTTGAGGGAGTTGATGACCTATATACTTAATAGCAATACTGTGAAATAATGACGATGATAGTTATTTCATTGATTGAGTTAAAGATATCCTGCAGTATCCCTATCCCCAGCGCCACTTTCAGAAATTTGGAATAGAAAAGAATTCGTTGTATGTAATCGGGTTCTGAAGATACCCATATCTTCCCATAGCTACCACGCCATACACGCCTATTACAGCTTTTGGTCGTCCATAGTATATAAACAGTAATTTATATAACCGCATTGGATATATTTTTCATCTTCAATAGTTTCCTTCTTTGGAGTAGCGTATAGCCTTCATATCCTTCATATCCCTCATATATCCACACCCCAATTTTCCTCCACCAAGCCATCATCACACAATTATCCCTCACGTTCATTTCTACACCCAGTTCCTCTTTCCAAATACTATATAAGAGCCGGTCTTCCCAGATATCTCAGCTGCACCATAGACATTAAGAATTTGCTTAGGGTTAGAGGGGGATTTTGAGCTCACAGCGATCCGAGGTTTGTATTACATATGCTGGAACATTAGGTTCAGGTTTGTTGAAACAGATATTGAGTTCATCTGGTTAGGATGACGAGATAGCAATCGTTATTCATGTTGATATAACGCTAATTTCGAGGGTGAGGTGTTAGTGGCAGTGGCATTGGTGGATGTAATGCGTAGGTGAAATGATAGAGTAGTGGTCATAAAAGTAAATATATGAATACTAGTGGTGAATGTCAAAATAGAGAAATGACAGTGAAGATGTGATTTCAATGACAACAAGATGAAAAATGTACAATTCCAGCACCGTTATTAGTCCTCATCAATTATCGAGAGCCCAAGAAGCCCCCTGCATATACACTAACTACTATACTCACACAGATGTTCCTAGTCCATTTCATTTCTTGTTATATAAATCCCTTCCACGTCATACATTGAAAGCAGACCGATTGTAAGATTATTATATAGTAGCCTGAGAACGTGTATCATAAACCCAATATCACCCGCATGCAGTTAAAAATTCGGCATTATGTCCTCAAGCTCAAGATAAACTACTGTATCAGATACATCCTCTAGAAAAACAAGCAATATCTTCTATAAATTCCCCTCAAATCCCTCGTTTTTCCACCCACATACACAAAAGCAAGGGCACAAGAACACAGACCAGAGTTTGAACTTGCATCTGAGGTTCTGACATCCAGTAGAAATTGATTTATGTATATATATGACTATGCGGCACTAGCTTTTGATGTGTGTGCTGGTAGGGAGAGTGATTCTTATTTTCTGAAGTCTTTCGAAAATTATAGCTAGGAAAGGCTCCTCAAAACGACAGCAACAGCAACAGCAAGGGCAAGTAAATCTAATAAATGATTCCAATGGATGACAACTACTCAGTACATCTCATCAACTTTGATGGGGAAAACAACGCGACGTAAGCATTCACATCCAAGACATAAACTAAAAGTCCAGACGGTTCAAAATTTTGAAAAAAAAAGTACTCATCTTGACCACTTCTTCCCTTTATTCGATTCGGTATGCTCCACATGGCAAAAATGTCGACGCTTAAGTCGGGTCAATCTACCTACTCGACGAGATGATTGATATCTTCTCTACCACGAGATAATAGTTCAAGGCCTCGAAGCCTAACCAAGGATTAAAGCTCACTCGAGTTTTACATTCACATAGGAAGAGCAATTTAGATGATATATTTCCGTGCACTAACCGTTGTCACCTAGAAGTGATCATGATCACCGAGCGAACTTCTTGTCTGCATGTAGTATATGTCATTTGGCCAATGCTTCAATAAAGACATCTAATGGTCTCGAATCGATCATAGAGGACAAAGTTGTATTCATTACTCGAAAGGGTGCTTGAGATATTGTCGAGAAGTAGCATTACCTATAGGTAGATCGAATCTATTATGAATTTGCTACTATCATTAGCGAGAAGACATGAAGGTCGAGGAGGATGTCATTAAATCTTTGAAAATGGAGAACCTCCGTTGCGAGAAAAGCTGAATGTATATCGGTTCTTTCGAAGCGACTGTTAGTTTATAGGAGATATTCATGCTGACATGATTGGCTAACAGGGACCACATACCTACCTATAGCTATTTTTCGGGTCTGGCTAAAAGGCACCGATGATGATATCTCAGCTCCCTTTTTCGAATTTTGAGCATTCTCAGATCAAGTGAAGAAATATCAAAGACACTTTCCATTCAAAGTTTTGAGAATCCTCGTGTTTCTATTTCACATGCTGAGGAATTGAAGGAAATTCATTTCTACTGGTGGCGCCGATAAGATAAGGATGTATTCACCTGTAAAATCTAGCCTGTCGGTGGCTTCCGGGCTAGAAGTCCAGGGCTGGTTTAGCGTATCCAGGGCGTTTTTTTTAGTGTTTGTCTCCCGCTAGATCTTTGAGCACGTTGTCATTTCCCCATCTTTCATTGGACCTCCACAATATCAGCCAAGCACATCTCAGATATTGCAAAGTTGGAAACACTTCGTCGAATCTACGCCTCCATTAGCGAAAAAGCTTCACTATGTTGAACAAGACATTCAATCTCTTAAGAAAGGCACGCGTTTAAGCTATGTCGCGTGCAATATTGCAGTAAAGGGATGTTTATGCACACATATGGATTGCTTCGTGCCAGCCACAGCTACTTCGGCATCACGATCTTGAGTGATTCAGAGCAGCCTGCACAGAAAGCAACATGTTCTAGAAGATTTCCATTTATGATCGTCTCGTCGCTCTATGTGTTTGCACCTTCCTGATTTGGAGCTTCTCGGATACAATTTGATTTCTTTTGCAGGGCTGTATATTCTATTGTTCACCAGTTTTGAAGTCTCGAGATGGCTCCGATCCAATGGATCCTGCATATCTAAAAGCTGCGTGGAACATCTGGGGAAGATGATTGGGTTCAACGAATGAAGGGGCTTGGCGAAAAGATACTATGGATCCTACACTAAACACGGAAGGGTTGCCGGGTCTCATAGACTGATAACGCTTCCAGTCTTGCCCATCTAGAATTTCGAAAGAAGTCCTCAATCAGTCTCAGTCTTTAGTGGCTGAACTCTATCCCTTCGATAGATCGTCAATGGCGTCAAAGAAACTCAAATCTCAGACATCTGCCTAGGTGCATGCTACAAACTGACAAATCTGAACCTATGCCATTTGGACTTATTTTGCCCTTCGCTCGGGGTTGCCATCCCAATTGAATGGATCGAATTCACTGCTGTAAATAAGATTCTTGGCGACCCAGGAACTGGAGTGTATACTAGATTTAGTCTCGGTCTAGTGAATGTCATTGTTGGATGCCCAGACTTTTGGACTCGGAGCTCCTTGCCTAATGGAAGCACCATGAATCCAACATTAAGATTTTATCCTTGGTGGTAAGCAAATATTGAAATTTCAGCTGCAAGGAGGAATATAAGGATACTTGTTTTCCCTTCTGGTCATCCTTTTTTTTTTTCTTCAGTCAAGCACTCGCACCCAACCTTCACCACATCCTTCATTGCAAAGGGACTATTTATTTACAAATTTCTTGCAATGGCTGCCCAAAATACCACCGTGGGTGGAAATTCAGCTTTTCACAACTTCAACAATGACTTCGCTCATATCACAGACCCCAATGAGCGAAGACGTCTTGCTCTAGCTGAGATCGACAGAGCTCCTTTTGGATGGTATCACGTCCGTGCTTGTGTTGTCGCAGGTATTGGTTTTTTCACAGATTCCTACGACGTAAGTATTTCCAACCACTATTCCAGAAAGGGACATAGCTAATCATGACCATAGATCTTTGCCATTAACTTGGTCACTTCCATGTTGGGTATCGCATTCTTCCAGAACAGTGTTTCAAAGGGCTCGATCCCCACAACCAGTGATACCGCTATCAAGGTTGCTACTTCCGGTGGAACTGTTATCGGTCAACTCGGTTTCGGATGGCTCGCAGATGTTGTCGGTCGTAAGAAGATGTATGGTCTTGAGTTGATGATTATCATCTTTGCTACTCTCGCTCAAGCTCTTTCTTCTCCATCGCATGCTGTCTCTATCGTCGGTCTTTTCATCTTCTGGCGTGTCTTGATGGTAAGTGATCACTTGTTTCTGGCTGTGCCCCCGTCGCATACTTACATATACTAGGGTATCGGTATTGGTGGAGATTACCCATTGTCATCTGTCATCACTTCCGAATTTGCTACCACCAAATGGAGAGGAGCTATGATGAACGCAGTTTTTGCCATGCAAGGTATTGGTCAATTTGCTGCCGCCATCATTGCTTTGATTGTTACATCAGGCTTCAAAGAGTCGCTTTTGACTGGGTCCAAAGCCTCAACCTGCACAGGCGTTTGTCAGCTTGCTGTTGATAAGATGTGGCGTGTTATTATGTAAGTTACCACTGTCAAATTTCTCAAGGTACATTGCTAATAATTGCTAGTGGTTTTGGTGCCGTCCCAGGTTGCATTGCCCTCTATTATCGCTTAACCATTCCTGAAACCCCTCGATACACCTTCGACGTTGCTCGTGATGTCGAACAAGCTAGCGAAGACGTTCAAGCATACAAGCAAGGCAAGAGCCATGGAGAGCCTGATGAGATTACTCGCGTAGCCACTCTCAACCAAACTGCTCAAGAACTTGATATCCCAAAGGCCAGTTGGGCAGACTTCATCGCTCATTACAGGCAATGGAGATTCGGCAAGATCCTTCTTGGTACGGCCGGTTCATGGTTTTTCCTTGATGTAGCCTACTACGGTCTCGGTCTTAACAACTCCGTCATTCTTTCCGCCATTGGATGGTCCGGCGGCAATAACATGTATGAGGTCTTTTACAAAACTGCCGTTGGTAATCTTATTCTCGTCTGCGCTGGTGCCATCCCTGGATACTGGGTATCTGTCGCTACAATCGATACTCTCGGCCGCAAGCCAATTCAATTCATGGGTTTCGGCATCCTTACCATCCTCTTCATCATCATCGGCTTCGCTTACAACAAACTTTCCGGCCATGCTCTCCTAGCCCTTTACGTCATCGCCCAATTCTTCTTCAATTTTGGTCCTAACTCCACCACTTTCATTGTTCCGGGTGAATGTTTCCCTACACGCTACAGATCTACATCTCACGGTATCTCTGCTGCCTCCGGGAAAGTGGGTGCTATCATCGCACAAGTTGTTTTCGGACCACTCAGAACAAAAGGCGCTCTTCCAGGGGCTACTGGTGCCGCTGCTAGCCCTTGGTTGAATCATGTTATGCAAATCTTTGCATTATTCATGTTGCTGGGATTTTTCACTACATTCCTCATTCCTGAGACGAAGAGAAAGACTCTCGAAGAGTTGGCGGGTGAAGTTCCAGGAACTCCCAACTATGATCCACCCTCGACAATACGCACTCCTGGAGCAAACAAGAGTGTTAATTCAAGTCATGAGGGGATTGAACATGAGTCTCAGGCCGAGAAGATTGTTTAAGTTGAGATATGGGGTGGAGCGGATTGATACCTGGTGTTTTTGATTGTTTAGTTTGTCCTCAGGGGATGTACATAGTGTAATGATGCAGAAAAAGCATGATAATTTCTTCTTCTAATACAATCTCTTCGCTGTACAAAGTATCAAGTGAACGTAATGTATTCTGTGGCCTTCTCTGCAGACTTCCGAGAACTATCGGCATCACGCCTTTTACTTGACATCATATCATATCATCACGTGCATGCATCGACTACCCCGCTTCGCATCCTGATGGCTTCTTAAGTAGTTCGTCCTCTATCTTGACAATGTTATCAAAACTTTCAATCAATTGAGCTTGAAAACAGAACACTCTCAGTTCAAGGGGCTGGCTAGATACGAACACGAACTCTAAGTCTAGCAATAACTTGCAAGGGGAGACTTATCTATGAGTCAGAAGTGACATCCTAAATAGGAACAGTCATCACAAGCGACCTGTTATAAGTACTGGAGACGATTGCCCTCATTTTATCATTTGAAAATCAAACAATTCATATCCTCCGACCACACATAATCCATCGCAGAACATAATAAACGCATCCTCCCTTCATCTCACCATTCCTTTATCCGCCCTCAAGCCAGCTATCACCCAACTCAAAATGCACATCCCCTTCACCAACCTCGATGTTTTCACCCACACCCGCTACCTCGGTAATGCACTCGCTATCATCCGTCCCCCTACCCCAATCACTCTATCCCAAACCCAAAAACTCCAAATCAGCAAAGAATTCAACCTCTCCGAAGTCGTCTTTCTTCATCTCCCCGAATCCGAATCCCCCGATACAAACCCCAAGGAATTAACCATCGATATCTTCACATCAGCTGCCGAGATTCCCTTTGCTGGTCACCCTACTATCGGCACCGCATTCTTTGTGCTCAATTATCTCGGCTTGAAATCTGTTGATACATTGATTACTAAAGCCGGTCGAATCCCTATCTCGCTGTCCTCGGATGGAAAAATAGCTTGTGCTCAGATTCCTCACAATGTACATGTTCATGACAAGACATACTCTTTCAAGGATTTCGCTACGGGAGAAGAAACACAATACCCAGTCGTGTCAATAGTAAACGGTATGACATTCGTACTCGTTCATCTTCCCTCTCTAGCCGATCTCGCCCGAGCAGTGGAAATTAAAAATCTCAATCCGAGTACATATAATGTGGAAAATTTAGATGAGGGCTGGAGAAATGGTCTTTGTACGACAATGTATTATGTAGGTATGGGTGTGGAATTGGATGAGCAGGGGAGGAGAAGGTATAGAACGAGAATGTTTGGGACGAGAGAGGATTCGGGGACGGGTAGTGCAAGTTGTGCGTTGGCTTGTTATTTGGCTATGAAGGACAAGGGGATAGGGGGAAAGGAAGTGAGATTTGGGTTTGAGCAGGGGGTGGAGATGGGGAAGAAGAATGAAATTTTTGTGGATGTGAAGACGAAGGGGGATGGGGTTGGTGTTGAGAGGGTGGTTCTGAGTGGGGAGGCGGTGAAGGTTATGGAGGGGATGTTGGAGGTTTGAGGGGGTATTGGAATTTTGGGTAGGATGGGAGAGAGGTTGCAGGGTGGATCTTCAACTCGTAACTTTGTATCTGCATGATTCCCTTGATGCTTTGATTGGACGACATTTATCCCCCAAAAGATTTGTTGCACATCTCATAGTTGAAAGTGAGATAATCTCAAATATGATAGCTCAAGTAAAATTATCTTGGTTATATTCTTTGAAGTCATTCACTTCATTCATTCATTCATTCATCTGAAGATATCCCCTAATTAAGTATATGTATAACCCCTTCTGATGTTCTCAGAAACCATTAACTTAGAGATATACATATGCATTCGCCATCTATACAGTGATCCTTGACTATTTCGCAGCTTCATCTAATCTTCGATGACTACTACACAGAGAGTATCATTACCTATCCACAATTCATCAACTACAATTCATTACCACCAAACCCCTATCTCGAGTATATCCACAATAGACTTCCTCAGTATTGTAATCATAACAGTAACATATCAACATCCAACCCCGAAGTAAGTTCCAACAGAATCTAATCCAATGAAATACTCGAGTACTTAAACGCATATTCTATTATCTACTGTATATGTACCTTAAAGCCAGAAATCAGAGTGCTATGCTATCCCAAACCACTCCCCGAGAACACCTATACCTATACACATGCGGTCCTAAAGCATAAGAACCGCGAAGTAAAATGTATATACTCGACCGAGTATATATCGCTAAACCCCTCATTATAAAATTTCAACCCGCTAGTTCGAGCTTTGATAGAGTATAGAACAACCTATTCTCCTCAAAAATACTCGTACATATGAGTATAAATACATCACTCACGAACGATTACCATGGTGAATTCTTTTTTTGTGTGTGTGTGTGTGTGAAGCGGCAGTAGAATTTATACAATATATGGAGTGAAACGGAAGAGTAAGGGATGATTAATTAGTAAGTAGATGGGTAGATGGGTAAGTTAAAGTGAAATCGATATGTTTATTTGTGGTTTTCTTTCGACTCTCGATTGATTGAGAATTAGTACTCGAATATGTATACTCGTACGAGTATTTATGAGTAGTTTTGGCAATAATCATGAAGAATGGATATAAATGACAGTACCGGTACAGTAATAATACTTTCTCTATCGAAATCCCATTGTACTATTATACTATCATTTATATTCATTAACCTCTACGAGTATAGTATTACTAAAGAAACGATACTCGAGGGTCGGTCCTTAATACTTATCCCGATCATAGAGTTTCTCCAGTATCGATGTCAAATCCAGGATATAACATAATACTTCATTCCCGCATACATACTCTACCACAACATTTGATTCCGAAATGATGTTTTGAGTACCTATAATGAATGGTCCAGTATACCCCGAAGTTCATATTTATACTCGAGTACACACGCATTTGTTGGGTTTAGCGAGCGGAAGACAGATGTGATGAGCCGAGAATGAGAGACTCTGACTATCCTATCCTATCTCAGGGTTTGATTCTGGGGACTTCTCAAAATCACAAAATCACAAGAGAAAGCAAAAGTTACTCTACAACTAAATGTGTACTAATACTATACTGTACTGTACTTTTGAGGTATGTAAGTAGCGGAAACATCTGCAATTTTGAAATCTTCAAAAACGAAATATCGAATCTATATCAATCTTTGTCAGGATATACAGTAGATCTTTGCAAATTCGAATTCGAAGAACAAAAATGGAAAATAAAGTTTGAAATGTGCAGCTGAAAGGGGGGTCAAGAACATGGGTTCCGAACAGATGTGATAGAGATATTCATCGATAATTACATATTACTGTAGACTTCTCAACATCAAAGGAGTTTCTTCACTCCAGTTCACTTCACTTCACTGTCAAATTTTGTTATTGTAAGTAATTGTTATTATTTATTGTAAGTTCTCCTGCCACAAATGTAGGTATGCATGATATCTGCCACGAAATTATCTCTTCCCTTCCGTTTCCTCTTCGGCGCCTAAGTTACATACAGTATCTTATTTCCATCATCTATCTCTGTGGGCAAGAAACCCCTCTGACTTGGTACACGAGAAACAGGAAATAAAGTGATTCGTAGGTTATGAGTTAAAAGACTTCTTTTATACCCGAGTACAACAAGATTGATTTAGAAGAAGACTATTTATTATCCCCGTAAAGTATGTTCTGACTGAAAGTGGAGATGAATCTCAACTCGCGCTAAATACCAATTCTTAAAAAGTGATGCGAGGTCACACAAGTTTCAGTTTTTGGTTAATATTTCGTTATTCACTGTCCTCAAGTTTATCCTTTTCATATGAAATTCTGTACATTTACAAACTACGAAAATTTCAATTCAGTAAATACATTTATACCATTTTACTTCCCCTTCTTTTGACCTCTTCCCTCTCCTCCTTTTCACCCCCATCACCCCCATCACCCTCCTCGCCCCCCTCGTCACCTTTTACCCCTTCACCCTCCTCCTCAATATCCCTCTGCCTCTTCCTCCCCCCACCCACACCCGCCCTCTTTCTCCTCCCCAAAAGAACCTTCAGCGACACCTCCCTATAAACCGGCTTCTTATTCCTCGTTACCCTCTTACTCCTTCTAATCCCCTCCATCCCCTCCATCCCCTCACTCCCCAAATCCGACACAGCAGCATCATCCTGCACTTTTTTATTCTTGGCATTTCTGCTAAACCCCTTAATCTTATATTCCCCATCATCCTTCTTCAGAGTATCCGGACTATCAAATGGACTTTCAAGCGGAGAAATTAGGGGACTTTCTTCATGTCCTTCATGTTCTTCTGGCCTCGCGACTGGCTTTTTGGCTTTTGGCGCTGCGGGAGCGGCTTTTCTACCTTTACCTTTACCTTTTCCTCTTCCTTTCCCGGTAACGACAATATCCACTGCGGCCGGTTCATCCGTCTGAGTCCCCGAATGCATCAACCTCAACTGACCTTCCCGTTCCAACCTCCTAACCTCTGCCGCAATACCTCTCTTAAACCTCTCCAATCTCAATCTCTCCTCCGCGCGCTCCTTTTCCAGCACAACTTCCCTGGCATTATTTTCAATCATAGCAATTCTGCTTTCGAGTTCTTCCTTCATGTCAGCGAAAGCGCGATTTGCGAATCCAAGCTTGAGTTTAAGTTCTTCGACTTCTTCCAAAGTATTGTAGAGATCTGCTTTGGCCGTTTGAAGCTTCTCGGAATCCTCTTGTTCTTCTTCGGATTCCTCATTATCGTTTTTGTGGTTTTCCGCTGGACTTTGTCCGGGTTTTTCTGTTGGTAATACACTCATGCTCTCTGCTCTGACATCTTCCGCCGCTTGCATATCCGCAATCTGCTCTCTCAATCTTTCGACTTCTTTTTCTAAGTCAGCGATGACCCCATGCGCTCCATTTAATCTCCCCTGTAACGTAGCTATTTCCTCCGCTACTTCCGCCGCCTGTGTTTGCGTCGCAGCAACTTCTCTGATCATCTCGCGCTGAGAAAGCTCCAGTTCATGATTCCGCTCGGTCACTTGGCGGAGGGTCTTGCTCAACTGTTTAATCTCATTTTGCGCGTCATGGTGTGGGAGTCCAGACTCGTACAGCCTTTTGAATATATTTTGCTGCCGGTACGATTCTTCGACTTTCCGGTTCATCTGCTCTATTTCATCCTCAAATCGCCCGATTATTTGTCCGCTCTCCTGTTGTAGTTCCTCAATCTTATTATAGGAAGATTCCAGCGCCTGTTCAGTTATTCTATGCGAGACTCCCAGGTCATGCAATTCTTTTTGGACTGGTCCTCTTTCCATGTTGACAGCTTCGAGCTCTTTGGTTTTGTCTTCAAGGTCTTTGAGCGCGAAGCGTACTTGGTATTCCTTTAGGTTAGCAGGACGCTTTGGGGCAATAGGGCGATCGCGTGCTATTTCGACGAGCTCATGGATCCATTGTACGCCAGCCTCCCGGTGTCCTCTCTCGCCCAAGTTGTAAAGTGCATGTACCTCATCCGGTACAGTCACAACAAAATCTTGCAACCGATCCGCCCACTCTCTCCAAACATCTTCTTCCACCAGTGGAGCGTCCGGTCGACCAGAACCTAGTTCGATCAATTCTTTGACCCAAGTCACACCAGGAAATTGTTGGCGTGGACTTTCGACCCCGGGGTCCGCATCTGGGAATGCTCCACCAGGTCGGTACAGATTCGCTTTTGCTAGATCATAGAGGGCTTGGACTTCCTGGGGCTGAGCATGAATATGATCCAATAGCCTATTTGACCACTGCCTCCAAAGAGCATCTCCGAGTATCTCTGGTCTTGGTGAGGTACTTCGGCCATCATCACCTACATCGGACATTTGTAAATCAGGCAACAATCGCTGAACCTCTAACTCGCCTAACATGTCCTCCAGCGTCCTTATCTGTAGCGATAAATCCGCATTGCGAGCCTCCAACTTTATTTTCTCTCGTTCCCCTTCCACATTTTCGTCTCGTAGATGAGAAATATGTCGATTTAATTCCTCCATATAATAAGAATCATCTCTCTCACTTCCCTTGCGTAATCGTGCGATTTCCTCATATGCTTTCCGCAAAGCAATTGAGTTATCCTGCAGATGTCCCCATTCTAGCTTTTCCTTCTTCAACTCTTCAAGATCATTCACCGCAATACTTCGATTAATATCCGATTCTTCAGCAACTACTGCCAACCTACGTGTCTCCTTTAGGTAGCCATCCCTCTCTTTCTTTACGTCTGCGAGTTGTCTACCCAATTGCACAACATCGGGAGGCTGAGAATTATTCGCCAGTTCAAGTGCAACATGTGTGCTTTCCAATCGGTTCTTATATCCATTTTGTCCAAATAACTGTTGCGCCAGGTTTTCGCTTCGACTTTGCGCTGCGGCTTTTTCTAGATGCAATTTACGAAATGCAACAGAGTGCGCTTTTTCAGCTAGGACGGCTTTTCTTTCGAGTGTGTCACCACGCTGAAGATATGCGTCTCTTTGAGAAACGAATATTTCTGCGGGATTCGTGCCATTTACATCGAATCCAGGCAGCACTTGTTGCTCAAGCCTACGTATATATTCTCTGCAGCCATCCCTCTCTTGGACAACAACCTGATATAGGCTACGTAGTTCCTCCTGGGTATCATAAGGATTATCCTCGGAAGGACCTTCTTCTGATCTTGGAATATCAGCTGAGTTCATGTTTTGGACATCAAAAGCGTATAAATGATGGAAAAAAAATGAATCTGAGGTTCTGGACTTCCAAATCTCAAATCGAAGACAAAGAAATGTTGGGAGTTTTGCAAATATACACTGATCGCCCGTTGTGACCAACCTAAATGCACCCGAACAAAGAGGAGGATATACACGAAGCTACCGCTTTAGGACTGTGGCTGTTGTGAAAATGTGAAGATGTGCTTTGTGTAGAAAAACAAACGAACGCAGTTCAAATGGGAGCATCGCCGACTTTAAGAACAAGTCAAACTTTATACCATGTTCTACTCTTAGGTCAGGTTGATGTAGTAAAGTTGATGCCCAAACTTGGACGTACACACCGGTCTCAATCAAGCTGTAGTTGTTGGGCTATTTGTAAATTCCTGCCTTCAATTTGTAAGCAAGAGTATGCAATGAAACGAGACATATCGGTTACGCGTGTTGGTGACTGTCATATACTTTCACAGAACTCAATGGTGATTTTGTCGAGGCGATATCAAATCACGATTTTGCTGAATTTGGATGAGATTTTATTCATACATCTTCTTGATAGGTGCTATCTTATATAACTTATTCGACTTATTCGACTTATTCGACTTGTTCGACTTGTTCGCCTTGAAGAATGTGGTATCAACTTGTAACATCGTTCGATCCCAAAGGCTCTTGATATGTGTGTGTTCATTGGTATTATGAGATAACTGATTGGATTTTATACCCATAAAAGGGAATTCCGGTGATTGGGTGACAGTTGTGTGGATCTTACCATAACTGAAAATTGTGTGAATTAAAACACACCGCGTGACTAGACCTAGGTCAAGCCCATCTGGATATGCTGTATTGATTGAATCCACAATTTCTCGTGCTTCATTTTGACTAAGGCCTCGAGTTACTACGGCTCTCGCCTCCCATGTGGGATCAGGGGGGAAGTTGTATAGCGGAAGATCGTCCTCCAATACCCGACGGAAAGTTTGACGCATGGCTTGGATTTCGGGAGTATCCTGTATTTGCCAAGAAACTTCCCAACGACGTCCTGGGCGTATCATTAACGGTTTCACCCGACCCATATAGAAAGGAGACCTCCAAAATTGCAAAAATCGCATGAAGACTTGGTACTGCCTCCAATTTTGGGCCGGTAGTCCCTTTATAAGTGTAACATTCGCTCGGCCATTGTTCATGAATGGAGCATATTGAGAATGTTTAGCCACTATTCGATCCAACTCTTGTGTGACTCTGTCGTCCAGGCGTAGGCAAATATTGATGGTCTGCTCGATTCTTTGTGGAACCTCCATGTCTTGACTAGTCATTGCACCTGTGTTGGTAGTTTCTCGTATGCCATGGTTGCTAATATCTTTGAGAGGCTGTTGCTCGACTGCCGCAAGGGGAACCTTATGATGTACAGCGTCTGCAATACCTTGGGCCTGTTCCTCGTCATTGGCCTTGATTTCGGAAACCGTCGGCATCGAAGTTGACTTGGGTTTTGTTTCCGGCATACCTTCCAACATATCTGCTGTTTCTGAAGGGATCTCCTGCGTTGCAGCATTGTAGGACGAGGGTTCCGTATACGCAATATAACCGTTATGTTCAACCTGCTCTAAGAACTTTGCGAATATTTCGTGATGTGCATCGGACGCTTGCTGAATCGTCTTGCTGGTCTCCTCTATCTTCTCCTTATTTGACGTAACAGAGCTCGGATCATTGGCTACTCGGTGCATCGCCATTTCTGTATTGGTTTCCGTTGTCTTCCCTTCGTGCGTCAACTGAGTGGAATCAAGATTATTCGAATTTTCGAAATTGCCTTCCACTTCAGGTGCCTCGATACTTCTCGGCGGTAAACCATTGAATATTTGTTCGCGAGTTTCTGAGTATTCTCTGGTAATCCCTCGGGGGATAAAAATCGGAACAGTTTGATATCGCAAATGCCTAGCAGAGAAGGCAGATAGCATGGGGCATCTGGAGCTGTGAGGTATGATGCGTAGCCACATTTTCAATAACTAAAGGGGAAATAATCACCCACGTTTCTTCGCCGCAGATTTGCAAATGCCAGTGAGTACCTAATCTTGTTATTTCTTACAAAGGAAACAACTGGTCAAAATGTACGAGTATTATGACATGAACATCTTCACCAGCGTTCGTCAAATATACCGTAATGTCTAGGTACGACAATCCGATAAGTACCTAGTACATATTTATTTGACGCGAAGCTACTCAGATTAGTCAGATATTTAAACCAATAAGGTTGATTATAAAGTCACCCGCCACCCCACCCATATTTTACTGTATCATAACTTCATCATTGCCAAACTCTTCTGTGCTTGTCTTTATCTGTGTGGGGAAGTCCCCAATTTTGGGCACAGAAGCTCTTCGGAGTGTGACGGTGCAACACCAGCTGGTACAGAAGACGCCTCCTCTTAATTGAGAAGCCAATTCTGTGGCGAGCCTGAGTAACGTCAGGCCGTCGCAACGCGCGCAAACTTCGATCTCTAGAAACTACTACATATCCTATACAAACGGTACCACCATTCCATTGCAACGAGCTCACATCAAAGCATTAATTTTAGCAAGATTATTCATTTTCCATCTTGCTACATACATGCTATTGGCCCTGCATCACTGACCCCGATCCAACAACACTTGAGAATAACGAATGGCTTTCTCTGACACTCACACTGGAGTCTTTACTTTCATGTCATATTGATCAATAAAGATCTCACTCCAGCATAGGCCTCAATAGCACTGGGTGTGATTTGGGTAGCCGGTAAAACGAAACCATAAGTTCCGGTATCTCTCAGTTCCGTGGTGAAGGAGAAATCAGCACCAACAGTCGCATCAACGTAGTCTACGCTACTCCCAGTGGCCTGATAGATTGTGGAACAGATTGGGCCATATTTGAACATGGTTCCATACACTGCCTTGACGGCTGCAACGTAACCTGCTGCCAGTGATTGGAGCTGGGCGTTGTTCTCGGCAAGTACAGTACAAGAGTATCCGTATGCTGTGAATGTGAAGTCAGATACTCATTTGCCTTTCTTTGAGATTGGGTGAACTTACGAGTCATCATAAGTTGAGAGTACGAGTGGAAATCAATGAAAAGCTTCAAGCCTTGTGTTGTCTTCACAGTGTTGGCGTATGCAGCAAGTGCTTTCGTTTCTGGAGCATCAACTGCAGCGAGGCCTACATGACATTCAGCACTCATTCATCGGACAACCTTGGCTTTCCTGACGATACACACCTTTGTAATCTTCGGCACATGGGTCCGTGGAAGCTCCACCAGTAGTTGACCACTTATAAGCCCAGTTACGATTGATATCTCTACCATAACAAGTTGAAGAGGACGGTGGGGTCTGACGATTTTTGCGCCACAAACGATTGGTACTTTGCGTGTATAAAAAGCCTACGACCAAAAATTAGATCAGTTAAAAAAGCAATTCAGAATAACTCACCATCAGGATTCACAACTGGGAAGATATAGTAGTCATATTTATCAACAAATCCTTTGATCTCTGTACTGGTGGCATAGTTTGTTAAAAGATTGTACGCCATGTACTCAACAACCTACATGATATTAGTGCTGCAAATGTGACGACACGTCAATGGCCTGCTCACCAACGTTGTAATCCATTCTCTAGCATGTACAGTACCGTGGAAGAGAACAGCTGGCTTGACTCCTTTGCCAGCACTTCCATAAATATGAATGCCAGTGATCGCATTACCCTGAACAGTAGTTCCAGCAGTCACGATTTCGGCATTCGATGGATGTGCAGTGACAAGGTCTTTCAGGAACTGTATGTGGTCCGCATATGCGTGATATCCGGTGAACCAAGTAGCATTTGGTGCAAGGGCTGAGTTGTGTCAACAATAAATTCCTGACAGGAGAGCTTCAACTTACCAGCCTCTGCGGAATATGTTTCGGTCTGTCCCTCTTCTGCAATTGATTCTCCAAGATTACTGTGCATAAACTCTCTTTGGAAGTCCTTGGTTATTCTCAAGAAATTGTCGACCTGCTCTGGAGGTACAACCACATCAGCCGTGCCAAGTTTGGCCGACTTTTTCCATGTTTGAAGGTTCAGTGAAGAAACAACGTCGTTGATTTTCTCAATATTGTCGGTCTGAGCTTTGAGACGGAATACTTGATAGCCATCATAGTCCACCTTATTCTCAACCGCGGTACCTGCTGCCGCAGCTGCAGTGGCAAGAGTAAGAATTTGAAAAAGCTTCATTTTTGCAGGAGTTGATACGTACAATTATCCAGTTACTGGGAGGGAACGAATGCTTTATGATATAGCTTTCTGTTTTGATGGCGACTTGCGGTTACCGACGGAAATGTTTTTGCAGGAGTTCCTGAACAAGAAGCTCACAAAATCCATTGAACGACGTTCACAAATTTCACACTTATTGACGACAAATATCAAACAAATCAAAAGATAGGATTAAAGAAACTCCTGTGGTGACCGGCCTCGGCAGGTCCGAATAGGAAGCTGTGATGATTTGCCGAGCATGTTATCTCAAGCGCCAAGTGGACCAAGACATTAAAATAAGGTTAAATTGACATTACCTCTTCATGTGCGGGGAACCTGCATCCAGATATGCATCACCATTTGGTTCTAGAATCTTAGTATTGAAGATATCTGTTGTAGCTTTGCACTAGGCCTTGGATGAGTAATATACATTTTACGTTCGGTCAGTGCCGTTTTTTTAATTGGGCTTCACGAAGGATATCTCGAGGTACTTCATATTTGCCTAAATGAATTGCATCGTGGATAAGGATATGGATAATTCATAGGTAACCACTCCCCCATATCTTTTACTTTCCACGGTTATTTCTTGGGTGAATAGCGTTGATCGCGCTGTATGCGATGCGCCCGCCTTCCAAATCAAGCATTTTCAAGCGCTGCAGTTTCATATCTATTTCCTTGAATCCTGTAACATTCGCAGAAACCGTTTGTGGCGGTATCGATGCAACGACCCGTTGAGGAAATCGAAAGCTTTTCGCAATCGTCAGTGTATCAATTCAATATCTTGGCCATCCCTTGGACTATTGCAATCGTAGCGGCCCTTATGTTCTGCCCCGCCTCTGGTATTTCAATTGTTGTTCAAAGTCCAAACACAAAAGTATGTATGGTATGTGTCAGACATAGTTATACTCTGAACATGAGCTGGAGATCTGACGGGTAGGAGTGCATGAAGGAGATTCGGAAGATCGACCTTGGGGATTTGCATAGTATGACTTCCGACGATGACGGAAATCACGTTGCACTTGCAGCTTATGCATGTATACAAGATAGAGTCTTTGCAATGTGCAAAAGTCATATTACACCTGTAAGTTAATGGCGCCAATCTCAACATCTACATTCATCCAATTTCAATGAGATTTACCGGATATTAGATATGTTAGCAAAACTGTCGACGAACAAGGCTACGCTATTTATGTGGTTGATCACAAGGTCTTAAATCCGATTTCTGGTGATTGGCTCGATATTGCAGCATCGAATTTTATTCTAAATGGCTGTCGCTAGCACCCAACGTGACTTTGTAAGCAAGTTACTTGAAGTCACATGTTGTACGCCTTATGGATCACAGCATACTCGATAGTACCAATGGGTGATGTGATGTCTAAATGAGGTTGTAGGCATGTATCACCCCGTCCTTGTATTGTTTTAACCATGATTACAATACTGGGTAGTATCCATCGGCTCACTCTCTTCGTCGTCTTATATACGAGTAGATCGTTCGATATCGTTTTGACAAAAGATTGGAGGTCGATAATGGTGACAATGTGAGTCGAGTTCACAGTATCTACAATTACCACCGAGCTGCAGTTGTACACTGATAAGATTACAAGGATCTGGATATATGCTAAATGCACTATTCTTAGCCTGCATGAATTTTTGGGAATCTCTCAAATATGAACGGCCGTCATTACCGTCTACAATAATCATTTGGATGGAAATGGAAATGAAAGGGGTGAAATTGGGGAGCAGGTAGCTTCTGCTCCAGCTCAGGAGCATGATGTTACTGAGGAACAGCCCGGCAAATATGCGAGCCGCACACTCACCAAGACCCTGTTGTCATCACCACAGCTTAAAATACAAATCATGACCCTCCAGTCAGAAAGATCTACCATTATCATAATCCCTAAACTACATACCGTGATAATGAAGTCACTCATCACGCACATATGTTGCATCCTCCCGTCTCCTCTTCGCAATCCAAATGATGGCAGGTTGCCGTTGTTCTGCTCTGAGTCTACTTGGTGAAATGATCGGGGAATGGATGATATGGTATCAATCAATCATCTTACTTAGTCTTTGCCAGATCGCGATGGTGTGGCCGTATTGCAGTATTATACCACAAAGCGATAGTGCTCTTTATTCTCATAAGTAGTCCTAACCAGTGGTGATTTGATATATGTATTTCCTTACCCACAAGCTAGTTTCTATGATTTGGATATCTGTACCATAAACTAACTTCTGAATGATAATCACTGTCTAACATTCATCGAGATATCCAGTGGGAATATCTTATCATTTGAAAGCGCTGCCAGCCTAATCATCATCTCCCCAACTGGAAGTTTCAGACTACCCAATAAAACATACGAAATACAGGGGGACTAGTATTTAACATCAGGTTTCAGGAAAAATCTGCAAGGATAACCCAGAAATTCCGTGACTTACCACTGTACTCCAAATCGCCAAAGAAATCTCAGTCTACAAACTTTTATGGTTTGCTGCCGCGATTCTATCGAGAAAGAACTGTCACTTCCATTTTATCTCATGTGGATATCGACTTAATAATCCCCTCACATCGCTTTCGCTTCAGAATATTTGGCATTAAACAAGACATTCTTCCATTTGAGGGCAGGAAGGCCTGTGATCATATGCTATATTCACCTATATCGCAACAGCTATTAATAGTATCATTCCGACCAAAATTACCTTATTTTTGTCGAATTACGAAGGGTTTTGTTGCACTAGGAGTATAGGCAATAACATATAAAAAGATACAGTTTATATACTAAGAAACTTGTTTATACGTATTCGGAGGCCTGACATGAACTGAGTGAATATCCAAAGTTCGCTTTCGCTACAGTAAAGACTAATGTCATGAATGAAGAATGCTAGCGTAGCGAAACAAGCTCATTCTTCAAATGCTTTACCGTTCTTAACTTGCCTTTTCACGTAAAGCTCTGCTTTTTCCAAACTTCTGCTAATCATATCTGTGGCAAAAGTCTTTGGTGTATTGTATACTCGAGGGAGGTTGAACGATTTACCGTGCGGTTTTCTTTGTATAACTACAGGCCTAACAGAAAAGCGCGACACCCGATTGGTTCACCTAACCCGTGATTCTCCGAATATTATTTCATTATAAAACTTCAATTATACTACCAAATAGCCCTCTTTGCCGTAGCTATATACAAAATAGAATCGATATGATCTTATAAACCATCTCCGCATCGACAATAATCACACAACGAATATTGACATCTACATATTCACTCAAGCTGTGTAGATTGTCTAGCCAATATCCGACGTCATGTACGGATCTTGATATTTGCTGTCTTTGCGAAGCATGCTATGATTGTCGAATTTTCCATATGGTGGGATGAGTATGCAAGTACCGGGTGCGCGAAATTCTGACTGTAATATTCCATTGCATATGGGTGACATGGAGAGATTTTGCTGAGGCGTCAAATACATTGCTCATTGTGGCATTCAACGTTGTCTGAACATGGGTGTAGGGTTCTAGTTATTGTGATAATTATGCTTCTCCAGCAGGTTATAAAGCCTGAGGAGCCAAGTTTTTGCTCCTTCGACTGGGGATTAGGGTCAATACTGGTTCGGCTAAGATACTGCTCATTGTTCCTGTTGAAGTGGATGTGAAATTACTTCTTCAATTCTATAAATTGGTAGCTATTGGGGTATTGCGTCTAGTTCTCTATATGCTTTTTAGCATCCGATGGAAACAATAAAAGAGTCATACATTCCAAGCCCAGTCTTAAATTTTGTGAATTTTCACTACCTCCAGAACTGTTGGGGAGAGCCACTGGGAATTTCAATGACGAAAACAGCAGAAAAGGATGGCAAATGGCAGATGGCAATCAGAAGTGATCACAAACGAAAAGAAAATCAATTGACAACACGAATATTCTGTCTAACGGAAGCGTGGACCTGACATCGAGTGATGAGAAAAAGACCCCATCGAAGCTGGATAAATTTTGCCGGCCATTGTTATTAATCGTTCGTTGTATATCACGACTCTCGAGTCTATCTCACAAATTTTAGTTGTAGACGTTCAAGAAGGTCTTAATGAATTACAGCGTTCTCCCAAGTCCGCTCATTGTTCGCTCCTAGTGTGCGGTACAATCATTTTGTCGGTGTTAGTAATAGAGGAATTAAATGTTTTTAGACCAACTCAATTGACAGTAATAGCATATACAACTCAAATAGAAGAGAATAATAGACAACAAACGACAGCAGTTGAACTGATTCTAGGAATTTTGAATACTGTTGGATGTGGCATTATCCCAAACGACGGATAAGAACACCATTCTCGAATACTCAATCTGCTCACACACCTATTCATAACGGCAGGACCACCGCAACCGATCATTCCCCACTTACAGATGCAGTAACCACTTCCTGCATTCTCTGTATTCCCATGTCGAGTTTGGCGGCGGAGCTAAAAGATAAGACTTGAGTGTTTGTGCACCCACATGATCAGAAGTATGAAATGACACCAAGATAAGCGCTCCCGTTGGTGTACAGGATTGGGAGGTAAAAAATCCCTATCTTCGGAGAATACATGCAACCAAGGATACAGTATCATATTGATAGATTGATGCAGTTTACGCGCAGACGTTTCAGAACTCGTCAACTACATGTAGGGAATTGAATAGATTGAGAATATGCAGGCAAGAAGATCACTTGAGAGGGACCTTGTTATCCTGACCGTTATAGCTCATGTACGAATAAGGTTCAGTATCAAATGGTCTGAACGAGAAGTGGGATATGGCTGTGTATCCGAAATTCTTTGAACGAAACCCCTTTTCGGAAGATTCAACTGATTTGAAAAGTTCAACTTACTTGAGAGATATAACACACCCGATAAATTCAACTTATTTGGGAGATCTATGTTTCTTCTACTCTAATCGTGGAACATTGGACCTTGAAAGGCAAGTAAAAATGAGTCCGTTGAACAAAAATCCAGATCAGTGGAAATGCATTCAGTTTCTAAAATTGTTCGAAGCAAAAGCTCATGACTATTTTCGTGACACTTGAGCTTCGAGCCAATTGAACACATGCTTCATTCCAAAGAAATTCGAGTGTCGGTAGCTTAGCTTTCTGTCCCATGGTTTCAACTCCAATCTCGTCTACTTGGCCATTTTAGATAGGCCGCTTTCATCGCTGACTGAATAGTTGCTGGTGTTCTCGGTGGTTGAGCGTTCGGAGGCAATAGAAAGATATAACGAACCATATAAATACCATAATCTCTTTGAGGAACACATGTGATCCCCCCTAACACCGAACCGGTCACCGAACCGGTCACCGAACCGGCCACCTCCAGATCCAGTAGCACACCGTAGTCATATAGCGGATGAACGACGTTCTTTAGAGTACGAGGCCCGTTGAAAGCATAACCCCATGATATGATCTGGCTGTCTGCAGTCCAAATGAAATCGCTCATGAATCCATCATGGAGGATAGAATGTAGCGAGGCTATCGAAGTACCGTGGAATCGCACCGATGTGAGTCCCTTGTGGCGTTTCACATTTGCGTCGAAACGTTTTTGTATATCTATTGGTGGATCGAGGACTATGAACTGACTTGTGTTATGAGAAAATCCAGCTATTCTCAAAGACTCAGGCGCACTAGAGAACATTCTCCCAAACGTGGAGTGTATCCAGTTTGCCAACTTGATTGCTGGCTCGGGGTGATTTTGTTGGAGACTGTTTTGCAATATCCCAGCTGTCAAATCCGCCAATTTAGGAAGAGCTTGAAGGAACTGATTTACTACTTTGGTGTCAGAGACAGAGTAATTCTCGGGTAGTTTTAGTTGCTGGAATCGAGGGCCAGAGCGATAGTAGAAAGACATGAGAAGTACATAGAGCCCACGAGGATCATACTCGCAGTGCGTGGCTATAGATTTGCCCCATTTTTTGATAAGGTCAGATTCTTCTCCGACCTCTGCTATATCCAACTCGTCTCCACTATCTTCGTCTTCCAGATCGGAATTATCTTCGGTCTCTTCGGTGTCTTCGTCGTGTTCCAGATCGGAATCATCTTCGGCGTCTTCATCCTCTCCAGAACTCTCCGAATATTCACTAGAAAAAGCGGTGTCTTCGAAATCTCTGCTCGAGTCCTCGTCTTCATCATTTTCTTCAGCTGAAACATCTTCATTGTCTTCATCAAAGATTTTCTCGAGATCTTCTCTAGCGCCCTCATTATAGCTGTCAGCCACTCCAGTGATTTGAAACATTTTGTGTCTGGGTATTAGTTTCTCTTTTTTTACTGCTAATCTGTTCATTTACAAATTTCCAGAAATCTCACATATATTTTCAAAATAAAAGCTTTGATATGATCTGCCTTTGTTTCTTTATCATCCAAACCCAGTGTCTTTAGTTCCATCAGTTATATTCTCACGCTCATCCTCCACCAAACACTAATCTTGTTGATAAGTTCCCAATTAATAGTAGTTTCTTTTTCAATAACCCTAAGGTTATATATAAAGTGAATAAAGAGCCTGTAGTTCTGGCTTTTGGGTCTTATAAAGGGAAGAGTGGGATCTTTGATGTGTTTATGATTATTTATAATAGTTTCTTTGGGTTCCCTAGCAGTTGACTCAAAGAAATGATAAAAGGTGGCAATAATAACCAGGATGTGCAATAAAGATTGTAAGGACTGGCTAGCGGGGAGAGTGCATTGTGATATAGCGTAACGGTATACCCACCTTAGGTTTTCATTGCCTGAAAGAATTCAATAGAAACCATTTATACCTAAACACTCATTACTAGAGTACAAAGAGATTGTATAGCTAATTTTGTTGGAATATCACTAAGATCATAATAGGTATAACAGTAGTAATATTGTATGTGTGTGTCCTTAGAGGTATTCTAGTGGTATTGGATACATGTATAAGTGCGTGAGGCACGTGCATATAGACGATGCCATGTGAACTGTATCACGTGATATTGTGTGACTGTACTGCACTTCCAACAAATTTAGAGTTTTCTCAAACTTGGAAGCTTTTTGTTATAGGCTATTTATATATTTTCAATAATCTTTATTTAGATATCTTTTATAATATCGAATTTTTTGTAAGGATTTCTATTGTTCTTTGCTATTGAAAGGAAGAAAATGTTCCCTAATTAAAAATCAACCAGAAGCATCTAAACAATCAAGTGCGAATACGAAAGCTGAAATCATGAATACGATAGATGTAATGATATATTCCTTAAGGAACAACATAATGAAGACCCAATACCTCCATTATCGCGGTATATATCCAGTGCTACAGTATAGATACTCCACGTTCCAAGAGCAACATCGGTACACGCAGGAGAAGTATAAAACTCCGGCCTTTGAAGACACAAGTCTTCTGTACAGAAAAGAACAGATCCAACAGTTACTCTAAAACATTTTCCGTGATATTGAGATCTTCTAGAGTTACCCAATGTCTCATAGATGGGCTTCCAAGCCATATTCTGATATTTGGGACTTTCCACTCGGGATGTCGAAGCGCAAAATTCCTCAACTTTTCTCTTATACCCGGAATATCGCTATCGTCTACGAAGCTCGCATATATCATCAACCTCAGGTTTCTCAAGCTGCTGAACTGCCTAACATCATTCCAACAAAAGTCAACCACATCCCACATATGTGTCTCAACCCTGAACTCCAAATTCCTAATCTTTTCTGCACCATCTGCACCCCAGAAAGCACCTCCAAGAAACATGCCTAAGCAATTTGCGCCAGCCCGAGTCATCTTCAAAGTGTCTCTTTCAAAATCAATGTATGCCGTCCCAGCCCTATGGCAGCTTTCGAAAGCTAGTTCATAGCTTGCCAACCCCACCTCTTGTGACTCCTGATTGACATGAAGCAGTGGCGGAATACAATTGGTATCAAATTCTAAGCCGCCAACAATAAAACTGGCGCTGGTGATAAACCAGCCCCGGAATGGCGGGTGCTTTTGAATCCTGCGATCCGCCTTTGGACTGAGGTATACATCTCGAGCAGCGGGTATACATAGATCCCAAATCTTGAGACGGAGCTCTGTTGGAAGTTCTGGGAAATATGAGAAGGTTGTGAGCTTCTCCGACGAAGAATCTGACGGCTGTGGCGTGCTTTCCATTGTAGACACTCTGAGATAGTTCAAGAGGGTATCAGAATGGAGAAGAAGGGTGATCAGTGAAACGAAGAAATCGAGACGCGTTGCAGCACATTCAACGTTAGCGTAATGGCGGGGCAATGAATTGCTAGGGAATGGTTTTGCGAGAAATCCTCAGGTGACAGAACCAGGATTTACACGACGATGATGTACTGTAGTCAAAACACGAAAGTATGAGATAGGCAAAACTTCCAAGATGTCGTCAAATGACACGTGGTAATCTAGGCACTGTAAACAAAACAATAAGCATAATTAGTTCTTCACCGTTGACCTTATCTTCTGGTGAAATAAAAGCGGCAACACAGCATAACCTATTTTTGACGTGATATGTCTCAGTTATTTATAACCCATAGTCAAAAATAAAGATGTGGTGGGGCAAATGCGGGATTGCGCCTCGATGTAAGCATTCTACCCAGATATTGATGTCGGTCTTCCGGTATTGACTTTAACATAACATGGCAAACAGGTATTATACAAGACGCTGCAAAAATTTCATTCAATGAAACACCTTGTCAAGCTTTCCAGCACTTCACAACCTGCGAGAGATTGCTGCCGTGACCTACATAACTAGGCAACGCATCGTCGTTGCAAGAGCCTTCCAGCCACAATGCTAATTCCCCGAATTGTCACTCATGCATCTTCAATAAAGACTCCGAGGTCTGAAACAAAACTTCGAAAGAGATCTTACAGTGAACGTGAAACCCTGTAAGAAAGCTTGAAAAGTCAGGAGTTCCGGCCTTTTACCCCTTCATCCATTCGCTTACACACAATTTGCGAAAATTGTTCACTAATCTGGACCACACTACCACAATCCAGACAATGAGTAGAAGCGGAAACGGAAGAATTTCCCCTGTTTCAAACATCGATGAGGTTGGGTCGATTACCACACTTCACGCTTGAGGGCAACGTGTTTACTTCTCACAATTAAAGACAATGAGCATTGTCCCTCTTCGACAGCGGAAAAAATCAAGAGGTCAATAGTTCATAAGGAAGGATATTATTAGATGGTATATATTACAATCAAACGCCGTTGCAGAAAGTCTTCATTTCCCCTCAAGCCTCACCAGGCCAGATTTCATCCGCAATACTCCTGACCAACAACAACTTGTTCTTCATGTCTTCCCATCCTAACAAATTACCTTCTTCATGACTAGCAAACCCACACTGAGGGCTTACACCCAGTCTCTTCAACGCCTCTTCCCTCGTTTGACCCGCTCCTTTTGCTACAACATCGGCAGCTTCCAAAACTCTTGCCTTCATCTTATCTTTGTCCTCGAGTTCTGGAAATTTTGAAGTGATGACACCAAGAATGACGTTCTTGTGAGCTGGAAGGTAAAGCAATGGCTCAAAGCCACCGGCCCGGGGTGTGTCATATTCAAGATAATAGGTTGCTACGTTAAGGTTACGGAAGAGCTTGGTGGCAATGCGATCATATCCACCTTCAGAGAAGTGACGTGACCCCATGAAGTTACCCCTGCAAATGTGGAGACCAAAATGCATCTTGGAAGTATGCTTCTCGATGCTGTCGTTATAGCACTTAATGTAAGCATCAAGCAACTCTTCAGCAGTTTTAGTATTAGACTTGTCTTCCTCCCAACCCTTCAACATCTTTTCAGAGCAGAAGTCTTTTAATCGTTAGCTTTGCAGAAATGAGACGCTTCAGAGTACATACAAGCAAAATTTGGATCGTCGAACTGCACATTTCTGAGACCGGCCTCATACAAGATATCCAATTCTGCGCTAATAGCTTTCGAGATATCTGAAAAGTATTCGTCATCGTTTGCATACACTTCTTTGGGGAAGGCTTTTCCGTCCTGATATCTAAGATGATACCATGGTGGGGCAATCATTGTCAGCTTGATGTCCCCCCATCTTTCTTCCGGCACAAGAGTCTTCAAATATTCGAATTGACCAATGAGTGTCGACTTTCCCGTGTGCTTTATCTTGCCAGTGCAGAGGCAAGATTGTCCTGGCTTGTGGCCCTTTTCGATGAATCCAGCGATATCAGGAACATAGGGACGAAAGAGATCCATAGAAGGATTGCGAATTTCGGTCATGCCATCGAGTTCTTCGAAGAATGTTCCCCAGAATACTGCACGTCTGCCATCCAATTTATCTTAGCTACGTGCCACTATCTATCGCTGAATGTATTCTGCGGAACAACAAACCGATATTCTCCATCACTGATAGCTCTGAACCCGCACTCTTTTTGCAACTCCACGACCTTATTGATAGACTCATTCTCGATCCGAGTAAGTTCTTCTCGGCTCAAATCATTCTTCTCGAAAGCGCTGTGTTTTGTGAGAAGTTCCGCAGGGCGAAGCAAGGAACCTAGATGCTCGGCGCGGAAAGGAGGATTACGATGAATGGCCGCCATTTTGCTGTACCTTACGACTAGGAAAAGTATCAAACAAGGCAGAAGAAACTGGAGATAACTTCAATAGTGGAAAGAACGATATAGACTCCCATTTGCCCCGCTCAACCCCGCACCAGCCGCCATCACCTCCGCAATACCTATATGAGTGCGACATCGGCAGTTGTGACTTATTGGTGAAGACATTCGTAGAGATATATTGTATTAGTCATATTGTACACAGGAATCGTCTCGATTATCGATGGTTTCTGGAATGAGCTTTGGAGGTTGTTGGTGATGTTTTACGAGTACAGTACGAGTATGATCTAGCGGACGATCGGATAAACCTTGTCCGAAGAAAAGCCGCGGGAATACCGTTATTGCACACAACCGCATCCCACCCCTGAATCCTGATACATGACTTCTACAAACACAACCTCAACGCGGTCAGATCAACGTGACAATGCAGGTATCTTACATGATGCACCGGTTACCTATCGTTATCTATCTTATTAAGTTCGGTCGTGAGGAATTGAATCCTGCGTGAAATCATACGGAACATATATCAAACGAATGTACCGCCAAAACGGCTCATATACAGTATGCATCTTGTAGGTGTTATCCTCATTACTGATTCGCTCCATGAATCCAGGATGATACAAAATCCCTAACCATGGGGTGTGTACCGCGACAAACGGGTTCAACTGAACAATTTGGGCGATATCAACATCCTTATCTGAACTCGTGGAGGCGCTGGATTGATAGCTATAGTGGGGCAGGTTGGTTGCAGCTAAAGACATTACTGCAGCGTTTCTTGCATGGCATGGTGGTCACCGCCAATCTGGCAGGTTAACATTGCGTTTGCATGTGCTCATTACTTTCTCCCAGGCTTCAGCACTCTCTCTTCGTTCTTGTATGTTCATTTTCACAAGTAATGAGCGCCTCAACAATCACACGGAGCCTAGGCTCAATATGATGCTTCTGCCCGTGGGCTTGCGGGTTAAGATCTTTAGTGAGATTTAGATGCTCGTTGGTTAGATTGATCCTGCACACACTTCAATATCAATTGCTCATATTTTTGCGACACATCTGACTGCATTGGTCTTTGATAAAACACTATCGCACTTATGCGAGATACCAACTGCTACCCTTGAAAGCGCGTATTTTTCACCCAAAATCGCGCATTTTATTATTAACACTGGGAAATCATAAAACTCTCTTTTCAGAACACCGTTCCCCATTGTGTTTGTGTGTTTATTGTCGCAAATCAGTAGAGAAATTTCAGTAAGGATGCAGGTTCAGAGCATCGTTGCTGAAGTCATTGGACTTTCTGTTATTGGATTCTTTACTTTGCCATCGATTGTGACAATTTCGCGAACTCCATATCGACGGAAAGGAACTCCAAGCTGGGGGGACATCAAGGATGGAAACACAACGGTCATCAGTGAACACACCTTTTACGCAAAGACTCCAAAGACATGCCTGTGTATAGTCCTTATCATGGGCGTGCTTACATTTGTTTTGAGGACTCTTCAATTTGGGAGCACCAATCTTTGCCTTGAGCAGGTAGCAACTAATAGTGTAGGATGGGTAAGTGTTGGTCCTACAATCCTACACAATCGTAATACTGATTGTAGCAGTTCTTGTTGATGATCCAAGTGTTTGCAGTGTGCTACACGAAAGATACTATCGTGAGCTACACGCAAGGCACATATACTGCAGCTTCCTGTATTGCTTTCCTTTGCTTGACCATTCTTGGGGACGAAAAGACTCTGAGAAGTTCGTGGTCGATTTCCACTGTGCTATCTGTTGCCCAGATAATCACCTTGCTTGCTCTTGGAATCGCGAGCACCTCAATACCACGACGACCTCAAGTTTTCTATAATGGGAGACTCGTTTTAAACGAATTCAACGTTTCCTTCCTCAATCGATTTACATTCTCGTCAGTAGAGTATTTACTCAGATGGGCAAAGCAGCACAACGATCTGAATATGGACGAACTCCCAACAATGAACTATTCAAAAAGATCAAAGACGCTCAGTCTTGCATGGGCAGCCAAGAATAGCACTGGGCGATTGTGGGCGAGGTTGTTGAAAGTTTACACATGGCCCCTTGCTCTTCAAATAATTCTAGGATTGATTCATGCCTTTCTTGCTATTGGGCCTCAACTCGCGATCTACAAAATATTGAAGGCAATGGAATTTGGACAGACTGGAAGACAGCTGGGCTTTTATATTTTAGCTTTTGGGCTGACCACCATTGTAGCTTCTTGGGTTGAAGGTATGTGCCAATCACTCAAGTCTATTGCTATTTCCGTTGAGCTAATGTTGCATAATAGCTATGCAAGATATTACTAGCACGAGCCTTGTATCTGTTCCAATGCGTGCTCAACTATCAGCTTTGATTTTCGAAAAGACCATGCGTCGCAAAGATGCAAAAAGTAGTTCCGCGACATCGGAAGATAAAGAGGGCGTTTCCTCTGATGAAATAGACCCTGACAAGACATCTCAAAAGATTCTCAATCTAATCGGGGTAGACACCGGAAGAATTTGTGATTGTGCCAGGCAAACCTTCGAGATCGTGCAAGCACCTGGCCGGATCATCATATCTGTAGCATTTTTGGTCACATTGTTGAGCTGGCAGGGTATTCTGCTTGGCTTCTGGTGCGTAAATTTGTCTCCGGTTCTTCCTCTCTATATCAGATACTTGTAACTAATTTGATAGTTTTGTCTTTTTAACCTTCCCCATAACTCGTCGTTATTCAAAGAAGTTTACGGTCTCGCAGGCAATTCTAATGCAGACAAGAGACAAGAAAGCAGCAATCATTGGCGAAGCTCTCCAAGGCTTCCGTCAGATTAAATTCTCTGCGCTTGAGGATCGATGGGAAAGTTCAATTATGGCAATGCGAGATATGGAGCTCGCAGCAACGTGGGATATTCTAATGCACAGAATAATTTTGATCGCATGCTGGATTCTAAACCCACTCATGACGGCCGCAATTGCATTGGGAGTTCACGCATATATTTACCAAGAGCTGACACCCGCACAAGCCTTCACGGCCATTGGTGTATTTCTACAGTTGGATCATTGTATGCAGTCGCTCCCCAACATCATAACACAGATGATTGCTGCCAACGTGTCTTTACAACGTGTCGAGGATTTCCTTGATTCACCGGAACTTGGCAATATTCTTTCTAGGCCAGCTGAGTCGCTTGGGCCTCTCGAGTCCGATTTATCCGTGATAACTTTTGACAATGCCAGAATAAGTTGGCCTAGCGACGAAGAATATGTTGACACAGACAGCGATCGTTTTCTTCTTCGAGATGTCAATATTTCGTTCGCAGTCAATCAATTGACAATTATCTGTGGGAAAACTGGTTCCGGCAAAAGCTTGTTACTGAATTCAATGCTTGGTGAAGCAGAACTTATCTCTGGTAAGATTACGGTGCCGGAAAGACCATCCGATCAATACGACGATCATGCAAATAAAGATAATTGGATCATCCCGAACTCGATTGCATTTGTTGCACAGATCCCCTGGATTGAAAATTGTACAATCAAGAAAAATGTTCTATTTGGCTTACCACTAGACTCAGACCGTTACGAACAAGTCATAGAAGCTTGTGCTTTGACTAAAGATCTTGAACTCCTGTCCGACGGACATGAAACGGAAATTGGAACTGGTGGAATCAATTTAAGTGGTGGCCAGCGTGTAAGTGACACATTTATTATCGATTGCACGCTCGTGTTTCCCAGTCATATCTTCATTCGCTCACTGCGAATTCTGTCATTGCAACACATTTTCTTGCCAAGCTTAGCTCCATGGCCTAACTCTAACTAATCGGTGATTTAGTGGCGATTAACCTTAGCGCGTGCATTGTATTCACGTGCCGGAATAGTTTTGCTGGACGATATCTTCAGTGCTGTCGATGTTCACGTTGGTCAGTTCATTCTCAACAACGCTCTTGTTGGCAGGCTGAGCGCTGGTCGTACTATCATATTAGCAACGCACCATTTATCTTTATGCAAAACGCACGTCAAATCCATTGTAGAGCTCGAGAATGGCATTGCCAAGCAGTTCTCTAGTGTTCAGGAATTGGAGGAATATCTTGGTGCACCCGTCGAAAGCCTAGATGATACCGACGAGACTTTAATCACCATCGAAGAAGTCTTACAGGAAGATACCGTTCTAGATACATCAGGCTCCAATTCTTCCGCGACTATGAAGACAGACCCTCTCAAGTTTGTGACAGATGAATTTCGCAAACAAGGAAATATCGGATCTTCAGTATACTCGAAATGGCTCAAGTCTTGTGGTGGATGGACCATTGGGATAATATTCCTATTAATTTATACCATGTCCACATCATTCAATCTTGGTAAGACCCCTTCCCCCTTAACAGGTCACGAAAATAAGCACTAATCATAATGTCTAGGCCGAACGTATTGGCTTCGGTTTTGGACAAGTGTCAACGGGGAGGATGAACGTAATTTACTAGCAAGATTTGATCATCCGCAAATATTCATCACTTCCTCGGCATTCGATAGCAATGTTACTATTGTGTCACCACCCGAAATCCCAAGCAAACACAGTACAACCTTCTATCTCGGGATATACTTTGCCTTGTGTGTCGCCGTCAGCATTTTCCGCATCTACGGTTATATCTACGCATACAAGCAGTCAATTCGAGGATCAAAGAACCTGTTCAAGACAATGTTATTCAAAGTTTTAAGGGCCCCTCTGCGTTGGATAGATACCGTCCCCTTCGGTCGAGTTATGAACAGGTTCACAACTGATTTTAACACGGTTGATTTTGATATTGTGGTGAGCATTCTCCTGATTTATTTATTCCTCCTATGAAATTCTTCCACGCCTAAGTGGTTCCTATTTCTGACGCTCTGTTCCAATAGGATACTCTCACATGGGGTTTCGGTGATGTCTTCAGGTTATTTGGGATAGCAATCGCGGGGTAAGTAGCATCCTGTTCTTTTGATCAAAGAGGTGCTAAGAAGACGAAAAGGATGTTCCTATCACCATACGTTATACTATTAACAGTCGCGGTCTCTATATTTTCTGCATACTTAGCGCTCCAAGCCATTACTGCAGCGAGAGCAATCAGGCGGTTGGACTCGATCAATAGATCGCATGTGTTTGAGCAATTTCGAACTATCTTGATTGGCATCACTACCATACGAGCTTTCGAGAAAAGAGATAACTACCTCGAAAAGGTATATTGCAGGATCGACGACTCAAGCTCAACACTTTGGAATACTACTTTGTGTCATAATTGGCTTGTTTGGAGAATAGGTGGCATGGCTTCAGCCGCATACACAATGGCCATCGCAGCGATTGTAGCCTCGACCGTAACTGATGCAGGACTTGCCGGATTTGTCCTTGCCATATCTCTGGAATTCTCAAGCGCTCTGTTTTGGTCACTCTTCCATGCAGGTTTCCTCGAATTGCGCATGAATGCGGCAGAGCGTGTCATTGAATATTCCGAGATGCCTACTGAGACCTTAGATGGTGAGGAACCTCCCGCGAGTTGGCCAACGGCCGGGTGTCTAGAAGTGAAGGACTTGGTAGTTACCTACAACCATGATCTGGCACCTGTTTTGAAAGGATTGAACTTCAATATTGATCGTCAAACTAGGTAAATTACTGACCTCTTCACTTCCATTATATTTGTGTCTAACAATGGGTTAGGGTAGGAATCGTTGGTCGTACGGGATCCGGAAAATCTACGCTAACATTGGCACTGTTCCGCTTTCTGGAGGCGAGAGAAGGTAGTATCATTATCGACGGCTATGATATTTCTAAGTTCAAGCTACAATCTCTACGTCGTAGTTTGGCCATCATTCCTCAAGACCCAGTCTTGTTCTCAGGTTCGAGCATCTCTAATATCGTCCAAAGATATTTTACTAACAGAAGCCTAGGAACCCTTCGAAGTAATTTAGATGCAGACAACGAACATGATGATACAGCTCTATTCGATGCTCTTCGTCGAGTTCATCTCATCGATGCGTCAATCCCTGGAAATGAGACTCCATCCACATGCTCATCTCAGAATCAAAATATTTTCCTTTCCCTCAACAGCTCTATCGCCGAAGGCGGTCTCAACCTCTCCCAAGGCCAACGCCAACTTCTCTGCCTCGCACGTGCCATAATTCGGCGTCCCAAGATTCTCATCCTCGACGAGGCTACTTCGTCCGTGGATGTTCAGACCGATGCACTGATCCAGAAAAGCATTCGCGAAGAATTTGCTGATAGCACGCTTCTGGTCATTGCGCATAGACTTAGTACAGTGGGAGACTTTGATAAGATTATGGTGATGCATGATGGAAGAGTGGCGGAAATGGGTAGTCCGAAGGAATTAATTGATAAGAAGGGAATGTTTTGGGGTATGGTGAGGGAGAGTGGAGAGGCGGAGAAGTTGGTTGGGATGAGTAGGGATTAGAAACTTGAAGGGGTATTATTATTCTCCGATGCTTTCATTCATATTTGAGTTGGTTATATTTATCTCTTGTAAAGTTCGTAGGAGTCATCTCCTAATTCAAAAGATCTTAACTTTTCAACATTGTATTGAATATTAAGATTGCTATTCTAATTCCTATTGTTATTGCTGACAGCTAGTAAATGTCTATATTAGCTATGTATAATAAAAATATATGCAAGGGTGTATAACCGGGATCATTTGTCAAAATCCCATTTTTGAATTTGGGATTTCAAATGCAATCCACCTCCACATACATTGACCTATCCGTTTTCCTTTTCTGCTCTCTTGTAGCCAATCAATCAGGTTGATAAATGTGGCGCCTTCGTCCGATATGGGGGAATCTTAGGTTACCCCGCCTTGTTCCGTAACCACCTTACTTCCACCATGGCCTGTATCTCAACCACTTTTCTCCCACATTTCAGGGAGACTTAGCGTCAAAATCCTATTTTTGAACTTGGGACTTTGATACTAAAGCAGTTCACATTCGGATTTTCAGATCCTTTCCTCTTATTTATGTTTTTGTATATACAAAGCACAAGTAAATATGAATGAGAAGTTTATGTCCCTTTGCAGAGGAAGTTCCTATTACTGCTCGGTGAAACGGCAAAGAGAGAGTTCAAAAAAGCATTCGAGACACCCTCTGTCATTAACAACAACAAATTATATTCATTTGTATGTGGAATCTGGACTTCATAGCGCCGCAGTTCAGATATCCATCAGTCCATTCTCACTAGAAAGATATCCTCAACAGACCTTCTTTCATTCAGGGTATCGTTATAGTCTTTGCTGTAGAAAGGCTCCGCAAGATATTGTGGCATTAGCAGTGAAGGAAAAGGTGCAAAAGGTATCTGATGATTTTTATCAGCCCGGTTATTGGGATTTTTCACACGATCAGTAGTAAGTTTAAAATCCATACTATAAGAAGCTCATTAAAGTGTATGAAGTGTTACTGTGGACAACTTCAATACTGTGCACAAAATCTCAAAACCGGCATGTTTGCACACAACAAAATTGAGGCTTTGCGAGTATTTCGAATCAACTCATGCGATAGCGCCTATGTTCAATGACCGAGGACCATGTGGAGTGCGCGAGCACGAGCACGAGTCCATCTCTGACGGTGGGCAGAGAAGTACTAAAGTCAATCATACCAGGTCATATCATACCCGTATCAATGAGGATGTATCTCCAGCGAATGATAATTGTGACACGAACGATACCGAACTAGTGCGATCAACAAGCCAATATCATTCTGACGACAACGAGGTTCGGAATATAGTCGAGAAAGCTGCAGCAAAGATCCGGAGAGGATTGAGGAATCTTGGAAGAGCTAGTATCTTGCCATTGATTTCGAGCGACTCGAAAGCATTAAACAACAATGCGGAGTATTACGAACAATATTTCTGGACCCAAGCAACGGCGGAAACTGTTCAGACACTCCAATGGTTCAATCGTTTTTTTGCGTCTTGTTTTGGACTGATCCGTATAGGTTTGGAGGCTGAATGTAGAACAGACAGCCATCCTAACGTAAGTGTGCGATACTGGTGCTTGGATATTGTGACGCTTACCGAAATGCAGGCTGTTGACAAATTTGCGGCCGATTATCGAACGAGGAAAAACTGGCAAACAGCTGCTGAAGTCATCAATTCCTTAGTAAATTGCCTTTTGAAAATCTGGGGTTGGAAGGCTTTTCTTGTATATTCAGCTTTGGAATGTACGTCGAATGGATATTGTGGATTGAAGCATGTTCTAATTTCGTGACAGCTACCGGTTTCAATTTCTGTGCTTGCTCGCGTTTAAAATGGGACAAACGGTAAGATGTTGTCTCTGGTTTAGTGAAAACTTTAAGCAACGAGATACCTACGATCTCTAGCCCATCAGTGCTTCTTGATCCTGCATTGCTCGTAAGTTGCGCTCTGAACATGAAGTAAGTACTCCCCATCACTTTTACAACATGAAATTGATTTGATGTTTGTGTAGTTACAATGACGTTTGTACTAAATTAAAGCTTGATATGGCTCCGATGGTGGAAGTTAGTTCAGAAAAGTTGCGTTGGGAAGCTCACAATCTATCTGACTATCTCGCACCAGGGTACAAGGTTTTATTATTTATCCAGAACAAAATTTTGCGCGTTTCTTAAAACTTGAAGGTTTGAAGTAGGTAGGGATTGTTCAAGTTGACTGCTATGTAATTAGCGATGCTGGCAGATAAATATCCATGAAGGGATGCATACCACTTTGCAGATTTCTCTGATCGAAATGAAGTTGATGCGAAAGGTTGAGCGCTTGAGAATATTCGATATATTGGGAAAAATTGTCGTCATCAGAAGACCTGCTAGTGCAGTTGGGATGTAACGTCAGGCTATTTACCCTGTACTCGTGCTGCCCGTAAGTCTAAAACTCCGAGAGCTAAAAAATGAAGCGAAACCTTAAAAAGGAGGAGCAGTTTAACCAATACTATCCATCCCCCATACTCGATTCCTCGATGTGCAACTCAACCCCGCATTAGGTGCGCATTCTTGTACCACCAATACACCAGACGCTTTATTCAGCGCGATTTGCAACAAAATATCTAGGTGTAGGAGGGACGGGGGAGGGAGGGACGAGGGAGGGTAGTTGAGGGGTCACGTGAAGAGTTTGATTGGGAGTTATGGCTGAACTGGCCAGCTATGTGGCTGGAAACGCCAATGAGCCATCGATGTAAATCGACCTTAATACAGTACCCCGCACTCAGCTACAATTTCCCCACAATGCCCTCCATCTCCAAATTGGTTGAGCGATCCCCTTGTCCCATGGGATTATCAAACGTTTTCTTCACGTAAGGTGGAAAATGTCGTCCCACAACTGTATCCCTGGGTAATAGCGGATATAAAACAAGGGGAATAGTGTGATGGTAGCGAGAAGAAGTGGCAGGAAATAACGAACCTCATCTCCATACTCATCCTCATCTACAGTTTTATCGCCTTCCCTTTTATCTCTACTGTTTTTATCTGAATCCTTTTCAATAGGTCTTCCTGCTCCCTTCTCATAACCCTGCTCTGCAAGATGTAGTAAATGGCATAATGTAGTGCGATGGTGGGATGCAGTTCATCGAAACAGACATACTGGTAACGGTTACGCTATCGTACCATTGTTTGCTCAATATTGGTGATCTTACCTACCAGGTAAATAGAGTCTTCTATATTCTTCGGACTTCTATCATTACCAATAAAGAAACTGTTTTGGTCGATTAGACATGAGGTAATAGAAGGCACAGGATATTTTGGCCGCATTTGATTCTTCGTGTCAATTTGCAATCAGTCCAAAATTGTAGAAAGATGGATTGGAGTGAAAACTGTGAGGCATCTTATATTAAGCTGCTGAATATCCAGTGTTTTGATACTTTGATGTCGATTAATAGCTTGAATATCTTTGCCACTATTTAAATATTCTCTCACCTAAAGAACTCAAAGCCTTTGCATTTCTATCACAATCCTCAATCTCTACTACTCCAAGTCTTCACCTCTATCTTTCTCGACTCGTACACTTGATACACCTACACCATGTGTGAACTTGTCAAAAAAACACGCCTATGCGGACATCCCATTGGTATGGCAAAGTGGAATCCAGCCAATATAAATCATTGTACACTTGCCAAAAATGCAGGTATCAAGGTTCATAGAAAACTACAGCGGTGTATTGGCAGCAATTATTCAATAACCATTTTGATAGATATTAGCTTCTGCTCTGGAAATACCCGTTGTTACAAGAAAATGTTTAACCAATGTGGTTGGACTTGTCATGCATACCAGTCCAGAAATACTGCTAGCGTCAATTCCTGTGCCTGTGGCCATTCGTATTGTAATAAGTGCAACACCTAATTTAACCGAGACCGTTGCTGCAAATAACGTAAGTTTTATTTCCTTGTCTACAACAGATATTAACTTATCATAGTAGTATTTCGTGCGCCGGTAGTTGGCTTGTGAGGAATGGAGGTGGAGTAGAGTGGGTGAAGGGCTTAAGTTGGTGTTTTTCAACTGGACACAGACGAAGGACTTTGTAGGGAGTGCTGGAGGGGTGGAAGGGTTGTGAATAGGGGACTTGCGGTGTTTCATTGAGCATGCAGAGCTTCTTGTAATATTTCGGAATATTCTTCTCTCAGTGTGGATCAATCCAACATTGATCTTGGTTGATGATCAAAAGTTTGTGAGGTTCAATCCTCAAATAAGCTACCAATCAAAAGTGTTTACTACAGCAATATTATATTAGAACAAATACTGACTTCATTGATGAACTCCTTCCCAAATCGCTTCTGGATCTCCTTCATTCCAGTGGTCATATCTCCACGGCCTATCTCGAAATCCAACATATATTCGTCTTATCAAATTATTCCACGATTGATAGGTTTATCGCTTTATTTAGTTAACCATTCCTTGATCCTTTTAATCCCTTATAAATCCCCCTTTTGGCTATCCCTATTAGCCTCATCAACCTAGCCAGGTGTATAACTGCCCTCAAAATCGATAAGCTACAATCGATTATCTTGATCAACCAATATATTACTTGGCTTAGCATTACCCCATACCAAACCTGCAGCATGCAGCTCTCCAACAAGACCTTCGAGCTCGATAGCCCAATGATATCTATTCTTATGCGGGCAATCAGACTAGGGTGCTATCTCTTCGAGTGTACCCTTGTTCTCAATGTAGTAAAGCAATATGCCTACCAAGTGCTTGTTTGAGTCGGTATATTGTTCGGGTATCAAGCCATATGAACCATTGTCTTCCCATTTGGCAAGCAGGTCCTCCTTTGTAGCACAAAACCAATGCTGCAAGACTTCGCGATCATTATCAATAACAACACTATGCAAATGGCAAATTTGTATATTGGATCGAAGCTTTTTCGCGTCGATAGCTGATTGAATTTGTATATATATCCACGGTTTCTTCTTGCCCAAAGGTAATAACCCCTGGGATAAATCCTTGTAATAGTATACTGTACCATCCCCAGCAATAACCTTGGTTGGCTCTCGAAGAAATGGATGTTGTTCTGGATCCGATGAGGTTGGTACAAGTTGTATTTGAGGTGAGGTAAAGGATTTCACTGGTTTCAACTAGTCTTCCCAAGTGGATATGTATTCACCTCTAGGCTATTTTATTTGCCATAGAAACTCCCCTTTGAAATGTGGTTGAATGATAGTGCTATCTGGAGCTAATGCTATTATCTCGAGAATTAGATATGGCGGATAGAGATAATCAGATAAGAATTCAAATGAAGGTGGTGGGTTTGGAGCTAGTTTAGTTATAAGCCCTCAAATGGTTCTTTAAAACAATAGATCTCTTCTAAAGCATTTCGAGCATCTTGATTATCTCCAACTTCGTATATTCGTATAAGTGCAAGAGAGCTATAATGATACTTCAAGAGATATAGTGAAAGAGATAAATTATGTGGTCGATATTGGATTTCGAAATGAGCACCAAAACAGCGTACTTGGAATTTGATAATTTCATCATCGTCGTTATGTTGCTCGATTGTGGACCATTGAAATCCTTCGAAATAATATTTTTGCGCCATAATTATTTCTGACAGGAGGTTTGACCGACAAAAAATGTGTTGAGGACTGAGAAGCAAACTTTGATGTATTTGAGGGCCAAAGATCCAAACTATATAGATGTTCTAAAGGCGGGAAGAAAAGAAAACTACATCCGTGTAGGAACACAAAATAGGCATTGAAGCCAATTAAAACTTCGCGTCTCAATGTAGACGGCTAAGGTACATACAACTTGTTGCATACACTTGTTATACAACTACTTAGAAGCGCTTAGAGTAGGTGTATTGTACCTAGTCAATGTTGTTCTTTCGTGTATCGAGATTATTGGAGGGGAGCTATTTTAGGTGAGTTTGGTGTCACGTCTGATTACAAATATATTATTACATGTGATGGTCCGCGCAGCAAACAGGCGAACGAAGTGAGCATTTGGAGGTTTCCCCAATCTCTGTGTGATCATGGAAATGAATACGAAACTCTGCTCAAGTTATGCCCGTACACTGCCTATGATCTCTTTTCTGAAAGATACGTGTATAGTATTAGGGATAATACAGGGTTTTGGAATATAGGTGTGAAGTAATAAATGATATTTGAAATAGAAAGTAAAGAAGAGATTGAGCTCTTATAGATATTGTTGAAAAGCAGCGTTTATAGAAAGCGATGTTGTATTACTCGAACCGTGTATACTAAGACCAAATTGGAAACTATACCTGATATAGCTTCGCTAAACCATTATTAGACAATGCTCTAATAAATAACACTTTACTAATCATCTCACAGAATACTAGTTCTATTTTTAGTATATATATAAATTTTCAAAATATATTTTGCTTTTATATTCCTTTCGCTTATATATAATATTACTATATATTCTGAAATAAATCTTATAATTATATAAAGCTTAGAGTATTTAATACTAGTAGTCTAGACTATAGTCTAATTAAAGAGATTCTAATATTTGAAATTATAAGAGTAGTAACTAGTTGATTACTTATATAACGCCAAGCCACTATCTCATCAGTCTATCTAGTGCTTTCTATAGATAAGCAAGAAATCCTTTTAGAATTCCTCTTCTTTCTTTTCTATAACAAACTATAATTATTGCTCTGCCTCCACTCTGTATTTAATAATTGAAAATCAAAATAATATTTGAGATATATTCAGGAAATAAGAATATCTTATTATTGGACTATAGTCTAGACTATTGAATATCCTAATAAAGCTATTCTTATAACAAACAAAACAAATATCAACTCTATCGTGATTATATACAAACACAAAAAGGACTTCCTCAACATTCAAAAGAATCTATTTATTATAGAGTATACTATTATATTAATCAGTATAGCGACTAGAATTAGAACAAGTTTCCTCGTACTATCCGATACACACGATTATCAGTTCGGCGACCACGAATCCAGCAAGTTACAGCTTCCCGTCCCAAAAGTCGATGTTCTTCTCCACTGCGGGGACTTAACACAAGTTGGAGGTATTCCAGCCTTTAAAAAATCTCTTGCGATGCTCAGCAACTTCGATGCAGAGCTCAAACTGGTTATCGCGGGGAATCATGACTTGGAGCTCGATGAAGGATGGTGCAGGGAACACCTCGACGAAGACGAAGATTATCTTCAGGACCATGCTCGTGCCATGGAGATTATGCAGGGACAATTTGCAAGAGACGCGGGGGTTACTTATCTGGAGGAAGGGATACATTCTTTCAATCTCAAGAATGCAGCGACGTTCAAAATATATGTTTCTCTTTATCAACCGGAATAATAACGATTATGCCTTCCCTTACAAACGTAGCGAGGATCGCTTCAGTGTGTCGGGGGAAACTGCCCAGGGAATCACTTCTATTGCTGAGAATCCCATGCCAGGTTTCGCGGGTGTAGATATTGTGATGACGCATGGTCCACCCAAGGGAATCAGAGACGAGTGTAAGGACGGACACCAGGGTTGCGATCACATTCTTCGAGCCATCAAGCGTGTGAAGCCTCTGATGCATTGCTTCGGACACATTTATAAAGGGTATGGTGCCCACAAGGTCGTGTGGGAGGAAAGTGTCATGAAGAAAGAGATCGGTCTGGTCAATAGTTATCCCAGGCCTACGGACGTGTCTGTCGAGTCTGAAAAGGAAACGCTGATGGTTAATGCGGCGATATTGGATGGAGAGCATCGGCCAACTAATGCTCCCTGGATTCTGAATTTGGATTTGCCTTCCGCATAGTTTCGAGCTTAGAATATACCGGTAGATGGATTTTAATATTAACAATCTAAAGTTTTCAAACCTTTGATAATAAACTCAGTATTATAATAATACTTAAGACTCACAAATCGTTGTTTATCTCTCCTCATTCTCACGCATTAAACTCCACTCAATTCACACTCGAGAGAAATTGGAAAGTTTTTTTTATCCTTAACGAGAGACAAAGCATCAAGTCAGGTGCTATTGATGAATGGAGAGTTTTATAAATCGTGTCTAGATTCATATTGAAAGTAAGGACAATTTCAAAATGACTTACTTCCAAATTTGTTATCCCAAAATATCTAAATTCTTGTTTCAAATCTCTCGGCTGAGTGTACGTTGTCGTACGACTCCGAGAGAGCTTCAGTAGGTTCCGGTAGAACAGTCCTCAGTCAGACATCTGATATATGAAACAGAAGCTTTACCTGCCTGTCCCGTATTTCTCTGGGATTTTCTATGGTTACCAAAGATACTTGCATATCCGGGATGTGAAAATCCTATGTAATTACTTACCAGTCTGCTTTAGAGCAGGCAGGCATTGAGATGCTATGCCAAGGTATCGGACGGTTTTCAATACTTCACAAATTTATTGGAAGAAATATGAGTATTCTCTACTTCCCTCGTGGTCCGGGCAAGTATCAATGCCGGGGAAAGCTTAATTACTTCCGAACCCATTGGCAAATGCTCCCGCACATCATCTAAGTCGCGTTAGTCAATCTTCAACTTCATTCTTTGAGCACGGATATATTTGGCCCGCTTGAGCCGTAAAGCGCGTCAATCATGAGAGAAATACCGTATTGTTTTCAGTTCCCAATTTGGCGCAGAATTACTGGATGTTGTCTAATCCCCTAGCCGCCACGAAGATTCGGTTGCAGTAGGCTCCAAATATTCTGGATCATTGGCCTGCACTCCAAGCCAAGAGTACATTCACGAATGGATAACATATTCGGTGCAACTCTCCTTGTGCACATTGAAGGCCTTGCTGAGGATGGCGATGGTTTCAACTTAGTTGATAATTTAGCATTTCATCTCGTCGAATCGACTGGAAACCTGAGACCGAATATAGGAGAATTGGGGCAATTAATGATTTACACAGTAAATATATCGCCACACCCAATTTCCGAAAACCCAATTCAAGTCACATAACGGAGGTCAGTAGTCACGGGATATGAAAAAACTTAGCGCAACGTAGTGGCAAGAAAAGCCAAAGGGATTCCCATGTCATCCAGATCGGTTGGCTAGATCGACCAAAACTAAACGCTTTACAGAGCGCATGAATAGTTCCTGAGATTAGCTTAGGTGCTAATACCACGGGATGTGGAATCTGGGATATCGCCGAAACCGCCGGATAATATCTATAACCAATCGGAATGAGTAATTCTGAGATCCATAATACTAGTCCTATCATAGCTCCATTGCTCAAGGGTCGTGTATGTCAAAAACTTAAATCTATTGATTTCTTGGGACAGTACCCTTGAATACGTTTGGACGTTTGTGATCTCGACCATGAGATGCCCCTGTAAATTGCAATCCATGAAATCGGAATCTACGGGCTATCCTCTACCAAACTGGGATGAATCTACAACTAGGATGAAATTATACTACTGCCAAGGAACATTACGCCTCTTTTTCGGAACACTATACCATGAGGAGTCCCGTTAGATGTCAGCCTACATTTCACCTGATTTTTTAAAAATTAGACACTGTCTTGTCTGTCAGACAAGCGGCTTCAGCATTCTCTGAAACGGTGAAACCCCGTCTCAATATAATCAAATTTCTTATTATTGGCCAGTCGATCCATTATCAAAGGGTCGTGCTTAGTTCTTAGATACCCCATCATAGAGTCAGTCTAAGGCTGACTATCAAATAAAACGGGAGAAATTTGAATACTTGACGCGAAGCAGTCCATAAATCAATCATCATTGAAGGCAATAATGTCACTCAATACTCCCGCCGGATATATTATCCAATTCCAAGTCTCAGAAGGAACTCCAATTGATGGCCGCACAATCATCACTCCTTACAACCATAAAGTCCCGATGAACTCCTTGACCCAGATAACTGGCACCTCCGGACGACAAGCCAAGAAGCGGCCCAATCTACCAAAGGTTCGGTCCGGATGCGTAACTTGCAAGTAAGTCGGTGCTTCATCATCGACATTGTGAAGCTCGATAGCACTAATACATCTGCATATAAAGACGAAGGCGGATTAAATGTGACGAGCGGAAACCCGAATGTAATCGCTGTCAGGTGTTTGGCGTGCCGTGTGAAGGCTATGGCGTTCGCATCTCCATCAGCCGGCGCAAGCCCGATCCCAAGCCACTTCTTCCTCGTACGGGCGAGGTATCACATCTATCATTATCTACGCAATCTTCTCATTCACCTCCATTAACACCGCTTTCCTCGCCTTCGACGAGATTGCCATTTCGGGACGAAATGGAAGAACGTTACTTTCGAACATATCTGACCAAGACAAGTATATCGGTGACCTGGAGTCAGAGTCGTGTCTTTTCTTCGTCATTATGGGATCGCATTATCATGCAAGCTGCACATGATGAATCTTATCTTCGTGAGATGCTGATTGCCATTGGCTCATTCACCGAATCCAAAGATGTTCAGCTGAGGGGATATAAAGATGAAGCCGTGCAAATGCGAATTTTCGCGGTAAAGAGATATGGGCTTGCCCTTCGTTCAATGAGTGTTGGACTTTCGAAACTCGAAAGCAGCGATGGCCCGAGGAAGGCCCTAATCGGCTGTCTTTTAGTATGCTGTTTTGAGTGGCTGTTAGGAAACAACCTTACTGCTCTTACACATGCTGGGAGCGGTATCAGGATACTGCGTCAGTGGCTGAGAAGTTATAAAGCTAAAAATTATAAAGCTGGTCTCTGCTCGCCCGATTCTGGGGTGATCGAGGACGAGTTAGTCCAAGCATTCCTACGGCTCGACAAACAAGTTGCGACATTTGGGGATCCGGGGACAAGAGAGGACCATAAGGAGATAATATATGAGTCATTTGAAACAGTTCAGAATATGCCTAAAGCTTTTTCCGACATAAACGAAGCCCGGCTATACCTTGAGCTAGTCGAGAGACGATCGATCCATTTTGGATATCTAGCAGCTGGAGGGAATCCCGCCGCCGAAAGCACCAATTCTTCCACGTCGATTGTCACGACAAAAGGCCATCTTCAAGAACACAGCGCACCTCAAGTGGTAGATTTGGGAGCTCTCAAGTACGACATGACCCAATCACTCATTAAATGGAAATCAGCACTCGATCTCTTTTACGCCGATATCCCACCCTCGGACAACCATCAAATCGCCGAAGCAAACCTACTCATCGCTCAAAGCATCGCTATGAACATAATAATGACCATTGCACCCCGCGGCGCCAGACAAGACGATGAAAAATTGATTCCGGGATATCAACGCATACTAGCCATCTGCGAGGAAATCGTCAACGAAACGCAAGATCAGCGACAACATGGGAATTTCAAATTCGAACAGGGTGTAATCATGCCGCTACATATAACCGCGAAATGGTGTCAAGACCGCTCGATTCGGAAAAGGGCGATAAATCTCCTAAGACGATATAGGAGCTGTGATGGAGAACCCATGAGGGAAGGCGTCTGGGATAGCGAAATGTTCGCAGAGTGGGATGAGTGTTCGTGGGAGGATGCGGATGGATCGGAGTGGGGGGATGGCTCGGAAAGAATTGGTGATGGTCATATGCGGAATGCGGCGAGGGATAAAAATCAAATCTTTAGTTTGGGTAAACCGATGGAGTGGGAGAGGGGTGCAAGGAGTGAGAGGTGTGCGAGTAGTGGGAGTCCGGAGAGTGAACGGAGTCAGGGAATGGGATTGGGAATGGCTGGGAATTATACAGATTCAGGGGATGCGGAGGCTTGGGTGCATGATTTGCCGCTTAGGACTTTGCCTTGATGTTCTCTGGATTCATATCATATCAATGTATTGTATTGTAGGGTAATTTCAGCATAAGATACAAATAAGATGAGGCAGAATGGCCCAATAATAACAATCAATGAAAATATATATAGGATTCTATCTCATCGATCGTAGAAATGTTCCCAGACTATTTCGCATACCTCTATGCTGTTATACATACCCAGAAACCCCCAAACAAGTCCTCGTACCAAATTGTACAGTAGCCTCACATAGATAAATATTAGGAATATCTTACCTTCCATTCCATTCCATTCTCCACCCAAGTTCCAACCAACACCTATCTATTCCTTCCATTCCACGTCACTTCTTTTCACTTCACTCCATCAAATCCCACAAACATCTTGCTTGCTAACCCTAACCCTAAACCACACTCACTTTTTATTAGTACTTAGTACCCCCCTCTCCCCCCCACACTTCCGAACACCGCATCATATCATCATATCAAATCATCATATCATCTACCCTAGGAACTGCGCTGAGATTCTATTCCTGATATATTTATTCCTGATACGTTTAGTCCCGAACCGAAACATTATACTCGCAAATTGACTAATTGAACAATTGACTGGAGCAATTGGCTTAGGTTTAGATATTATACTCTACTCAACTCTGCGTAAGAAGTAGAGATCACGGGCTGGTACTGGATCTGTAGGTATTTGATTCATACATATACTGTACTTATTGGAAGAATGATTTCGGTGGTCGAGTTGAATTCAGAGAATATATGACATGGAACTTTCTCGGGTAGGTTGTAAGATTACAACTAAGGTTACCACTTCATTCTTGGAATTTAGTTAATGATATCTATGAGAGTAATTTGTGTCCTGCGAATTAGGGTAATGTGAATAAAAGAGTAACGATATATTAACAATAATTATATACTTTGCTCAATACCAATCATGACCATCTTCCCCTTTCATTTGTTTCCTTGGATTAAGCGATAGAATCCTCTGTCCTGGAAGTGTAATACCAAATTGCGATTCAAAAGTTCCCGAGATCGCACGTCCTTTGACCGTATCGAAAGAATCATAGCCCTCGAATTCACCATTCATCGCCGCCCATTCCGGTGACAATGGAGACGTTCCATTGCCTAGATCACTCCACCTTGTTACCGTCATAGCCTGCTTGAATCTGTTGACCTGATCCATTTGATCTTCGGCGAATTTGAGTTCAACCAAGTACTCTGTGGGACATCGTGGACATCGGCGCATGGGCTGACATACAGAACATTGTGAGGTCATCTGATTCCTATGGCTTGCTAGTGAGAGAATAGCATTTGGACCGCTTTTCAGCTGCGAGGAGATGGCTTCTCGGCGCTTGGGTATGTGCCCCAATGCACATTTGCATACATCCATGAGATCGCCATCCCTCCAGTGAGCGCAGACCGAGAAATATGGAAAGTAATCCTCGCGGGAATAGAGAAGGTTTCGTTGGGCACTAATGGGAAGGTCTGGCTCTGGGAAGCATTGACTGATCACACGTAAGAGAAGATGACCTTTGTTAATATAATATCGGCTTTGATGTGACCAAGTTCCTGTGCCTTGGGCTCCAAGTTGTGGATCTTTCCAACGTTTGCTTATCGAGTCTACTGAAACTCCATGGTTTTGAGAGTAGCGATTTGATCGTAATATAAGCTGCACAAATGAAAATGGAAGAGTATGGCCAACAGTTAGTCGAGCCCGCGGAGCAACTTGTGTGAGAGCATTTGGACATTCGAAAAGATGATTTATGATATGTGTGGCTTTCAACCGTTCTTCGCCTGGTATTATGCGAACATGATATATTGCACAAGGAAAACAAAGAAGATGGTTGGGAAGATCACGGTCCATGTGAACCAAAAACTCAATCTTGTACCGATGATTCTCTGGTAGGCCCAAAGCATGCCATGGATCTCGCCCAATTCGATTCAGAAGTATTTTACTTGAGAATGCGAAACTCGCTACATCACTAAGAGATAGATGTCTCGCAATACATCCCCAAAGGTTTGAAGATAAAGTGGCTATCGCAGGCTCCCCTGGGGGCCGATCTGGATTATCCATGCCATAAGCTTCATGCATAGAATCAAAAGATCCAACGTGTGCTAAGCCGTGTAGTAAAGCAGTATAATCAATTCGCTCTCCAGTTTGTTCATCGACTGCATGATCGAACGAACGGCCATTAGGGCGGAAATCTTGAGTGGCCTGGGAAGTCCCATTTCCTTTCGGATTGGCGGTCTTCGGACGAGTGGTTTGCTCCTTTTTCAGTTTATTTCGAGAAGCTTTTGATTGTAATATGTTGATGGTACTCTCTGCATCCGACTCTGCCTTCATATGAGCCGACTCCCCTGCCTCGGGCTCTGTCCTCAATCTGTTCCGAGAAGCTTTTGTGCGTAATGAATTGAAGAGCCGTGATGTGAAGTTGCCGGGTTTTGGAGTACCCTTCTCACTACTGAAGACCATGATCCTTTATCTGATAAAGGTCCTTGAATATCCTCGAGATCACAGTTATACTAATTGGTAAATCTTTTATAAAGACATCTGACGGCAAATGGGATAATAAAAAATGATCGCACGACAAGGGACGCGATGCGGTCGTACCGAAAGATCCGCGTGCTGAGTCAGGCAAGCTACCTACCGTTGGAACTCCAAGTCTAGAATACGGCACTAGAATACTAGGCATATATGATGTTGATGGTGGGATATACTCGTTAACGAACTCCTGAAATAGTCTGAAAGGGTGTTATTCCCTCAAATGAACAATCCCTTTGTACCAGGTAAGGGTTTCCAGGACGAAGCATTATAATTAGAACAATTACTAAGCAATAGTGGCAGAACACAAAGTACTAAGCCAAAAGCAGTCCACCGCCTTATACATTCTGGCCCCTCGGATGTTATGTGTGAGCACAGCTTCGAGATGACATACATACTTCACTATCAATACAGAAATGCTAAAACTATATTTTTCACCAAGGTAGCAAGCGTGCATACCTAATTACTATATTACACACACATGGCACGACGAAGACGACCACCGCGCGCCGGCGCCATTACCGAGCTGCCACCCCTAAAGATCCTTGGCCAGATTGTAATCCTCCAGGTTCTTTGGTATGTTATCGGTACGGCACTGATACTATTTACTGCGCTCGTGGCTGGAAGGTCTTTTTCTTTGGACATGGTGTTGAGCTGGAGGAGTCTGAGAGGTGATACGACGGTGGGATGGATGTTGGGATTTGTTTGGCTATTGAATAGTTTTATAGGGTTTGTTGTTATCTTTAACTAAATCCTCTACCACAAAACTGACGCAAGCTCACAGAGTTATCTCCCTACTTCTCCTCGTCTCCCGCTCCAAACTTATTCCCGACTTCACCCTAACAATCCACTTCATACACCTCCTTATCACAACCCTCTACTCGCACTCCCTCCCTCGCAACTGGCTCTGGTGGGCTCTTCAATTCGTATCCACGTCCCTTATGACATTTTTAGGCATATGGAGTTGTCAATGGCGAGAACTGCGACCCATAAATTTTGGCTCGAGTACGAATGCTGCGCAGAATAACTCGAATACTGTTACAGATAATAGTGGGATGGAAAGAGATATCAGCACCGGCATGGAAGGAGAAGGTGATGCGCAAGATACGGGGGATGTGGAACAAGGTTACGGAAGGGGAAGAGGGAGAGGGAGGGGAAGAGATGGGGCGGGGAATTATGAGATGGTTGGGATGGGAATAAAGGCGGATGAGAATACTAATCATGGTTAAAGGATAGGGGCTGTATCGATGTGTAACTTGGATTCGGAATCGGGCGTATAGACAGGAAATTATAGATATGGCGGCGTTTTGGGACTTGGCACTACACACTTGTACTATTATTGATACTTAGCGGCAGTACGGACACTGGATTGTAACAAAAGAAGATAGCGGGAAGATAGCGATACCCAAGGCAGGTTCAATGGTTCATTATTCCAACTTCGTATTTCCTCCCTTGCCCAATGATTTGCTTGTTCAATTTGACTATTGACTACAATTTAGGAATCGACAATGTTCTTCTGGCCTTACAGATATGTCCTTTCCCTCCGTTTCCCCGTATTATCGACCGGACCATCCCAAAGTTCCTTTCCCGGGCCCACTGGTATGCCGTCGAGTTCAATTCCGTCACTATTCGGTCTGAATATCTGAGTTCCACTCGAACTTGCTCTTACCAGATGAAGTCCTTGGTTTTGTACTTCTTGGTCGCACTTCAAGGTGCCATCATCATTGAAGTCCTCTGGAGTACACATCTCTGATAACATACTCGGTCGTCTTCGCCGATATGAACCGACTATTGGCTCGAGGGATGGTTGAGAGCTTGACCTCGATTGGATGAACATCGCTCCCGCGGCGTGTTCAGTTCTTATCATGTTTGGTGAAATATAGCCACCTGTGTCCATGAATGAATCCGGTGGAGTGATGATATGTTCTGGTGCACGTGCATCGGCTAGAAATGACGCGACGGCTGCCATAGTATCTGTTCCCTGAAAGAAAGGAGACATCGGTCTTAACCCTGGTAACGAAGGGGCTATAGGTGTCGCAGGAGGCGTTCTGGGGATCATGAAAGGTGACATAGGAGTCATGGGTGTCATAGGCGTCATAGGTGTCACGGGTGTCATATTACCACTTCTGGGAGTATTATAGTGTGGGGTATCCTCACCACCGGCGCTATGAATGTCTCCCCTCTCCTGAGCTCGGCGTCTCCGTGTTCTTGCGTCGGTGCTCAGTACAGAACTCGTTGCATCACTTTCTGACTCAGATTCTACGTCTCTAGAGACCCTTCTCGGCAATGAAGTTTGTAAGCTACCTCCAAATTGCCGCCGGATCGATTTCCACCTCTTAACTACGAGCTGCTTTACCGGCTGCACGAATAAAGGATGGGGCTCCGACCTGAGGGCTGCATGTAGACGATAATTGGTACTCGGTGGAAGCGTAGGTCGTACTCCTCGATATGTTTTCGAGGTGTCGATTTTCGCATCATCAGCTGTTGGGGGTGGCATCACTTCGGGTTTATTTCTGGTCATTGAACGTCTTACGTTGTATCTTTGGCCATCATGTCCTGACACATGTGGTGACATCGACGTCTTGCCACGATCATACGTTTGAACGTCTCTCAACTTCTGACTCATTGAGGTTGTAGCGTTCCCATTCAAAAGGGAATTGCCGCTAAAGAAATAATCGTCCCTGTGGCTCCCAACGTCACAATCATTGGCCGACTGCTCTGTGACATGCAGGGCTCTATGGGCTTTCTGTAGTCTACTTCGCCTTCTGGCAGGCTCTGACGTGACAATAAGTGGGGTAACAATACCACTAGTGCCTGGAGGTGATAACGAGTACGTTGATGATCCGTCATATCTACCACAATCCCATGGCTGTATTGGAGAGGTACTTCGTGCTTGGTGTCCAAAGCAGGGTGAATATCTAAATTGTGTGTGCATACGCAAGGAACTGATCATTCTAGAATCCGGTAGTTTTGAATCTCCTTTTCTGTTATATGATGTTGGAGTCGATGGGAGAGGTACAAGATACTCTGGTGCCAGGGTGAAGCAAGATCCGAGAAGTTGAACAGCGATCACTTTTGCAAGCTCCTGCACGTCACTGGAACTTGCAAGATCGCTGTTATCCATGGTGTGATATCGTTTTCTGAGACGCGGTCTGGAGCCATCCGTATTATCTCTCATCCAAGCGCGCGTGCTTACCTCTTCACGGTACTCTTGAGGTAGAGTGGACATATGGCTACTCTTGAACTCTGGTGACCACCAGAAGGGTCTACCAGTACGACAAACATATTGCCATTCGTGTATTTCTCTGTTGATAATATCCCAAGATACCTGTTCACCTTCACTATCGAGATCGGAATCAACTTCGCTGTCCCAATCTTCACCAAGTGTTGCGAGCGAGTTATTACTCAAGGTCGACAAAGATCGACGCTGTGGTTTAGGTCGCTGCGGTCTTTTCGTATCCGCCATATATAGTACCTGACTATTTTCGGAACCATTGTCTTGGGGTTGCTCTGCCTCCAAGGGATCAGCGAAGGATACGGACTTTCTGCTGTTCCTTGTAAGAGACGCTCGGCGGGCCCGTCGGAAGATATTAGAGGCAAAGGATGAGCTAAAGGGTGGAGGGGTCTTGCTGGAAAACTCATGCCGCGAGTAAGAAGGATCATTGTGCCAGCTCATTTCGTTGATATTATAGGAATATAGGAATGTGGAAGAATAAGAAGTTATAGGTGACAATATATCTAGGTATTGAATCCAATAGACCCGGATGAGTATGAAATAAACAACAGAGTCTGGAAAAGGAAACCATATTTCTCGGTCACTCCAAATCCTACGTATCGACCTCTATAAGACATGGAAAGAGCTGTTGATTACACAGAATGGTGGCACCGGATGCACCTTCTTTATACCAGAACCGAGAAATCCTATCTTGAGTGGCCAAGGGCCAATTTGTTGTTCAACTATCCTCATCAAATGTTTGCCACTACCACATCTTTGGAACCACTCATGTCATCAACATTCACATGGCTCAGCTTCGTCCTCTGAAATGGAACTTACTATAATTACATTTCACATGAAGCTCACAACAATATCACGTGTAACCTTTACCCCACTTTACCATGACACTCTCAATATTACATACTTGTTTTCATGATCAGCTTCTTCTGCACATGCAATACATCACAAGCGAAAGCCGAGTACCAAGGTTACCTTATACTCGTTATACCTTGATAACATATTCCCGTCATGGGTATTTGTGACATATGTCGTGCAATACCCATAGAGCCATTTTTCAATCCAGATGTTAGCAAGTCTTTACATGTTCATCATCCTTCAGTGAAAAGTCTCGAAAGATCCGCAACAAACGGCTGTCACATATGTGCTCTATTCTATAGTGCCATCACTGGGGCTCCGTCTCGGAACGAAAGCCAAAAAACTTATTTGAAAGTCGATCAAAAGCTGGGTGTGTCAAGTCCTCATCGAAATCTAGTTTCCTACCAAGTGGGACGGGATGGACAGAAATATCTGTTTGACGTGGAATCTACAGGTATGAGGAATCTTTCTTGACATTAACTGATCCTCCCCGCCGCCAAAGGATCCTCGAATCGTAATCTCACATTTCTTAGACGATTTGTACTCTAGCATCTTATTTCCCAAAAACCAGAACATTACCTCTCTGGTCTCATCATGGATTGGCACCTGTATTCATGAGCATATGAACTGCAATATACATTACGAAACGGGGTTTCGGCCTCGTCGACTCATTGATGTTCGAAAGTACGGCCTCTCACCTCGGCTGGTTGAGACGGCGCAAAGTAATGAGGATTGTTCAAAGTACCTTGCGCTGACACATTGTTGGGGAAAAGAAATGCCAGAAGTTGCAACAACGAAAATCAAAACACTTCAGCGTCGCTTGGTCTCAATTCCCTTCAAAACATTACCTCGAACATTCCGTGATGCAATCATAGTTACTAGACGACTTGGACTCAAACATCTATGGATTGATTCTCTTTGCATCGTTCAAGATTCCCCCCAAGATTGGCAGCAAGAGTCAGCTTTGATAGGCAAAATCTATTCTCATTCTTACTGCACGATTGCAGCGGCAGCGGCATGTAATTCCGAGGAAGGACTCTTTGCATTGCATAGCGAGTTGCCATTGATTCCTCGCACCCCCCATCAACCCGGAGTTCTATTTAAACTCCCTTTTCCCGGATGGAAAGGTCTTTTCGATAAAAGCACACTGATTCAGAGAAGCTGGACTCTACAGGAACGAGAACTTTCACCCAGAATGTTGTATTTCACTAAACACACTATGCTGTTTGAGTGTCGAGAAGCTCGTATATCCGATCATAATCATGTAATGAATAGCAATCATTGGGTTTCAAAATCCGATCTATCACGATATGTTTCAATCTCGAGTGTACGGTGTCTCGACAAAATCCACGAAGGTAGCGTTGCCTCACCGCACCACGATATGGTGAATGAAAAGTATTATGAACTGTGGCGAAAGATGGTGCAGGATTACAACAATCGTCAACTCACGCATCGTACTGACAAATTCCCGGCTCTTTCTGGTCTCGCTTTCGAATTTGCATATCTGTTAGATGATGAATATCTTGCAGGACTATGGCGGAAGGATCTTGTGAGAGGCTTGTGTTGGAAATGGTCATCAAATTCTGCGAAAAAACAGAGTGCGGACCATTATGGACCTTCATGGTCTTGGGCCAAGATGAATGTTCCCATAACATATGGACTCATTAGAGAAGATCGGGTCTTCGCCTCACGAACTATAGGAGTGCAGTTCGTTCATATACCAGTGGATTCACGGTTTACCGACCCGGAGATCTTACATGCTAGTATCGTTCCGGAGGGTAGGGATCCCAATGGCACTCTCGTCTCAGGCAGAATCTATCTTCGTGGACAACTCATCTCATTGAAACGGTCAAAAGCGGGTGATTACTCAATCGATGGCGAATCATTACCAATTACATTTGATAATTTACCCCAACCACCAGTAGATCTTTATCTTCTGGGCTTGGGGAGGACAAATGTAGGGTTGATCCTTCAGGTATTCGAAGAAAGTAGTAGAGAGTATATTCGAGTAGGTGTGGTTGCTCCTACTGAGTGGGAATGGTTCGAAAATATTGAATTCGACCATTTGACCTTGGTATGAAATTTCGAGGAATTATGACCATTGATTGGTGAGATCTTCGGCGGTCATGGTGAATTCCAATGTTCGAGATACAGGCGAAGAAGTAGAAGTCTGATCAATAGGAAGACCTAGAGTGAAAGGGGCAAAGAAGTAAAGGGGGTAGGAAAAACAAAAATTGATAGACCACTGGAGATACAAGTGTTTAAAAGTACCGGTGATGTCGAGAGAAGAACTTGAGGTCAAGATATCAATAACTCCATCGGCTTCCTACATACCTGGAAGAGAGAGAGAGAGAAAGAGAGCGACGAGATATGCAACAAACCATAGTGTATTTACAGTCATTGCATAGAAAAGAAGAAATATTTTTTTCCCAATCTTAACGCACAATCCTGGCCAAAACCAAACCCCTATTTCATCATCATTGTCATATCCAAACACCGATCTCTAATTTTCACCACTACTCGTATTCATTCAATTATTTATTACAGCACAAAATTAATCTTATCCTTTCTCCGACATACATAATATATGCATCTCCTCTTCAACCTCACATCCCGCATCCTCGCACCCCGCATCTAAAAGCCCAAAACACAATGTGCAATTCCATTCCTCCACCATCTCCCAAATAAACACCTCATTCCTCTCACCCAGTTGATATGGCTATTTTCCTGTATGATATTTTAGGATTTACTGTTGCTTTGTCATTTTCTTAATATCATCTACTTGAGTTACGAGTATATAGAAAGGAAAGGAAAGGAATCAAAATAATTTTTTTTAATTTTTGGTTATGGTTGTTGTTTCTGTGTTATGAAGAGGAGAGTGGAGAGTGGAGAGTGAAATTGTTGTCGTTATTGTTATTGAGGGATGCAGGTAGGTTGAAGGTTGCAGGTTGCAGGTTGCAGGTAGGTTACAGGTTGCAAGTAGGTTGAAGGTTACTGGTTGCAGGTAATAGGTAAAAGAGGAGAGTGGAATTCTGAGTTTGGTGGATGGTGATGATATTGGTGATAGTGATAGCGGGGATGAATTACTCGAGTAAACAACATAGAGTTTCTGTAGGTATACATTTAGCTGTGACTAGTTATTAGTGTAATCCCAAATAAGACAAGCCCTCGAATATACTCGAGTACTGTAGGCCGCAAATCGATATCCCATTCGGTAATTAGCGCCTAGAATCTTGATTGCTTCTAAAATAGAGATGGTATTGGATGCAATACAAATAAGTACTGGCTTGCTTCGGGTAATCCATATATACCGATTTTAGCTTGTTCTTCTTATGAATCTTATTTACAAATTACCAAGGGCTGTATTTACTATTTGCTTAATAACCTATCTCATATAATACTGGGTATACGTTAGCGATATTGGATCGGACATCATGAAGATCTTCATTGACGGATTCAAGACGTTTATTAACTGTCTTGAGAGTATTTTCTATGTCGGATACTGTAACTAGTCGTTTGGCTTCGAACTCAAATGAATATGAAGCGTATGTATGTAACAGGGTCTGATATCGGTTTCTTGAATATAAAATATTCTAGATATATAAATCAGGTTAGTTATTAATTAACTGGTTCAGAAGGACATGACATAACTAAATGGAGAAGAGGAAGAGGCTGTAAGCGAAGGTGCTAACTATAGGGATATGTTATATAGGGCCAGGTATTATATATAGGAGATGCAAACGAGCCGGAGCGATGTTCGGGAGGAAAAACTAGGGATTGACTTGATCTAGCTCGATGGCCTTTGAGGTTGTTTCGGAGCGAATCTTGTAATATAGGAAATATAGTTGTTTAACTAGATGATTTAGGACCAAAGGTTTCAAGGCACTACATTTCTTCGAAATGTCTTCGAATCAATGAGTGGCTTGTTCACTGAAAAGAGTAACAGATTTTTGATTTGGTTACATTGTTTTGATTGGGAGAAGGTATTCATTCAATCCTGGCTTTGTCGTTGACCATGGTTGTAAATCACTATAAAGCAGGAATTGAAGACTTTGGGCAATGGAAACCCAGATGAAAATAATTCCTTAAATCCATATCAAGGAAACCAAGCTACCACAAAACATGATCAGATAAGTTGAACAAAGCTCGAGATTATAAGAGCACTTGTGAGTGACTCCCTTGTTGGCAAAGTAGTTAGTTGAAGGAGTTTTGACTATCGAGTTAGGTTACTGAGGTATAATTAGATGCTCTCAGGCTTGAAGCTATTTACAAGCCCGATCCGATGGCAATGCATGTTAAAACCTGACCTGGAATACATGAAATACATGTTCGTAAAGCGGGACTTGGAGGAGATCAGCTTTTTATATCAATGATATCGAAGAACCATTCACAACTGAACTGGAACCAGATATACGATAAACACTGAACTCATCAATGAATATATCTTGAGTCAAACAGACCTTGAGGCTTGTGCAAAAGCAACTTGGTAAACTCTCCCCAGATGTTCCCCAGATCTCAATACCTGTAACATCTTTAGAAATGCATAAAGTTGTATTTAATGGAGAGGTGACTCAGTACAAGATTCGGAGTCAAATCCTAATTTGAGGGTGGCAAATGAGTTAACAAGGCAATGTAACTATTACCCTCCTCTCCTCTCCTCTCCTCTGCTCTCCTCTTCTCTTCTCTCTCGAAAGAGGGAGTCCAACCTACGAAGAAGAAGAAGAAGAAATGAGAAATCAAATACATACCTCAATGAACATAAATGATTATAGATGTAATGTAAATGGAAAGGGAAGACAAATTCAGATTAACATACTCTCTGTGGCCGCAAGATTCTCCAATTTTCACAGCAATCTCACTCACTTGAATGAAGACTATTTTAAAATTTTAATCCTCGCCCCGAGAAGAGAAGAAGATCATATTGCGAATTAGATATAAATTAGATAACTATAGCCGGAATTGGAAAAACTGTACAATATCTCCGCATCAAAACATCAGGGAAACTTGCTTTAATGATCAAAAAGAAGAATACTCGAGTAATAATACTGTAATATAAATCCGCAAAACCTCCCTTTCTCAAAATGGCGTATGCGAGCGAGGTTGCAAATACAACATACCATACCATTTCACTATCAACTATACTCGAGTATACCGGTAGGTATACTTATGACATCTTGAATGGAGAAGCCTGTTACTGTGCTCATGAGAATGAGGTGTTTTTCATCATGAGAATAAACTTCAAGACAGAACTACCCTATAGTACTACAAAAATGTACGCTGTAAAGGGATGGATCAGAGCATGCCTCTACTGTATATCTTTGTGCTATAGGACAACTTTGGACAGTTGATATAAGATCTTACCTCTAACTTTCGAGCCGCTCTTTAAGGTTATACTGTACCCCAAAAATGGAACGGCTCCTGGCCATGAGATTCAACTCTATTCCTATTCATGTACTCGAACAATAAAACGTTCACTACGAGTAAAATACCTGTACCAGTACTAGCTATAATATCCCCATCAGCATCATGACATAGATTTACCTCCCCTCCTTACCTCCTTCCCTTCTTCAACCCTTCACCCTTCACTCTTCACCCCAAACAGAACATCCTTCGTAATTCAACTTATGATGACGCGGCCTCCTAGGATTAGGAATTTAGGGAGTTTTTTTTAAGTTTTCTTTTCTTTTTCTGTGTAGTGGGTGAGTGTGGGTGGTGGTCAAGGGGGGGGTTAGAATTAAAGGATTTAAGCTTGTTACGACGTTTGTTGTTTGTGTATCTATTTGGTATTTATAGGTTTTCTTGCTTAAATTGAAGCTGGATTATATTTGAAAGAGTATTTTTCTTATATTCAATATCCTTATAGAGGGGTTTTGCTATATAGTACAAATGAAATCTAAACCTATTACTTATACTACTAGAAAGTTTGCAACTCCGGATTGGGAAAAAAAAACTAGGCTATTCAAGTTCCTGTTGTACTTTCTGTAGGTACGGAGGGTACGGAGGTAAGAATGAATGCCAAGATGCCAAGACGACAGGGGAGAGGGAGAGATTTTAGGTTTAAGTTTTAAGTTTTAAGTTTAAGGTTATTTTGGAGGATAAGATAATGTCCGATGCCGTGATATGCCGTTTGGATTTTGGGGGTTTTGTTATATGAGTGTCTGAGATTATTTTGTAGTAGATTTTGGATTAGGTGTTAGTTAGGTGTTAGGTGTTAGGCTTTGGTTGTACTGTATAGTATAGTACTAATATATTAGATGACAGAGAATGTCATATATACAGTACTAGGTAATTACTCATGCTCAGCTACTCGTATATGGAGTATGTATAAAATCTAGATGGAGTGGAGGTATTGCATTGGGGGAATCGTGTAAGCAAGCAAACAAGCAATCAATCAAGCACCTTCCCATTTTCATCTCTCATCTCTCGTTTATTTATCCTTCTTTCCTTCTTTCCTCATCAATAGTGGCGCAAGATAAGATAGTAATACTGTAGTAACTTAGAAGCGAAGTGTCAGATCGTAACTTCCTTCCTTCCCTCCTCGGCGGATGATGATGAAAATGATATAAAAATAAGCTTTTCATCATTTGTTATTTTTATTCTTTATTTCTTCAGATGAGGCTGCGGTTACGGGTGTCACGGGATACTATCTATGGAATATGCTGACGCCAAGAGCTCCGCGATGCTTATCTTACTATCTTGCTATCTTACATAGCTAGCTACACGATTCGGTACGAAGATATGAAGGGAGGGACTTCGGGTATGTATGTATGCTGGCTGACATCTAATCTAGTCTCCGAATGAATGGACCCCAATCTTGGGTTTTGGTATTTGGATTTGGATTTGAGTGAGGACGAACGATCGAATCGGATTTACTGGATGCGTTTTTGATAATATAGCTTGTTTGCTTACTTTTGATGATGAGATGAGATGGGTTGGGTTGGTGAGTGGGGTGGTTAGGTTAGTATTGTGATGGGCTGCTGACTGACTGACTACGGTATTGATACACGGCGTGGGCTGCGGAGATGCCTTTTGCTCATACTGTACCGAGCTTGAGCCGTGAGGAGTTGGGGTTGTTGGTAT